TCCCCGTAACTCGTGATTCGCGATTCGGCCCTAAAGGTCGCCGTGAAACGCGAGATGCGGTCTCTTGCGTAACCACTTCTATAGTTCGATCATCTTCCTACTGCTGGCGCATTGAAATCCCCACCCTCCTGTGAGCAGAAATTACGCCACGATCTTATTTGTTTGACGTATCGTTCTACGATTTTCCATAAAATTCGATTCAACTAATCCTCAAGTTGTCGTGATTGATCTGACAGATACAAGCAAAAGATGAGCTTGAAAATGAAAATGTAGATGAAAACGATGATATTGAATTGCGTTCAGAAGATTCAAGATATTTCTAGTGATTAGGCCGTTGAAAACTTAATCGTGAATTAAATTGATATATATAGTATACTATAAAACTCACAGTGTAAATGGCTTAATTTGGTTATCAATCTTCTACAGTCGAACGAGTCTACGTGTTACCCGTTATGTGGGAGATGCACGACTTTACTTGAACATGTGCGAAAGATCACTCACGTGGAAAATAGATCACCACTTTCGCCCATACGTTACACATCCAGTTACAATCAGCGAAGAATACAGATATATCGTATTACATCGTGAAAACTATATTTACCACACATGATTACTTCCAAATACATACAATACAATCATATATGATGCATAAATATTAATGAAAAAGACATTAATTACAGTATTCTGTAACCAATGACAATTAAACGTTCATACAATATTAGTGTAAAACCAATTTTGTTACGAAATTTTCAGTATTGTGGCATTTGGGTGTAAGTCATGTCCATTTAAAAGAAATATTATAGAAGAAACTTTGTTACAAATAATAATTAAGAAACAACAAGTAAGACTGGAATGCATATATTTATATGAATAATAAATCAATTTTTACTTGCAACAAGGAGGTCTTTGGATCAACAGCTTTTAGCTCCTCTTATTGAACAGATAATTGACCGGTGTATAGCACTTACGGAAATTAATCATTTAAAGTTTTGAAAAAATGACCCCAGTATGACTATGTCAAAGTTAATGATTCAGGCTTGTTTATTTTATGAATTCAAACTGGACACCAGGGGTCAGTTGAATCATCCCCCATATTCCCCAAAAATAGCCCCTTCGGACCATAATCTTTTCTTGGCAATAGACAACCATTTACGAATATCAACGATTCCAAAATCGACAAAACTACGAAAGGGAGTTAAAGCAGTTTTTTCATATCAGAAAGGAAAACTTTTATAAAAAAATAATAAATAGATTGTTAAATCGTTGGGAAAAAGTAATAGAAGCCAGAAGTAACTATTTTTCTGAAGTATTGTTTGATCCACCTTATATACCATTTATCGATTAAAACGACACAAACTTTCTCGGTTACCCAATATTAACACCCCTGTATATCTTTCAACGAAGCATACGCCACATAATTTCCGATTTTGCAGCATCTATCCGCGATGATGCAACACGCGCGGACGACTTTGCCGTGGAGCTCTCTCAACCGCATCTGCAATTACGTTGACGCAACACCCCAGAGACGCTCGGATTCGCTTTCTCTCATCTTTCCAGCTCCGCGTCGCATCTTTCGACAATCGACCGATGTAATATCCGCCATTAGCTGTTAGAATACATTCGCATCCGCGTTATCAATTATCCATACTTTTTGTTCCATCATTAGATTCCATACTATCGAAATATTCAGGTAAAATATTTTCAAGATATATTACTGGCAATAATAAATTATTCTTATGCGTGATCATGTAATTAATAGAAATTTACATTATATTAATCGACTTATTAATGCTTGCAATTTATATGGGTAATGTAAGTAATTGTTATTAATTGTATACAGTTACAACTTGTAAACATGGTACAATGGTACATGTACAAATGGTGAGTCAGTCATATTTGGAGATTTTTTAGTTAATAAGTTTCCAGGTCGTGTCATCTCTCGTCTTGGTGTTCTTGCTGAGACACCCTTCATTATTAAATGTCTTTTAGAATACTCATAATGACATATAGACATTAAAAACAGAAAAAACTAAAAATTCATTTCTCCAGATTACGACCCGTCCCGACTCTGTTATAGTGTCGATATCACGAAGAACCAGGAACGAAAGAATGCAAGAGGGTGATTGGTAAGTACGGTCTCGGTACAAAACGCCAGTGCACAGAAGCCGGATGGGTTCGTCTCGTGTTCCAAGTATTACAACAACGATGCTCACGTGTCGGGACTGGCGATTCGGCGAGGTGCGCGCCCGCGCGCGACTAGCATCCTCGTCCAGGTTCGCCCACCATCGGGGCCCCACCGGGTTTTACCCCTTCCTTCCTTGCCGTGTTCCATGGGAACGTTGACTTCGAGGCGTGGCGCCGGAACTCGAGGAACGTCCTAGCCCGACGACCTCTTCGGAAATTACGTGTGTCGACCGCGTTCCAACGAACGACCGCCCTTGCCATACGATTTGTAGATCCTTTCGATCACTCGATCACACCGTCCACTGTATGTATACGCGCCATTAGGTTGTAGCGTACGAAACGTCCACGCCCAGACGTCTGCCACTCTCTGAAGCAGTGATGGCTAACCTCTTAAGCTCTGTGTGTCGTAATTTGATAAAAATTTGGCTTTAACAGGGTATCGTGTTACGTATTGAAATATCCCTAATGTTTGTGATATTTTCAGCCCTAGTAAATAAGAGTTATATTTATAATATAAAAAAAACAAGAACCACGAAACCATCGATGCGTGTCACTAAAAGTGTCTTGTCGGAGGTGACACGCCTGTCATAGATTAGCCATCACTGTTCTAAAGCAATGATTCTTAACCTGGGGAGTGTGCACCCCTGGGGGTGCGAGGAACCATTTCCAAGAATGCGAGAGAAGTTTCTGAATTTTCAATGGAAACTTTTGCACATATAAACCAAAGCCTGAAATCGCTTAAATGCAGGTGATAACTTACACGTGGCTTTTTTTAAAAAAGGAGCCTCGCTTCAAAAGTATTGTTATGAATAAACAACAACAATGTAGTCATTGAAAATTGAGAGATTGTTTTGTATGTATATGTAAATGTATATGTTTATTTTTGTTTATGTGTATATAATATTGTTTTAATAAAATGTCTCAATACTCAATAACTTCCGTGAATAAAGTTTTTTGATATTCCTAAAAATAACGGAGATAGTAAGCTGATAAAAAAATGCGTACATCCAGCCCACCCTATATTTAGTTACGTCGAACAAGTAAACGGACGATCGACGGGAAGAGCGCGCGTGTGATTGGCCCTCGTTTATTGCATCATTTCTGGAAGCTTAGCCCTCTACACTACTTTACAGCCCCGAAACGTGCAATAAACGAATGTCTACTGTATTTCGAAAGTCTACGCAAACGAATGTGTGAGTCACTGTACTTACGAGCGGTAGTATCGTTCTACGGTACGAACGTTCACGAGGAAAAATTTCCAAGTCGGTTACCAATGATCGACATGGTAGCGTTCATGTTAAAGAAGATAAGAAGGGTGTTGCAGTTTGCTCACGATAAACTCACCATTTGCCACTCCTCGTTTGATAACTCAGTATTACGAAGTTAATTGGAAATCAGGTGTGATTGTGGACGGTGATCTAGTGTGCTCTCTCATAATTTCACAGAACTTGGTAACACAGTTCAACTTTAATAAATATAACAAAAGGTGATATATGTGTATGTGCTGTACTAGTTGTGTTCTATCGTTTTTTTTATTAAATATTTGAAATATCATACGAGATTTTTGTTTTATCTGAATATTGAATGCATTCTCTATGAATATTAAATGTATTCTCTACAAGGACTGAATCTGTTCTGTTGAACATTGGTGAGTGTATTCGCTTGATGATTCGCTACAGTTTCTATTTGTGTGGTGGTGAAAATGAAAATTTCTGGTTAGTGTATATTTGCATAGGTGTGGTTGTATGATGAAAACGAAGTGGATCTTGGACGTGCATTGTTTCGCAATTTTATAGAAATCAGCATTGAATGGTAATAAAAGAAGTTTGATAAAAGAACAATCTTAAAAGAAAATACAGTCGTAAAGATAGACAATATTGATCATTTTCATTCATATATTATACATTTTGTTTCGTAGAAAATTGCTTGGCACATTTTATTTAGCTGATGCAATAGAACCTTAAATTCCCCATTTTGCTTCCATTGATATTTTATACAAACATCATATTTCATACAAAATCTCATCTAGCAAATTTTTAACCAACTTACAATTTGTCAGTCGGTATTTTTCCGTCTATTTGAAACTACCTCTTCTAGAGATTTTCTTTCAACGTATTAAATAAATTGCACCATTGTTACAAATGGACTCGTACCAGTTTCAAGAAACACATTTATACAATCCCATCTAACAACCAAACTTCTACATGAAAACATTATACTGTATTGACTTTATCATCATAATTATAAAAAGAAGCCATCCATCTCTAACTAAAACTATCTTCAACATATTTTCTACAAAACTGGACTAGTACCATTTTAGAAAAAAAAACGACTCAAATAACTATTGTAAGGACAGTGGACGTCTGCACGTGTCATGCAGCTGTCCAGAAATCCCTATTTGTGATGCTTTACCGACTGCATTGTCAGGCCCAAGATGCAATGATCATCGAGACCTTTAGCTACCTGGATTGGATCGCAGCGGAACTATTATCCCAAGCGTTCAACCCTGATTCACTGATCACACCCTTAAAACAGTAGTCGTATCTACAGATCAGTGGAAATCTATCGATAAGATCGTCTGAGTATCGAACATCGAGCCAGGAAGCGCAGCGAAAACTGAACTTCACAATGGAACGACGGACTATTGATCGGTCGGTGGTGATGCGCCAGCGCAGCGCGATCCTGAGGGCGACAAAACAGTAGCCGATCTGAACCCCCTCATTCACGTCCCATACGGTGGCGAAAACACCCGCCGTTCGTCTAACTTCGGTGTTGCTGTCCCCGACACTGGCAAAGTGTCGTCGCGCGTGGCTAACATGTCCGGTGGTACGTGTGTACGTTTTTCTTTGATATTTAGGCCCTTGGTCTTCCTCTCTTCTCTTTCAAGGGAGCATGACAGAGAGGAGGATGAACGCCAGAAATGGTTGAAGGGGGTGAGACGATGTGGAGGAAAGAGGCTAAGCTAGAAAGAATGAAGCGAAGATGACAAGAGACGATCCCGAGGGTAGCTGGTTTAATCGTTTTGTCTTATCCATCAAGACAGGGACTATATCGGATTCGCCACGTTGCCCGAGCAAGTGCACAGAAAGTCGGTTAAAAGGGGATTCGAGTTCACCTTGATGGTGCTGGGTGAGACCGGTCTTGGAAAGTCCACCCTGATAAACAGTCTGTTTCTTGGAGATCTTTACAAGGATCGTCGTATTCCCGATGCTGGAGGTTTGTAGTTAATGGTCCTGTTTGATGGATCACAACTATACTGGAGTAATCTTTCAATGAGGATTTGATTTTAGAACGTATAGAGAAAACCACGACGATAGAGAAGAAGACGATGGATATAGAGGAACGTGGCGTCAGGCTACGGTTGACGATCGTTGATACACCAGGTAAGATTTAGTTTCGTGTTTTTGAGATAATTTCTTCCATTGATTCCTTGAATCCCCTTAAATCTCATGGGCCTCCACTAAATTTGGTTTATTCAGTACCTTACCATAGTAATTAATATTTAGTCGTGAAACGAAAAAAAATTGTGTCATCTATATATGAATTAACAAATTAACATCCGACGTTATGCATAATAGAATATCTATATCCTTGGAAAATGTTTAGTCACTTAAAGCGCAAGTTTGAGGTAGTAGCTGAAAAGCAACAATCTCTATAAAGCGTAACTTTACGATTGTCAATGCATTCGAATATACACGTTAAAAATTGTATTACACACTCTGCATTGATAAAGTTGAACAATAACATTCAATACAAATTTATTGGCAATCACACTACAGCAACAACTGACCTCACTAATTTCTCACCACGATCCAAGTATCGACTATAAATCTAAAGGAAGTGACATTATTTAACAATAATTCTTCCACATAAGTAGACTACACGAAACATTATGCAAAATAACATGTTTTTGAAGTGATTTGTACAGCCAGATAAGAAGGTTAAGAACATTTTCTTCCATTTCTTCCAGGATTCGGAGACGCAGTGAACTGCGAGGACACCTGGAAAGCGTGCTCGGCGTACATAGACGAGCAATTTCGACAGTATTTCACGGACGAGAGTGGATTGAACAGGAAGAATATCCAAGACAATCGAGTCCACTGTTGTTTATACTTCATTCCTCCTTATGGTCACGGGTACGGTTTCGCGCGTCCATTTTATTTATTCAAAATGTCAGGTGCGACTTTTTCCCGCCATATTCCCCATGTCTGTTTTCCGTAGACTCAGGCAACTCGATATGGAGGTACTGAGGCGATTACATCGCAAGGTGAACGTCGTTCCCGTGATCGCGAAGGCGGACACGTTGACCACATGCGAAGTGAAGCAACTCAAGGAACGGATCCTCGCAGACATCGAGGAGAACGAGATTCAGGTAGCGTCTATGGTGGGCCATAGACGAACAAATGTGTTCGTCCTTAACGATCTATGATTGATCGATCATTAGCATTTTTGGTCGTGCAATTCGAATAGAAGAGTTCAAAATCTGATATTATTTAAAGGGGACAGTTTTTCATTCTAGATTAAAAAACTTAAAATATAATAGTCATTTTTGCAGTTTTTTGTATTATTTAGAAATAGTTAAAAAAATAATAAGACGCATTTTATTACATATTGTATTTACTAAGAAAAAAATCCCTAAAGATAGCTTAACTTTGATCGATGTTCAATGAGATCGAACGAAACCGTACGAAAAAGAAAAAAATAGTAAGAGAAACAGAATGTAAAAGAACACACAATGCTTTGCACGTAGATATATCAGTTTCCGGACTGTGATAGCGACGAGGACGAGGAGTTCAAACAACAGGACAAGGAACTTAAGGCGTGTGTCCCATTCGCTGTAGTCGGTAGCTCAACGGTGCTCGAAGTTGCAGGGAAAAAGGTCCGCGGGCGTCAATACCCATGGGGAGTGGTAGAAGGTAATTACACTTGATGCTCCGAAATACAGTGATTCCTCGATAAATGCGACACGAGCAACGGTGTTATTCCCACCACTGGGGTAGTCCCCCCGTGAAACCAATCAAAGCAGACTGAACAAAAGCTAAGCAGAGGCTTGGTTTCGGGCAAAAAATTTAATTTATAAGGGGCTAAAAACCTTTCCGCCTTGCCACGAATGCTCCGAAATGGACCCAAGTACGTCGCACTCATCGAGACATTATTGTATATATTGTGAACACGAACGATGACAAACATGGAACGCACAGTGGCCAATTGCCCGAAAAAGCCAGCAAAATTTTTAGTCAATCTCATCTCATTGTTTATACTGTTATACAGGATGTCCCGTTCTATGTGAGAAGTATTGCAGTGATGGATTCAGGACACAAAAATAACAAAGAAAAAAAGTTCGTATAAACATATATGTCGAAAGTATAACCTTGTTTTCGAATTACAGCTCGTTTTACGTTGCAACTGGCGTCATCAAGTTTGAAATGACACAGGACACAGTGATATTGATGCGTGTAGTTCACTACATAAAATCGTGCTCATATTCCAACGTGAATAGTCACCAATCAGAGATTTCAATTGCTCAGATCATAAATTAGGATTTTTCTAAAGGGACGATTTATACCTAAAAATCTCAACAATTATCTGACTCCTTCCATTTACCGTGAGGGGGGGGGGGCATTGCTAGGTGGACTACAGAACGCACACAAGATTTTTCATTTTCCGGTGTAACAGTAACAAAACGTTCCCTCGTAAAATCACAAATCGATTCTTTTAAGCTTGTAAAGTTTGAAAGAATTCATCGAATCGAGGATAAAACGCACGAAGAAGGTGTAGATCTCTTCTTTGTCGCACAGACGTCGTAGAGAAACGAATTTCGTTGACTTTCTCGAGCTTTTAGACCACTGTGGAACCGATCCACCGTTATCACGATTTAACGTTCTGCTTTCGATCGAGCGCAGTGGAGAACCCGAAGCACAGTGATTTCGTGAAACTCCGAACGATGCTGATATCGACGCACATGCAGGATCTGAAAGACGTCACGCAGGACGTGCATTACGAGAACTTCCGGGCCCAATGCATTTCCCAAATATCACAACAAGCGATACGGGAACGGAGGTATTTACGCATGTAAATAAGTATTGCATTTCAGTAGGTATATTTTTCTCTAGATGTTATGTGTACAAGTATCTCAGTCTGTTCCTCTGTGTCCCTTCTCGATGTATCTTTAAAATTGTTGGGAAGAAAATGGCCGATCATCATTCATATTTTCGATTTTTACGGAGTAGTACATACAGGGTGTAACAAAAATGTTGGAGGACCCTGAAATGGGAGACTCGTGAGGTGATTTGAAACAAGTTTTTCCTTAGAAAAAATGTTATCCGAGGCTTTGTTAACGAGCTATTAACGAAAAACCCTGACCAATCAGAGCGCGAGTCTGTCAGTCGAGTTCCCGCGGTAACGTTGGCTACGCACTACGATTGGCTACGATTGTTAGGCACACGTGAGATTTGATAAAGTCCCATGCAAAAAAATCTAATTTTTGTTTAGTGGAAGTAATGGAAAAAATTGTTTGAGTTGTACATTTCGCCTAAATCTATTATAATTTCTATAATCTCAAAATAAGAAAACCACAATCCGTCATTTTGACGGGTTTGGTAGTTCTAGCGTTAATCTTATAACTAGTAATAAAACTTACAATTAGTAACGCATATTCGATTAAAATTTTTCTATTATTATTGTTATTAATTATAATCATTGTTTAGTGAACTTCCAGTGTTGGTAACGGAAGTTATTTGTAATTCAACCCAATATTTTTCAATTATAACGAGGAAAAGAGCAACTTTGATACGTTTAAACGACCATTTACCTCCCAGCAACCTAGTATTTTCCTTTTCATCCACGCAATCGCTCACAATTAACCGGATACTTAGAGATTTGTGTTAACAGTATTTAAATGTTATTAAAATTCTGTAAATTGATAACTATTACAAAAGCAATGTTTAGCCTTAAAAAAATAAGCCTTAAATGCAATTTCATCAATTCTTGATTTTCGTCTTGGTTTGGCATGTAGAATCCACCCAGTGAAAATATCCCACATTTTTATTAATACCCTGTGTATGTACTGCCGTTCATTAGTATTAGGACACCTAGTTTGCCAAAAAACAAATTATACGTTTTGGGCCACTTTTATAAATTTATAGTATGTAAATGTTATCCATCAAGCTTCAATACCCTTTAAACTATGCTTGTGTCAAAACTTCACCAATTACGTAATTACCACTTATGTTCACTAAGTATTTAACCCTCTATAACCAAAAGTAATTTTTATTATTCAAACAAGTTTTTTATATGTATTATATGCTGTTTTCTACTGATCAGCTGGACACATGGATCTTAAATTTTCAATTTTTAAGGTTTCAAATTTTTAAAATAGGTTTCAGACTTTAAGGTTACATTAAGCAGTAGTATAGTACATTAATGTGCAGCCATGTTGCAATTATCGAATTATATTTGCCAATCATGGAAAAACACATTCTCATTTGCTTAATACTGATAAAACTGGTGTGGGACTTCAAAGTCACAGTGGGAACACTCTTTTCGTCTTTTCTAATTGAATTTTGTTTCTTAAATGTATTGAATGGATCAGTTACTTACAATTAGCTGACTTCGTTTCTTCTGTTCGCAGCAAACTGAAGAGAGACTCAGGACCGCATTTTGAGAACAGCATATCCGACACCGATCGACTGCTTTTGCAAAAGGACGAAGAGGTAAGGGGTCGTAGTTAATCGAATTCATCATTTAGGTCAGTGACGAGCAACCCGTGGTCTAGGTTCTTTATGCGACCCACTTCAAACAGCTAAAATAACAAAAAAAGTTAAGTGAATGCTACAGTAAATCGACAATTTTTAAATTAATAAATTAGATTTTTTAAGGTTACAATTGCAGCGGCTCCTACGGATTATTGAGTTATCAATTTTGGCACACTGCCAAAAAAAAAATGTTGCTCTTCACTGAATTTTGGTGAAATGTTTCGAGTCAAGAGTAAAATATAAAAGTTGGGCCAAGTTTAATTCAAGAAATAGAAATGGAACAATTAATCAACAGTACACCAAAATTAAACAACTATTTCAACCTCTTTCACCGTGAACTTATTCTCGAAAAATCTTTGCAGATACGTCGCATGCAAGATATACTCGCGCAGATGCAGGAGAAACTAAAAGCCACGGGTCAAGTCGGCCCTGGTATCGGTCTCAGGGGAAGAGTCGGCAGTTTGGGAAACGATTTGGACGCCACCGACGTAGAGAAGAAACGGAACAGTATTATAGACGTTTGAATCTTCGATCGTCCAAGATATATTAGGATTACGTTTCGACCGTCGAGTGCAAACTTTAGCACAAACGAGCCCGTTTTGGGTCGACACGAATACGCACAAGGTTGACGAGCAACGTATTTAAAGAGAAGGGAAACCAAGGTGTTTGTGTTTTACACCTTTCCACGCGTCGAAGATGGACGGTAATGCTTCTAAAATCATTCGCCCCCTGCGGACCGTTCGTAAGCGATCTTTCGTAGTCTGCAACATTTTTCATTTAGTAAAAGCATGTCAAATTCTTTGTTTTCATTGTACACGGTTTGTTTGAACAGTCTGTGAGCTGAAATTTTTATTGTAAATTATTTAGAATAATTTCCTTATTTGAAGAAATACATTGTTTGTAATATTCATGCTATGTACATAATTCAAGAAACAACTGTGATACTTCTTTTTCAAGATGGCGGAGATAGTGACGGTTGGAGCCTTTAAACTGTTAAAAAGTTGTTAATTGAATGTATTGCTTTCAAATGCAAAGCGCAGAGTTGTAAAAGGGTGCGGAACGAATGATTTTTGAAGCATTACAGCATTATTAATCGAACTAACTGTGAGGAGATCAGTCGCGTTAAGATCTTTATCTTATGCGACGTTTCCACTTTTATATGTATGTATATTAGCAGACGAAGTATCGTAAATTCTCAAACAGTATTTGATATCGCCACCACGCACTCACACGAACGATAAATTGTGTTGTACATATAAAAGAATGCGAAAAAGAGAGATGGCGTAAACGAATAAAGAATTACCATTGGGGAAGAATATTCGTGTAATTGTATTTTCTCTTAACAGGTCATTCCTTTCTAAGAATGAGACAGTTATAATAAAACTATACTAATCATGCGTTCACAGTTCACTATTCCCATCAACATATATTACACACACTTTATTTGAATAGAAACTGTTGTCAATTTAACAAAATGGACGATTCACACAATCATTAGTTTCCACTAAATCCTTTTAAAACCTAATCTACAATCTTATACGTATGTTTTTCTAGAAATAGTGTCGACTCTTTAACAATTCAATAACTTTCATTACATTAAAATACTTTTCAATACCTTTCAGTACCTTTCAATATGATAAATACCTTTATTCGTTTAATTCCAAGAATATAATGATTTCCTTTATAATATGTACCAAAAACTTAAGTTTTATTAAAAATAGTAACAGTACCAAAAAAAAGAATACACAGTAAACAGCACGACTATATTTTGACTGAACTTATTGATTGTGATTTAAAAGTATTAGATTGATGAAAAACAAATGATCGACAACCATTCACGACTGTACCGTTATAATGCCGTACAGATGGTTGGAAACACTGTTCACTACGATTTACTTTAATTTTACAAAATCTGTGAAACAATAATAACAATTTAAAAATGTACAAATCAACCTAATACAAAGATTCCTGTGCATCCCTGCTAAACTCAATTTTAATCTCGTACTGATAGCGACAAATGAAATTTCTGCAAGAGATTTCGTTTCTTAAGAAACACTTGATTGGTAGAACACGATTTTAATAATTGCATACACAAAGTAGCAAGCGCTTCAAAGAATTCAGGAACTGTTGCGAGCGTACCGAATAAGTGATTGCTGCTGTATAGCCAGAAAAGACAATGCGGTTTTATTATTAACTATAATTATAGGTATGGATTCGTATTAAAGTGCCCCTAAATAACTGTGATTCCATCTCCATTTCGTCGCACCAGCGGTCAGCAGCCCGGTATAAAATCCACTGGGTTCGCAAAGTTACGCTATTTTCTTTCGGAATAGTCGCGCTGGATCGTGCCAACGTGCTAATGATTCCAAAGGTTTGTACGCTGTTAATAATAACAAATCAATTGAACCATGAAACTGTATAATTTTCTTTTTATTCCACGGGTATTTCGAGAAACGTGACTTTTAATAATTAGTGGTGATTTAAATCAATTACGTTGTTCCAAAGAAAAAAGTTAATAATTTATAGTGACAATAATGAGAAGAATAATACTATAACTTCATATACCTAAATGCATCAGCGCATTGCTTTTGACTGACAGTAAGGTCTAAATATCCGGATTTTTTATTTGCGATAATTTACGCTATCGTAAAAGTTGACACTGTTATAATTAGACTGTGCGCATGTTTATACAAATGCACAATTTTAAACACTAAATTTTAGATACTGCTGTTAATGTACTGTGTCGTGTTTACGCGCAGGGACTTCTGTTAACGATGATGTTGGTAGGAATCATGAGCGAACCTCAAGGACCTGCCTATCTACCGCCCCCAGGAACACGTCCACCCACCAGCGGAGGAGGAGGAGGCACTGGCCATCCAGACGAGTGGGCTGGTGTAAGTATTTAACTATTTTCCATTTATATAACACACTTTCATCTAACTATAATAAATAAATTTTTAACCCTAACAATAACCCTATAGTACATTGACTGTTCAGAAATACTATAATATAAATCAATTATTAACGATAACAATAACCTAACAGTATATTGACTGTTCAAAGTAATTAGATATAAATACATTTTTTACAATAATCCAATAGTGCACTGACTGTTTAGAAATATTAGGATATCAATGAATTTTTAACAATAACAATAACCCATCAATACACCACTGTTTAGAAATAGATATTAGGATACCTACTATATGAAGAAACTGTGACATTTCACCAAAATTATGCACGAAGTCATATCGAATCGATAGTCTATTCCGAAAACATTACGAGTATTGTATACTTCAAGCTGAGGATTGTCCTTACATGGGAAATTACAAGAAATGTGAACATGTTAGAAAGAATTCGTAGTAGTATAGTACGTAGAGTCCAAATATGTATGCAACAACATGAGGAACACTCGATCAGTGATAAAATAGTTGATTCTACAGAAAGAGTAATGTACACCAAGAGTCATTACTTACTTACTAAATGCACGCATACTTCGCACATTTTCAAAATTGTTTTCCTCGAAAACGAAGCCTCGTTTAAACAAAATTTTATTCTTCATTTTCCATTTATTTTTTTATGGGGGATCGCACTTTACTCAATAGTACTAAACTTTGCGAAATACCCTGTATATTTTGTACACTACCCAGATAGTACATGACGCCCAATATAGTTTTGAAGACGGCATAAAGTCGTCTTGGACCTAAAATAACCGTAAAATGGGTGTCTTCAAGGCGTCATATGCTATCTGGGTACCGTTCAGACACATTAAGACACCTGGTCGATATGAAGAAAGTCTGACGCTTCATAAAAATTACATATTTTTGGCCACTTTTATTACCTTATATTTGCATAAATGTTATCCACCCGGGTTTAATGTTGATGAAAGTTTTGGTGGAAAGCAGTGGATTGAGCAGCCGGTTGAAAATAAAGTAGTCGAAACGTACTGCGTTTCATAGAACATCTAATCTTAATGTAATAATAACTTGCTTTGGAGAAACATATTTACAGTAAAGAAAACTCACAAATATTGCAACAATAGTTAATTAAACAAAATCAAAGAATGCTAACAAAGTGCACATGTTGTTCTACTACGAACATGTGCCGGACTATCGTTTATACACCGCCGCGCAGGCGCAGGATCCACTCGCTGTGCGCGCGCACACAAAAGCGCGCCAAATTGCGCATTTCCAACAAAAATGTCTTCTAAGCAATATTCACGTTGAATCTTCGACAACTTCGTAATGCCTCATTACACTTACATACTTCATATTCGATAATGGCTCTAATACTTATGAAGAGCAACTGTCATTTTAAGTGGAAAATTTTTAAGCAAAATAGATTTTAACTGTACTTAATAATGTTTCTAGTTGGTAATACTGATCAAATACTTGTAGACGCTACTGTCATTACTAATGCACTAACCCCCCAACGCAGGAAATACAATTCTGTTGAGCTTTAATTTCCATATAACTATATATGTCAAACATTATGAATACCCATAAACATCTACAGTTTACTCACGACTCAACCTAAATAGTCTAAAGTACAAAAGGTGGCCCAGAATACACACTGCTCAAAACAATTATGGGATCGCTTTCCTGGAGGGTGGTGTTGCGCCAATCAAGCGAAAAAAACTAATCAAATGGTATAGGTTCGATTAATTAACACAGTTTTCATCGGATACTAACACTTAGTTTTATTCTATCAAAAATTATACCACGTATTAACGAACACAGAGCTTGTAATACATGACCCTCTAATTGTTTCGAGCAGTGCATAATTCTTTTCAATGAAACATTACAACGTGGACCAAGTGTTCTAATACTTACGAACGACAGCGTAGACAGAACAGAACGCAGAATCCATGAATCGATCTGATCCGATCTTTTTCTGACAGGATCCAGCGAACTACGAATTCTCGTACGAGGTCCAGGATGGAGTGGCTGGTTTAGACTTCGGCCACCACGAGTCGCGTAAAGACAATGAGGCGTCCGGGACTTACCATGTTTTGCTGCCAGATGGCAGGACGCAGATCGTCGATTACGTTGCCGATGGTGCTGGTTACCGACCAATGGTACGGTACGAGGGAACAGCGACGTATCCTGCCCCTGGAGCCTCCCCAGGAGGATCGACCAACAGCGAGGGATACCGATATTAATTCTTTCATAGTGAAATAAAATAACAGAAATATAAATAACAAATATCGTGTACCCTTCTTCCTTCATATCAGGTTGAACGGAAAGTTTGTGCGTTATTCAACAATATATGATTATAATTAGACTGCTGCAGAAATTTATGCAAATTCTCAATTTCAGATAGTAATGTCTAAAAATTAAAATGGAGCAGAATTTTTAATTCTGTACTAAAAGCTTTACTACGTTAATAATACCACACAGATGGTGTTAAACTCTATTAAAACGTTTATTTTATTGCATTTTCCAAGTTAGAAGATGCTATAAGAGCATAAACATCTACGGTTTAATTATAATAGGAGCCATAGGTCAACGCTTAGGTCTTGCCAGTGACTCCAAACGGAGCCACGTCTTATATTACGTTCTTTTCAATCAGTATTAAACCAGCACTCATGGCAATTGTATATTTATTGTGTAGGAATATTAGTATAAAAGAAGTGGATGTGTCCAATTGCACAGCGGTTTGTAAAAGTCGTGTAATTAGTTCCAATTACACTGGCAGCGAACGTGTTACTACTATACTTTTGCCCTCCATACATGAATATCGCCAGTGGAATGCAAAAAGTTAATATAGTAATTTTATTTCGATATAGTATTGCTTCACTAATAATACAAACTATCCAAGGATACAGAGTAAAACACTGTAACTATTCTAGTTGCGTTTGTACTTAATTTATTGTAATGATAAAGACATATTTAAAATCAGACCTATTCGACAATGGCGCCATCAGTGTATGTAAAAAAGAAATATTTATTTCCCAATTCGTGATGTCAATTCATAAAGGATTCTTACATTTATAGTACCAACTGATAAAGATTATACGGTAGGTGTTCTCTTTTTGCTACCCTTTTATGCCGTCGATACATCTAACTGGTTTTCTCTTTTTTTATGCACCTCAAAACATCCTCGACATCCTCCCGCGATCCTAGGAAGATCGGTGATCTCTGGTGAATTTTCTCCGGGATGATTTCCAGAATATCAATTTCCCCATTCGACGCCAAGCCTCCAGCTTCCTTCAGTATATACGCCATTGGCACGCATTCGTATAAGAGGCGAAGCTGCAAGTAAACGATATTGGACGCTTCGTTGACTTTATTATTATATTTTCATTAACTACAAAAACGAATGATAATATTTCATGCAATGAAAACGTGTATCCTTTTCGCTCGTGATAATTCAAGGTAATTAAAATCACGATGGACTTGCAATGGCAGAGGACAACATGAATGCCGTACAATAACACATTTGATTAAAATAAAAACTATTATAGTATGTTAAATGGATACCTTGCCGCTTGGATGACTTGTGGTTGCCGGATAAAGAAATATTCCACCATACTTGATCGTTCTATGCACATCAGCGACCATAGAGCCCACATATCTCGCGCTGTATGGTTTCCCGCTAGCAGGATACTTCTTCGAATGAATATATTCTCTGATAGCTGGGTCCCAGGCACCCTCGTGGCCTTCGTTAATACTGAAATTGTTATCTTTCGATTAGAAAATGTAAATAGATCCATTCATCTTGCTCACGTTATCTATTCCGCTGAGTTGTTCAAATGATTCTGTTATTTATAAATATAAAAATGTGTAAACTCAAAGACCTGCTTGGTTTTTCAGTAACTATGATTAAACAACTTTACAGTTTTGTACGTTTCTTGCGAGTTACAAATAAATTCCTCCCTTTTTCAGGTTGTGTTCATTCCCTTAAAAAGGTGTAACACTATTAGTGGTAAAAAAGTAAAAGTAACTACTTTGGAAATTGTTGCAAGTAATCCACAAATTAGTTGGTGACAAACTGAACGATGTTATCCTGATTTAAATACATTTTTTTGAACACAACTATTGATGATCTTAAAATGACCTTCAAAATGACTTTAGGGGGATTTTCTTTATCATCTCCAGATGTACAATACGTCTTAGAAGCATACAGGATGTCTTAGATTGGGCAGTACAGTTTAGATATTCATTATAAATAACTACACCCTGTATATGTATAATTGCGTTCAAAAATATTAACTGCTTTTAATAAAATTCTGAAAGTTTATACCACGTTCGTGTTTACGAAAATTTCGCAACAGACAGTTCGTAAATTCGAAACATTACCATTTTTAGGCAACCAGTCGATAGTTGCGTCGAAACTTCTTACCTGTATATGTCGCCTCTGGGAGGAACACGTATGTTTTTCTCGGTCAAAATAAATTCTCCGATAGCTGGATCGTAAGTGAATCCGTTCACCCCGTGACCGATCGAGAGTACAATCATGGTGGCGGAACCGTAAAGAGCGTATCCAGCTGCGACCAAGTTCTTGCCTGGTTGAAGAGCGTTCGCCACCATCGGCTCCTGCAGTTGCTCCGATTTCTTGTAGATACCGAAAATCGAGCCAACCGACACCAAACAGTCGATATTGGACGAGCCGTCCAACGGATCGAAGCATATTATGTACTTTCCACGCTTCTCAACCTCCACCTCGATCGCTGTCGTGTTCTCTTCGCTCACAAGAAGGTAACTGGAGAACGAGGACGTCAACATATTCACAAACAGCTCGTTGCTCAGCACGTCCAACTTCTTCACCTCTTCTCCTTGGATGTTCTGTGCGCCAGCTATGCCATACCTGCCCGGAACATTGACGAAATAGGATTAGGAATACTATAGTACAGCCTCGATGAGTACGACGTACTCGGGTCCACTTTGGAGCATTCGTGTTGCCTTGCATTGCCTTATCAGCAATACTTAGAAGGGTACTCACATGTTGGCGATGCCGGCTTTCCTCACCGCCGAGCTGACCGCTTTCACGGCGGTCTGTATGTTGTTTAAAAGCTGGCTTAAATCACCAGTGGCGATCGGTATTTTTCGTTGTTCGGCGAGCACAAATCTCGTCAAAGTCATGCAATCGGCATCGATCGAAGGATTTTTCGTCGTCATGATCGCGACCGCGTATGTACCCGTGCGTTGTTCAGTTGCACCGTCGGGTCACTGGCGAAATAAACTGGACCACGTTCAGCCGTTTCTGTTATATAAGGTCAACCGGGCTTCCCGATATTACCTTATCTTCATAGTGAAAGCGATATTAGAGGATATGCAACCTCGCGAAAACCGCGACTCCAGATCGTAAACGGAACGGTTCAACGTCATCCAAATGAGCCGTGTTTTTTTTTTTAACACTAACCGTGACTTTTATATACTAATTTGTACCGTTTTTAAAACCGGTCATTTGACCGGCAGTTGGTACGGTTAGTTTTAAATAAATCAGATATGGGCAAATACATCATCTAGATAAAGAGTTTCGAATTAGGAATAAAGGATAAAAAAGTATTTAGCCATTTATAATTGATTAAACGTGGAAGTTTCAATATTTCTCCTTGGCAAACAATTATTTAATCTCATTAACTGTTTAAAAGTCAGACTAATCACTGCTTATTTCTACTTGTATTGATTTTTGTAAATATTAACAGTGGTATTATTCAGTTTTCACAAATTGATATAACTTGAACATTAAGATACAGCAAAAAGAAAAACAATAATATTATAGTATAGTCAACCTTTAGTACAAGTAGAAATAGTGAACCATAAACAGACATGCCCGATGAATCTTCAAATTCGGTTTTTTCATAAAAGTACGATAGCACCGATGTTTTTCTGTAAAGTCATTTGCGTCACGATTGTACTACAATTTACTGGACACCCTATAGAAATAATATACAAGATAATCATGATACGTAACTCGTACGCTTGTAAATATTTTTCATAATCTAAAAAAATACGCACAACTTGATACAAATATATGTCAACAATATTTTGACGGTATTATTTTCGAATACACGATTCATCCTAGGGTTATCGACACCACAAGAGTTCGAAAGTTTGATTTAACACGCAGTTGATAATATGCATGATAATTATTGTGTACCATTATTATTGAACAGAACGCTCCGCAAGATGACGTAATACTAAACACGAGGTAATTCTTCTTAGAAAAATCAGTCAAAACTATAGAATAAAATTTTATTACGACTTAGTTGTTAATATAAACACACTAACTGATATAAGCATATATGTTGAAAAGTGATAACGAAAGTAAAGTAATAATTTTAACAATTATTTATAATGTCATACATATTAGTATTAATATAAAAGATTAGTAATTAACTGTAATTATTACTGATATTATTCAATATTAATAATATTCAAGAATACAGATTGAAATTATTAATTGTTCTACAGAGATTCCACTGCATGTCTAAAACTGATAATTAAACTGCGGTAAATACTCACTTTTGTTTTATTATTATCTTCATTATATCTATTCCTTATATTTCTCATTTCATTACTGTTACGTGCCATAACGTTTTAAATTTTATATTATTTGTTTGTAGTTTTAAACATGTTTATTTTTATTACATACTCTATGTATATTATATAATAAATTTGATAAACAAATTTAAAATTGCGAGCAACTAATATCAATTTTATTATAACTCAAATTTATCATACACGATCCCATACAGTAGCCGTCACTCATAATCAGTGTCTTGTCTATTATAAGTCGTTTCGAAATTCAAACGTATCCCAGATTCCCAGCATTTGTTTTAGTACTGAGCTTCATCGCCTATGGCGCTGCAAAATAATCAAGAAAAAACGGGAACATGTATCCCCGTGCATGTCCTGTATATTTTGATCAATTTTGTTCAACGAAGTATACTCAATTAATTTACCTCCCGCTTTATTTAATTTTTATTCTACAAATAAAATATCATTTAAAAAAGATCACTTTTACTGATCAAATATATTAATTAGGTGAGTTTTACTGAATACAATATTTTAAAGTTGACGTGTATTTTTTAAAAGTTTTCCATCAGTTGACGGATTAATAATTGTGCTTTTTGAATTTCGTAAAACCTAGAAATAGTCTTTTATTTCAACAATTAATATTGTTTTATAAATGTTTTCGTATGTGTATGAAATAAGAGTAATTAGAGAATTATTCATAAGTTATCTATGTCCTTAATTTTAAACATTTTTTTTTAAAGATAACACAATGCAGAGATCCATTAGATTAAAACGTGAACTTGAACGGCTTAAGCAAAATCCAATGGATGGAATTTGTTGTTATCCAAAGTCAGATAACTGTGAAAACCTTGTTGCAACAATTATTGGACCTCATGGAAGTGCTTACATTGGAGCTATTTTTGAATTAGAAATTGATATACCTGAACAATATCCATTTGAACCTCCTAGAGTTACTTTTAAGACACCTGTTTATCATCCAAACATTGATAATAATGGTCGTATCTGTATGGACTTATTAAATATGCCACCTAAAGGTAGTTGGAAACCTACCATCAGCTTGCAAAATCTTTTGGATGCTGTGCAGTGTCTTTTGGGGAATCCAAATCCTGATGATCCACTAATGGCAGATATAGCTCAGGAATATAAATTTAATAAGGTGGAATTTGAAAGGAAAGTGAGGAAGTTTATAGAAGAAACTAAAACTAAACATCTATAATTGTAAGTATTCTTAATAGGTATCAAATAAAAATATATAAAATAAATATATGGAAAATTACATGTTTCAGATATGATAAGTGAAATCTATTTATGATAAATTATACCTCTGCAAAATTTTTGAAAGCTGAGGGAAAAATAATGTGATTTTTTAATACCATTTTGTATTTGCTATAATTAAAAAAGTGTTACAAAAGATGACCTTTGCTAAGAAAAGCTGGAAACATTGAATGCTTATAGCATCAGTATTATTTTCTTATAGTCACGCTTATGGTACTCTGTATAATTGCATTGTCAGCTCCATACACCATATCACAGGGTAGCCATTAGTGGTAGTAACTCAGAAGTATGTCGCCAATCAGTGAAATAACTGCATAATCATGTCCACTGCTTTCTACAATCGCACTATTAATACCTTGCAAAGTGTTATAAAGAAGAAGCATGTACATACTGTGTTTATTAATGACACTCCAGTATTACTCAGAAATCAAGCGACTCTAATAGATTAGGATCTTTCCAATGAAATGTTATTTATTAATAAAAATCGGATACAATAATTAATATAATAAATTATAATTATGCACAGATAAGTACACAACCTGCGCATTGTGATAAAAAATGATTTATTGTTTACTTTCATACATTAATTAATAAATTGTAATCAAGATTAAAACAAGTTTTTCTCTCTTTCATATACCGATAATATATATATATATACTATATATATATAGTACGTATAGATGACTATAAAGTGTGAAAAGAAAAACCCCGAGTAATCAGTGCGTGACTGTAAGGTAAGTCTGCCGGCTGAGCTCCTGCAGTAACGTTGGCTATCGCGGAAGTCAGTCGGCAGACTCGCGCTCTGATTGGTCAAGGTTATTCGTTAATAACTCGTTAACAAAGCCTCGGAATATTTTTTCATTAAGGAAAAAGTTGTTTCAAATTAACCCAGAAATCACCCCTTTCAAGGACTTACATCCATTTTCAGACACCCCTATGCTATGTATCATTTGCACCATAGAATAAGACAATATAGATAAGAATATTAGTTTTGTTAATATGTATCATCATAGATGAAAGTGATATGGACGATTATTAATACATCATTTGTGCAACGTTATACATATAAATTAAAGCATGTTTAAATATGTCTTTCGTTCAGAAAATTCATTATAATGACATAAAGTATTTTATAGAATAAAAAGCTTCAGAAGAAAAATATAAAGCTTATATAAATACTCTTTATTGAAGATTGCATATTTTGTAGATACATTCAATAGATAACAAAATAAGTAAATATAGTTAATAATAGTATTAACAATGACTTCTTTTCTCGCTACGCATATAGAATTAAAACTTGCAAAGACAAATAGCAATGTTCGGAAGAAGCACAGGATGTTTAAAACTTATTCAAAATAAGTGTTTTTTCTTTTGTTATTTTTAACGATGGCATTACATATTATATGTTCAAAGAAACCAATAAAATTTTTCATATGTATCCTGCATCCTCTTAGAATAACATAACTGGTATAATGTCAGGAACGACCTCTAGTATGAACATCGTGTAACTATTGCTTCAGTAAATATCACTGAACTGGTCTCCTCGTTTTATCGACGGAAATGTACACTTGCCCATCAATTTACAAATCAATAACTCGCAAATACGAGTAGTGTTCTGTATACGTATAAAAAGATCAAAAGTGTAATAATTTAGGGAAGACACTGTAAAAATAAGAGTTTTTAAAAATCACAACCTTAGGTGTTTAATTCGATTTTTAAGGAATTCGTTTTAGTCCATAATGAAAGCCCGGAAGTGAAGTAACGCAAGAAGAAAGTCGCCATTTTGCGTTCGTTGAGACGGATAAAGACTCTGTGAATGACGGCTAGTTCGAGCTGAGTAGCGTTCGTTTAATTATCGTTCCTTTGTTTTTTCTTCCATCATTCGTTCGGCTGTGCCGTGTTAAACAGCGTTGATGATTGGGATTCCGCGTGACGATCGACATAAGATCACGGTTAAAATCCGCAACAATATGAAAAGAAGCTCTAGTCGAGACACTCCACCTCCTCGCGTCAAACGGAGCAGATCCTCCATGGGACGGTAAAATCTTTTCCATTGTTTGAAATTTATTGATTTAAAAAAGATTCTAAGCAGAACATACGTATTCGTTCAGTTTTTTATTATAATTTATAAGGTTATTGCAATAATTATATTCAGAATCGCCAGTGCATATATTTTGAATTATCAAATTAATTTGTTTATAGTCTAAAAATTAATATAATTTTATTACTAATTATTTTGCAAATTTACAGATACGATGATTCTAGTGATGAAAGAATTACTCCAGAAAGAATCCGTCGACGTAGTAGAGGTGCAAGAAGTCCCAGTCCTCCAACTCGTGCATCATCTCATGCTCGTTATGTAGAATCCAGTTCTCACAGAGATGATTATTTAAGAGCACCTAGGGAATTACCACCAGAGCGCCCATACGGCTACAAAGTACTTTGTATCAGCTCAATTCACCCAAAAGCAAGCGATGAAGTTATTAAAGATACTCTTTACAGAGAATACAAGAAATTTGGGGATTTCTCTATTAGAATTTCCCATGAACTAGACGAGCGTGTTGCATATGTTTGCTTCAGAAGTTCAGAAGATGCTAGAGATGCAAAACATGCGAAACCAAGAATTATTATGTATGACAAAGTGGCACTTGTTGAGCCAGTTTATGAGAGACCAGACACTTATCGTCGTCCAAGATCAATCACACCACCTGATTATGAAAGATACTACGCTAGAAGCCCTGGTCCAACAGATAGACATAGACCATTGGAAAGATATGAAAGAGTTTACGGACCTCCAGTTGGATTGCCTCCACCGCATAGAGAAATGAGACGTGAAGCAATTCCTCCCCCTCATCATGACTTTGTTAGACCACCAATTCATCATGGTCCACCTCATGTTCATCCTGGTCCACCACATCATTATGGTCCCCCAAGACATATGATGATACGACATCCGGTTCATGGATTTGAAAGAGTAGAAAATAAAAAAGACAAATTCCCTAATTATCTGCATCATGTTTCACCAGAAGATGATCCACTGGCAACAAGAACTCTCTTTGCAGGAAACTTAGAAATCAATATCACCGAAGAAGAATTAAGGAGGATTTTTAGTAAATATGGAATTGTTGATGATATTGACATCAAAAGACCTCCACCAGGAACAGGAAATGCTTACGCTTTTGTCAGATTTCAAACATTAGACATGGCGCATAGATGTAAAGTTGAGTTGTCTGGACAGTACATAGGAAAGTTTCAATGCAAGATTGGTTATGGAAAAGCTACTCCTACTACGAGAATTTGGGTTGGTGGTTTAGGACCATGGACATCTGTACCGCAATTAGAAAGAGAATTTGATCGATTCGGGGCCATAAAAAAAATTGATTACATAAAAGGCGACAGCAATGCTTACATTCTGTATGATTCGATTGACGCGGCTCAAGCTGCTGTGAAAGAAATGAGAGGTTTTCCTTTAGGTGGTCCAGACAGAAGATTGAGAGTCGATTTTGCAGATGTTACACCAGGATTTGGATTTAAACCAAGACCTTATCCAGAGGAAAGCGGTGAGTTTAGACCAAGACCAGTAGATTATGATTCTTCTTATGATCCTTATGGACCAGATAATGACTTCGGCTATGGACCAAGAGGATTCAGGGGTAGGGGATCTAACCCATGGCATGAAAGGAGAGGTGGAGGAAGGGGTGGTTATCGTGGGTCCTATCCAGAAAGTTACATGAGAGACGAAGCTGACTGGTCTAGTCGTAGACCACCTCCAGAGTTGGAGTATGAAGCTCCAAGAAGTTTACGTCGATCTTTATCAAGGGAACCTGGTGTAGATAGATCAAGATCAAGATCTCCCCGGAGAAGGCAAATTGATTCCGATTCAGATTCGGAGAATACTCGTACCGGAATGCTTTCTACCTCTCGAACGCTGCCCGAAGTTGCTCGGAAATCGATAGCAGTATGGCAAGGAGCATTAATTTTAAAGAATTCTCTATTTCCAGCCAAATTTCATTTAACCGACGGCGATACAGAAATAATTGAAGCCTTAATGAAAGACGAAGATGGAAAGCACATGCTAAGAATTACACAACGATTGCGCTTAGATCAACCAAAATTAGATGATGTCTCGAAAAGAATTCAAACTTCCAGCTCGCACGCTATTTTCCTAGGATTGGCTGGTTCAAGTACAGTTATTTCTACAGACGATGCTAATGTACAAACAAGACCACTGCGTAATTTGGTATCATACTTGAAGCAAAAAGAGGCGGCAGGAGTTATTTCGCTGCTTAACAAAGATACAGAGGGGACTGGAGTTCTTTATGCATTTCCACCCTGTGCATTTTCTACAGAACTATTGAAAAGAACTTGCCCCAGCCTCAGTGAAGAAGGACTTAAGGAGGATCACCTGGTAATCGTCGTTGTTAAGGGGGGTAGCGCCTAAGTTTTCTTCATCGCAAGGTTTAGATTTATGTGTATATATATATTTTTTTTTTTATATATATATATACACATAAATACATATATATAATATGTATGTATGTGTGATGCGTGAGTGTATACGATGCGTGAGTGTGTTGCGAGCGTCTGTGTTTGTATATATCGACTACAGTGTTTAGTACCATCACTTTCAATCTATCATTTGCAATTGTTGAAAAAATGCTTCATATGGAATATGAATATTAAATATTCATATAGTTTGGAGGAGTTTGTATAAATGTGGTACAATTTTTTACATAATTCTTTTTTCCTACTCAAATTATTAATTCATTCCGTTAAGATTTTCAGAATTCTATAACCAAAATACGAATACTGTAAAATTTGTTAACAACTATGCATTGTGTGTAATGCATTGAATTTTTTTTACTTCAAAAATATAAATAGAGTGAGCTTAAATTCATTAAATACTGTAATTAGTAGATAAAACAATTAATAATCACAAGTGGTGAAACGTAGTAATCAAAAGTTGTGTAATCTGGAGTGTAAGTTATGACCTACATCCAAATTTCAAGAACTTAGTATTAAAACTTTCTCAAAGTTCGATTAATTTTATGTGAATAATTTTTTTAAATTGCAAATAAGTAAAGTAGAAGATACTAGACACATAAGTCTGTATATCCGTTAGACATCAAATTTTTACGAATCTGAATTGCTTGCAAAAGTGTACAAATAATAAGGATAATAGAAAAAATGTAATGCGACACATTTTCTCAATTTTAATTTAAAATTTCTACTGACATTCATCAGAATTATCCTTCAGTTCTTATATATACATATACCTATTTTCCATCAATATTTCGAGAATTGTAAAACTATATATCAATGAGCGATTCAGTGTTCAGTAAATTTTGATGGAAACATTTAATTACGTTGTCCCAATAATCACGGGTAAATCATAAGAATCTTAGATTTAATTTGTACTATAATTATATGCTCTTATGAGCGTATGTACAGTTCTTTCATATTCTTGAATTGAAACACTTCAAAGAGTTTTTTTCTTTTTGGGTGTCAACCTTGACTTTTCTTCTTTGTTTTAACACGGTCGCTGCCACCGTCGAAGCATTGTCGACACAAGAGGTTTTGCCTCCAGTGCCAGGCGTCGACAGCGTGTCGATCAGTCAGCAGCACACGTTTACAGCCACGGCATCAAAAGTCGATGCCGCTCTGTGATCGGCTACTACCATCTTGAACCCTCCGTTGAACCCTAAGACCACTTGTGTGTGCGCGTTTGTGGCTCAGATTACGAATCGTTGGTATACAGCATGCCCCTTACGATTTTCTGGGTGGCAGCGAACGTATTTTATATTGAATTATAAGTCTTATCCATCGTAAATATAGATTATGAAAGATCTGGTTACACTATATTTGATACAGTAATTAAGTCTAATTAATTGTAAAACTGCATTTTATGATTATGTAGAATTATCTGTGTGATATATACATATAATACTTACATAAGTGACATGTGCGGACGTGTTCTAAAAAGTGAACTGAAGAAAGTGATTGGACAGAATTCTAAAATGGCTCTCTGTGCTTTTCTCCCAGTGAAAAAGGACAGAATCGTTTCTTTTGAAAGGACAGTGTTTGGTGATTAATATTTGAAAAGCATAAAACAAAAAAAAATAGAATGTGTACAGTGAAATGTAAAACAAATCCAAGTGTTTGTGCTTGGCGACCAACATTGTGACGCTCTTTTAAAATACCATTTTAAAAGTGCGTTACAGTATGGCGCAATTGAAGGTGCAGTGGTTTAATCACACGCAATAGTGTTTGAACAACAAAATAGATGACTATTACGCTGAGTTTAATGCATTCATTATTCTTAGTTCACCTACCAAAGTTTCAGTGGCGGCAAACGGAAATAACGATTCCTTACATTAGAAATGTAAATGATTCTTAACAAGGAGGATCCTTGATTATTTCACAGTGGCATCGAAGGATATAACGATTTGTTCAATAGGAAAAGGAAATTTGCCAGGAAGACATATTTCGGTTGATTTCAGTGGTATCGAGAAAAACAAAGGAAATGATTGTTACATAGAGAAGTTTAGTTATATTACTATAAAATGCATGTTGTGACATGGCAATCAGTCGCATGGGTTTTGAACACAAGTTTTCTTGTGAAGTTGACCGTGAATTTGGTGGTGTGGTTTTCCTTGTTTTTTTCAAGAAGATTCTTCCCAACTTTCTTAGATCAATTGTGCAATTAGTGTTCTTTGTGGTCTGTGGCCATTTCTGGCTTTTTAGTTTTTAAAAAGTAACAAAATATTTAAAATGAAAAAAAACAGTAGCGTTTCCAAATCTTTTATTCTGCAGAAACAATTGTGACAAATTTAAAAGTGAAGAATTGTCGGTGCTACTTGAAAGTGTTTTATTTTAATTTGAAAATTTTTTGAATATTACATTTCAGAAAAAGAAAGATTTGTTTCAGAGTCATCGCAACGAAAGGGTTTGGATAGAAGAAGCCATCTACTGTCCACTGTATTATATGCTTTATACAAATAAATCAAAGAGATCGGCAAACATTTCAAAGTTCAATTTTTTAATATTGAAAGGATATGTGGAATAAAGCACACATATTAATCCTTTGCTTACCATCGTAGAATATTTATTATTAGTACCATCTAACAATGGAAATTAGAAGTAATAGTATTTTAACCAACCCATAATTGACAATATCACACTTTTTCTATGAAAATATAAATTTTATAAGGTATCGCTACTTCCACTGTAGATGGTACATATAGTTATAATACTTGGTTCCTTAAGTCTCAGAAAAAATAAAACTTAAAATTATGTCTGATTACGAACTATTCAAACAATTTTATAAATTAATGTATTTCAAATCTATTTCTGACAAAATATACTTAATCGAATTGAGGTATAAAATATTTCAAAGTCACTATTTTTCATTCAAATACAAAATATAATGTTAACTTTTTTTCTTACACCTATGCAAGGTATGAACTTTAATATTCATGGCTCAAAATTAAAATTGTCATTACAGATTTACAAAATCTAACAAAACATATTAAAGAAATAACCGCTTTCATATGTTTCCTTTACATATGTAATCAACCTAGGTAATTGCAAATTTCCATATCCATGTGCAAATTACTACATAGTATACTGCATTTTTATATTTATCAATCAGACGTAATTAAATTATCAATTAAGTCATAGATGTTGTTTTATAAAAATTCATAAACGAAATACGTCATTACCTTATTATTCATGATTTATGTACATACATTAATTTTGAACAGCATAAAATTAATTTACATGTATTTAAAATATAATGAGAAATGAAAATCATACATATGCCATCCAGTATAACCTTCAAATTTTAGGTTAATAAATGCTCGGTTTTAAGGAATGGCAAAAGATTCATTCATTACTTTTGTATTAAACGTATTACAAATATACATTTCATGTATTTAAGCTTCCAAGCAAAATAACTTCCCAAATCTTTCTGGTTTGTTACTTATTCTACATATTAGTTTCTTAATCTGTAAGATTTATACGATGAAAACGTGGTACTGAAATTCAATTTTAATTAAATAAGCGTAAAGTTTTATACTTTGAGTGAAATAGAATACACGAAACATTGAACAAGAAAAGTTAGTGATACATAAATATAACATGCTTAATGATAATCTAAGTCTTTTAAAGCCTTTAGATTAAAACTTATAATGCAATTGCAAATATACGTAAAGTGAAGATTCATACGAATTTTATATTATTCACACTTATTGCTAAAGACCAAAAAAACCTGCAAGGAAAGATTTCAAACATTTTCTACATTAAAACTTGCCCCTACCAAATATATGGACAATTTCCCGTTTTTATCGTAATTTAACATTACAATTACAATGAGTGTAATTTTTGCTATCAAATTACGTTACAAGCACTTTACATTACAATTTATGAAATAATTTTAAAGATTGCAAACATTTAATTTGAAGCAAAAGGAATATGTGGTAATACACTTGGAAATTCAATGCGCACCTCCAAATACCTCAATAATAATAAACCCAGTATAAATGAATGTATAAAAAGTAAATACAAAGTAATATACAAAATACAAGGAATATTTTTGGTGCACACTCTAAATTTTCTAAATTTACAATGTGCGCCTTTGGATTATATTTTTTTTTCAGTTTTATATTATGGTTTATATTCCTCAACTTTAATAAAACATTTTTTTACATTAATGACTAAAGAAACTGAAATCTATTTCTTTCTCTTAATCAAAATGCATTAAAATAGTATCTAGCTCCTTCACTGAAATAATACGTAAATACTATTGCATTGAAAAACCTTGAATTGAGGTCTCTTAAGCAAAACAATTAAAATAGGATATAGTCAACTACACCATAAGAGTTATCAAATACTGATCAATATTGTGCATGATTTGAACAATTACAAAATAGTGTCTATACATGATTCGATGGTTTGAATATATATATCTTTGCGCACACTTATGTCTTTCTATGTAATATGTATGACGTGTATGCATGCGCGCGTGGGCATCCAACTGTTTATGTTTAAGGTTCACGATTCAGGAAAAGTATCTAAATAAATATCAACGTTACTCTTTCTCTTATTACTTAAAAAATACAGTTATGGCATCGCATTACGGCTGAATATCTATCAAAATTAGAGTCCCTTTTGGCATTTTTATTTTAATCGCGATCGTTATGAGGCTTCCTGTTATGAGAGGAAGCTTATTCTTTCCAGTCTTTCTTAATTTCGAACGACCACTCCCACTTCAGATGTTCATGCTTGTCATCATCAGTAAACAAGGAGCTTACACTATAGGCACCACGCGCCACTACTCCAGCCGGTGCATCTTCAGCTGGGGTAGTGTACGATTGCACTTCTGTTTTTGGTGGGTAAGAACCAACCATATGCATCATTTTATCCACTGAAATATAACACAAGAATTATTAATGGATACAATATTGAACAACTAATTTTTTGTGTAAGTATTGAATGTTAAGATTACCTGTAACACCTACCAAGGAAAACATTAAACAAAAATCGAATACACTTATTTAATTTCAAATTTTTAGTCAATTATAATTCAAGATATTATTAAGATAATGATGAAGTATTTATCATTTAATCAATGTCTAGCCATTATTGAAACTTACCCGGTACTCCAAAGCGATACGTCTTTTGTACATATTTCAAACCATGCACAATTTCACGTTGCACGATAAAGTCAATCCTTATTCTATAACTAACACCTTCTTTTATTACAAATGTTTGTTTTTTTAATTGGGAAAGATCACCTGTTAAATCCAATTCCATATCTGGTCTGTTTGCAACACAGAGTGCCAATTTCTTTACTATTACTTTCCTTGGATCATTTGGATCTGTAAATAATTTATATCACTGTTTCTTCTGTATATCATTTTTCTTTAAGTAACAACTTCAAACAACTAACAGAACATTTACCTATAACAATACCACCCGATTTTGCTTCTCCTAAAAGTGTTTCTTTGTATTTACGTAAACTTTCATCTTCTTTATCTGCTTCTAAAATTTGTTCAATTGTTTTCTCTGGAGGAGGCTTGTAATTAGATTCTACTTCTAATTCTTCCTCCACTGAGTCTATATGATCTGTATTTGACTCTGACATTTTTGCTGTAATCAAATAATGTTACTTACAACATTATTGATAAAAATAACACATTTGGAATCTTAAGAGTTAATTTAGCGTAAAACCACATAAATAAGTAAACAAATAACATAATATGAAATTAAAGTAAACACTGCAAGTACAGTATTAGCAATTTTGAATTAATAGAGATTTTGAAAGTTTTGATATATGTATTGTATACAATGCTCATACATACATATACATATCTCTATACAGATGTTTCTATGGAAGAATATTTTTAGAAATATCAAACAATAGGAAAATAACAGTACTGCATGGTCTCTTTGTCATTATTATACGTTTTTATGCCGTCGGACGTTTGAGAAAAATATCAAGAATTAATCAGTTGTAAAATGAAAGAGCGAGAAATGTCGAAGCAAGAAAATGACAGGCAGATAAAAAAATGTCTGGATGAAAGTACAAAACCATTAACAAGTAATCGATCAAAAATCATTTAACTTCAGAAACAACTAAGTATTTGGATATTGAACTTACCTTAAATATAAAATAGGAGGACAAAGATTAAAGAACGAAAACTTATGCAGAATTATTAGCAATCTCTTAATCCTGTTTGCCACCCCTCTGTGATTCGCTTCTCAAAGCGGAAGACATGGACAATATGGCGGCTCCAAAAGGGCGGGTACTTCCTGTTCTGATAATCATTCAAGGTTAACTTCTCTTTTCAGTTGTTTCTTAAATTACTTTTTCTCTCAACAATGAGTTTTGTTTTGCTTATAAACTTATGGTATACCTAATGTAGGTACTTTTAGACCAGTTAACTGTTTGTACTTCATATGTAAAATTTATATTCTATTGAATTGTATATTTTTTTAAAGTGCGAAGAATTTCCCGCGTTTTATTATATCCACGCTAGTTCTCTTGTATACATATGTATGTACATGGTCTTATATCTTATTTTTTAATTAACTAACTTTTTTAACAAATCGAAATTGTTTTTCTTCATATTCATTCGGAATAATGTAATCTTTCCATAATGATATTGTTAATTCATACATGACGTCATTTGTTAACAGTAACATGTGTAATTTATTCGAAAATTATGCAGTCGAAATGATGTCGCAATATTTACTTTTTGCAGGCATTTAAATATACACTCATATAAAATAGTTTTTGTCATAACTATTTATTTAGGATGTATTAATGTATGTATTCTGATTTATGATAAACTTACATATACGTGTAACACATAGATAAATGCGAATTTCTTTTAAAAGGAACATTTATGTTCATATTACTTAACTCATTAGTTATAGATTTGAATCATTTCTTAAAATGCATTGACAATGTTCCAATAGTATATTTATACCCTTTTGATTTCTAAAATTTGATTTACAGTTTTGAAGCTTCTCATACAATAGTTCTGGATGCACTTTTGCTAATTCCTTTAAACTGTCTGAAAAATATAATATAATATTTTAATATTAATAGCATCTTAAATTGCAACAGTAACATAATATATATAATTACCTAGCATAACATTTTGAAATTCACTCTCTGGATCATCTAAATATATTATAGTTGTAGTATATATTGTATCTATATGTGCTTTATTAAAATGTAGATTATAATCCTTAGGTATAAAATTCAAAACTTTTACTAGAGCTTCTAAAGACGCTAATCTCACATCATCACATCCATCATCGAGTCTTTTTAAAAGTACAGGATACATTCTATGTACAAATTCTTCAGTGACATTACAGAATCTTTTTCTGACACACATTATTAAATATATGGCTCGTAAAGAATACAGTCTACTCTTTTTAGAATTGTCATCTGCAAGACTAATCAGAGTAGGAATTATTTTATCTAATTCTGAATGAATATTCTGTTCTGAAGAGTATTGAGTTTTTTCCACCAAAAGGTTCTTTTTATGTCTTTCTAAAAAAGCACACAGGCAGGCCACTGCAGCAGTGCGTACAGCTTCAGCAGTTCTTCCTGCTGTCCAAATTAATCCAGGCAGTATAAAATCTTCCAAAAACTGATTAGAGAACTTTGGATCTATAATTTCGTGTATAGATTCTTGATTAAAGTACTCCGACAACAAAATAAAATGTTTGAGTTTCAATTCAGGGTCAGCATTGTTGGCCATAGTTTGCTTCAAAATTGGTAAAATAATATCCGCATGAAGATTGAGAATTGTTTTGACATAAATTAAACATGCACAGAAAATTTGAGACTCGGGACTATGGACTGACCACGAATTGCAATCAGAAAGTAATAAAGCGAACTCCTTAATATATTCACAGTAGAGTTTCTCTACATTTTCAAAGGAGTTGATATGTGCAAGAGTATTTAATAGTTCTTTTGCTCTTAATTTTGTGGTATGTTCTTTTGTCATTGATAGAATAGTAAATATTACTATGAATAAATACTTTGATATAAGCTTGCAGTCCTAAAATTTATAAATATACTGAGATTAAGAAACGACAACAAATTTTATGTACACAAAAATTATGGAGAAAGCAAACCTCTTTGCATACTAAGATCAAAGAATAGCAACAAGAAAGTATTTGTAGTTGGTATGCTGCTTTTTTACTTTGACAGATATGCGGTTGTTGCAAGAATTTCCCAATGTCTTCCAAAAAAGGAAGAAGTGTGCTGTGTTCACTACTCTTTAAAATTGCAGAGAAAACTTTCAAATGACCTACTGATGGAGATTCTTCAAGAGTAGGAATTATCAAATGGCAGTAGGTTTTCGGATGCACAAAATATCCTAAATATTCTGCTGCCCTTTCTATGTTTTCTACGACCCTATTATCTTCGTTATTACATGCTCTGTTGAACAACTTAGTTGTTAAAAATACATGTAATTGAAAATTACAAGGTAACTTCGGTAACTCGAGAATTCCGATTTTTCTGAAATTTTGCAGGTTTATAGGGGATTTTAATAAAAGTATCACACCTTTTTTGGCTACTTTTTGGGTCTTCAGAGTAAGAACACCCGTTAAAAAGTAATCTGTTTTTTCCTGTATGTATATCTTGAAAACTATAATAAATATAAAAAAATGTTACAATAAACAATTAATGGTAATTTATGTCCTATAAATCTATCTAATGAAATAGTTAAAAAATTGTTTATTTATTTATGTAAATAACAAATTAATAATAATTTCATTGCACAGTTTTATAGGGCATAAATTACCATTAAATTTTTGTGACATTTTTTTTCATATCTATTATATTTTTCAAGATATACAGGAATATAGGGAAACACACATTAATTTTTAACGGGTGTTTTCATTCTAACGAACTAATAAGTAGCAAAAAAAATTGTCTGATACTTCTATTGAGGTCACCTATAAACCAGCGGTTTCAAAAAATCGGAATTTTCGGATTACCGAATTTCTCTTCTGAGATAATTTATAATTAAGTAGTGACACAGTTTACCGATACATAGGTGGCAGAAGTTTTTCAATGTGTTGTGTTACATCGTTTTCTATATTTAATATAAATACACAAAGTAATTGTGCAGATCTTACTCGTATATCTGCCATCCAGTCTCCTAATTCTAAACTAATTCCATTAATTAATTTACTGAAAGTTTGCTGTGCTATTACGCGACATCCTAAATTTGGCCTCGGAACTGTAAACGATATAAAAATACAATGTAATAATATAAAAAAATAATGTTTATTATAATTAACATATATTCAACATACCATTAGGATAGTGATGAGGATCCTCTGTAAGAAAATCCATTTTATCTTTCAACTTTTCATCATTCTGATTCTCTTTTATATATAATTGACCTACATCATTCCAAAAATTTGCAGCTTTCTCTCTAATTTCTTGTAACTCGTCATGAAGTCCTGTTAAAAGCAGTGGTAGAATTTTGTGCCACCAACTATACCGGTCTCTTAGATTCAAAAGCCAGCAACCTGCTATTTCTATTACAGCTAAGAAGAAGTATAAGAAATTATACTAATTATATGCTAAATTCAAATGTAATTATGATAGGAATGAGTATTGATAACAAAATACCTGCTCTAACAAGCCCATTTTGATCAAATAATTTTTCAGCTAAAGGAGTAGCCACATTTTCTATGCATTTACTATCTCCATATTGAATCAAATCTCCTATTGATATAATAGATGCGATTCTGACTCTATAATGTTGGTGTGTAAAATCACTCAAAATTGGTTTTACAAGTTTTCCAGAATGAGTATAAAAATGTCTTGATATATTCTTAGCAAATTCAGATACACAACTACAACTTTCTCTTTTAACTAGTGGGTAATTATCTGTTACAGTGCGTATTAATATTTTTATTAAGTCGTCGACATATGGTGTTAACAAGTTATTGTATTTTACTATTAATAGTTTTAATAATATAACGCATTTTAGTCTAACTTCTTCTGAACTTTCTATTAGTTCTTGAGTACCTAATCGTCTCGATAAAATTGGAAGTAAATACATAATATACTTATCATTAGGCGTTAAATTAACTATAAATAATTTCAGAACTTCTAAAGCTTGATCACGACAAATTTCTGCAGAATCGGTTAAAATTCTCAATAAAGATTTGTTTACAGCATCCCACAATTTAAAAATTTCACTTTCAGGTTGTGGTGATTCTAAAATTCGTAGAATTTCTTTCAAACCTTGCACACGTCGTTTCTTTTCTTCCGACTGTAGCATAACACAAAGTTTCATAAATTCGTGATTCGCAGTTTCTACAGACATTCTGAAAGACCATACAAGTTATAATTGTATAACTGAAATAGGTTTTAAACTATCTTTATAGAATTGTGTATTTCCATAGCAACGTTTTTATTGATCTGCTTGTCTTAACTCAAATGTTTATTAGTTTGTAATTACTAATTACACTTATACGTTGTAGGAAATAAAAGAAACTACTCTATTTCCTCCTAAATTTACATTATTATTTTACATTGTAAAGTAATATATTTATGATTTTTAAATTCTGAAACATACTTATCATTTCTCGAATATAAAGTACAATTTTCATGATATTGCAGTACTGAATTAATATTAAAACCAAGCTTTTTAATGTATCTTACATGGGCTTATTCATAAGGAAATGTGTGTGATAAATAAACCTAAATATGTAGAGATATTCAAATAATTTGATTACTGGCTTAATTATACATAGACTAGCACGTTCATTTCTCTGTAAAACAATAAACAAAATTTGATAGATATGCTTCGAGTATGGTCCCCAGGTGCGGAAACTCTTAATATATTTAAGATCTATTAGTTCATTATATTTCTTAATCCTCCAAAGTTACATTTTTAAATAAATACGACATAGATTCCTTATTGTGAATACGTCTAATAGCCTCTGCCAGTAAAATACTGATATCAACAGTCTTTATTTTTGGGCACTGCATTTTTTGAACATCATGAGGTACTGTGTTTGTTACAACAACCTATAAATAATCGATATAAATTCAACTTTTGAAACTCAGCTCTCTAAATGCTTAGTAATCTTAATTCAGTTTTACAATAACTTGTAATTTTTAATGTTACCTCATCAATTGGAGACTCTTCGATTAATCTTGGAGCATCAGAACTTAAAAGTCCATGTGTAGCTAAAACATAAATTTTGTATGCTCCCCTCTCTTTCAGAACTTCTGCTGCAGCTACATATGATTGTACATCATCTATCATGTCGTCCTGAAATTCAAGTTTTTTTTATTCATAGATAAATATAACAAATTATGCTTACGATAAGGTTTTCCTTTTATGAAGTTTGTTTAACTTTACATACCACCATGATAGCTATCCGTCCACCCACATCTCCTACAACATTAATTGGTGGTTTTTCTTTTGCAGGATGCATTGGAACACCAACTCCAACTTCCATTGTTCGAGAAGCTAAGGCAGGTGGGGAATAACGTCCATCATTCATGTCTGATTCCGCTTCTCGCTGTTCTCCATGAATCACTGCTATACCCAAACGTAATCTTTCCGCATAGCTGGTTGCTTTCTTAGCACTGCCAGGATTTCTGGCAACTATTACAGAATTGTGGTAATCTGGAATCTAGTCAAATAAATTTGTAAGTAGAAATCAAAAATGTATTGTAATTGTTTACAATTGTACAGTTTACGTACAGATTCTTGAATATATTGAAGTAAAAAAGGGCTTGCACGTAAATTGTCCACTGGAACATCAAAAAATCCTTGTATTTCTTTCTGATGTAGATCCATTGTAATTATATGAGTTAATCCGCTCTTGCAGAGCATTTTTGCTAATAATTTTGAAACTATGCAACCACGTTTACGCATTTTGCATTGTTTAGAATAAGGTAAATATGGAATGACACCAACAATATTTTTTGCTGAGGAAGTTTTACACGCATATGCCATGATCAGAAGTTCCATTATGTTGTTGTTTACATCTTTGGTTCCAGTCTGAATAATGTAAAGATCTTTACTGCGTACAGAGTCTCCAATTTCAACCATAGTTTCCCGATTCGATTTATGATATACAGAACATCCTCCATGCTTAACACCCAATCGACTTTAAAGTAAAAAGATTACATGAAGTGTAATAAAATATTTAGAATCTGCATTCGTGGAAACTTACTTGGCAATTAGGTTTGCAAGCTCTGGATGTGAATTACCTGCGATGAGTACAATATCAGATGATACAGGTTTATCCATATTTCAACTGTTTCTAAAAAAATAAAATATGCAATTTATGTAAATCATAAAGGAATTAATTTCTTAAGTAACTTTTTTTATTAAAAACAAAGAGTAACAGAATCTTAATGAATTATAAGAAACATATAGATTAACCAATTACAACAACTGATTATTTTGAGAAAGTATCTTATAATTTACAAAATTACGATACAGGTTTAAAATTCATACTACAGTATGTGCTATAGTATGTTTTTAATTCTGAAAATAAAGTTTTTTATTCATTCATATAATAATTTTTTTAACCCTGTAAGTTATATGTTACTAACTGTTTGATGGAAACACAGAAAGTTATAGGTTGAAGAACATCCGACTTCCTCGGGTTTTGTTCACGGTGGCCTTCGACGATTTACCACGATTTACTACTTGCCAGTTGTTATCAGTATACTTGCTTCTTATTGTTAATTCTTAAACAGCTGTTTAACTCAGAAGTGCCAACTTTTTCTTACGAAGACAGTTTAATACATACGTTATATGATTTGTATCATACTTTTCTATACCTATATATTATTTGTTTTTAAGTACTATTAAATAATTAAATAATTGCTATTGACTCTTCGCAGAATGCGTTCGTCGTATATATGATTATCATATATATAAATACAGTGTGATGCTTAATTCAATTTTTCAATTTATTAAATTATCTTCTTAGGCATGCATAAATACAGTACTATTCATACATGAGTACACAATCGCCATCCTATACATTTTCTTTCTATGATATAGAAAGTAAAGCTTCTACAATTCAAATATCTTATTCACGTAACAATTTAGCAGTGTTATCTGTTATTAATTTGAAATAGGTGTATTATCTTAAGTTCCATCCCGTGATATACACAAGTTATTATCTAAGTATATACTATATAGATGAAGTTAAATACGGTATTACTCGAAGTATATTGAATAATAATAAACTTCTATCTATATTACTATTGTACTTATATATATAATTTCTATAAATTAGTAGACTAAATATATTTTCTGCTTTCATCTTCGTAACTAATTATTACTATTATTAGCTACTACCAGAAAATATTGCGATGATTTGATTTTTATATAAAAACAAAGCACTCAAATGCCAACAAATAAACAAAACATATATAAGATTGTATAAAGAGAAAAAACAATTTATAAAACGATAAAGCGCTGTGAGGAACTGTTAATGGCGTTAATACATTAAAGAAACTATTGAAAAAAGTTTCATATAAATGAGTCAGAAGAGACTCGATAAAAATTGACTACCATGATTGAGTGTTGGCAATACTATTCAATACTTCTACATATATATTTATTACTATTTATCTATTTAGTAGTATAACCCTACAATTCTGTACTCGAATTGACGTAAAAACATCCTATTAAGTGTCTAATTTATGTTATTGTGTAATTAATTGATACTATTTAAAAAGTGTGTAAACGTTTCTAATGAAAGATTAATTTTCGTATATTATAATAATATATTTAAAAAACTCCAAGTTTATTGCCACGTAAGTTATCATTCATAACAGGACTATTTATAATCGTTAGATTCTAGATTTTATACATTTATAGTAAATAAACCTAACTGAAACACAATGAAATAAAAATTTTATTTGATTGCAACACAGGTATTATTTGTTTATTTACTATATGAAAACATTAATAGAGAATACAAGTTTACATTTAATTTCTATTTTGATAAATGATTCAAGATAAATATTATTTAGATAAATCATAATATTATTTGTGATCTACAGTGAAGCCCAGATATTACTACACCACTTATAACAGCTGACCGTATATTGCATCCAACTTGCTTTCTAAGTTCAGTTCCCATACACATTACTTTATATATATTTTCATTCTGCTTATAACAACATTCGTTTACAGCAAAGTAATTTCTCTGTCCCTTGAATGTCGCTATAAACGGACTCCACTGTATTTGAAACCCCAAGGTTAAACAGACCTATAAAATTCCTTGTTGATTAAAATTTTATACCTTAAGCATTCCATTTGTTGCTTTCCACGGATGTGTTTATTATATGTATGCTTTCAAGTTTAAAATATGATAATAATTGTTTATATTTAACAGATATACTTTGATTTTTTGTAGACAAAATGATACATGCTACAAGAACAGATACTTCCGAAAGAAGATTTGAAATACAATGTAAATTAGAGACAGAGATTGCCTCTTTAGAAGCATTGAAGGAAGCAGAAGAAAGAAGTAGAAAATTAACTAACAATGTTGTTGGAATTCTTTCTTCTTTGGAACAACGTCTTGCAACATTACGACGTACTATACTTCCTGTTTATAATGAAACAGGGAATCTCCAAGCACAACAACAAAGTACTAGTTTTATTATTACATGTATTAAGTACACAATATTTATCTACTCATATTGCTTTATAAGAGATACATATCTTTATAATGATTTCCAATTATTAGAGTGTTATTACGTATACATATACATACTGCAATGGCTATCTGTATATTCTTTTATTTCTTATTGTATTGAATATTCGATTAGAAAGATTGAATATTATGCCTGATCATACGCATCTACTAATGTTAATGAAATTTGATTACATATTTACTTATCTTCTAACAGATATAGAAAGGACTTTGAATGCATTAGACCATGCTATTGGATATTATGGGGTTTGCCAGGAGGTAGAAGGGGCAGTACAAGCAGGTCCAGGAGGATCCGGAGGATTAGACAGTTTGTTAGAAGCAATGAATCGTTTATATAATGCACAGCGTTATTTTCAAAAAAATAATCCAAGTTCAGTGGAATTAGAGAACATAACAAGTTTATTTGTTGTTGGACTAGACGCTTTATATGCAGAATTCCATGATATTTTAACTAGGCAAAGTAAACCAATATTGCCAATTGTTCTCTTGGATTTAATTGGTTCTGACGAAGATACTAGTGGCGAAGATGCGCCGCAATCGCTTTGTCAATTACCAGAAAGTATTCTAGGGGATTTATTTAAAATTTCTGGGTGGCTTGAGGAGAGAGGACACCGTAAACATGTAAAAATTTATGCGTCTGTACGTTCTACAATTGTTTTACGATCTTTACAACTGTTAAAAGAACACCAGAGAAGTGCCAGTGGTGGCAGTACACATGCCGGAAGCCCGTTACCAGTAAGAACTTACATCAAATAACATATATCTAATCTCTCAAAGATCAACAATCCTATTACATTTTATAGAAAGCAAAATTTGCCACCAGACATTCATTAGGAGGTCAAGAAGCTAGTGGAAGAAGAGCTTCTAAAAGACTACAGCATGCTATTGAGAAGAAAGCTAGTAGAATGTTATTAAAGGCTTCTCAAACTACTGGTTTGGGACTATCCCTGACCGCGTCTAGAAAACCACCGCCACAATTGTCCGCACATTCTGTAGAGGATACAGCGCCAGATGAACAAGAAATGGAGAATTATCTGTTATTAACAGTTGGTCTTCACAAGCTTATGCAAGCGGAACGATCGTTGGTTGCCAAAATTTTGCCAGCTACTTTGCAGGCACAGGTTTTAGAAGCCACTGTGCGTGAAGCTATGGATCTTGTAGCTCATGATGGCGAAAGTATAGCAACCCGTGCTAAAAGATGCATTGTACGGCGTGACTTTTCAGCAGTGTTAGTAATTTTTCCGATTTTAAAACATCTCGGAGAACTAAAACCGGACCTGGAGCGGACTGTTGAAGGCTGCGATTATGCTCTCAGGTCAAAATTCACTTCCGTGCTAAACACTTTAAACGTAACTGTACGTTCTATCACAGTCATATCTTGGAGACTTATTTTTTTAATTAAAATGTTATAATGCATACTTCTTTGTATAGGGAGCAAAAGCATTGGAAGACTTTGCGGAAAGTGTTCGGAATGAATCCAATTCTATTTTACCTAAAGACGGAACTGTAGCAGAAAGTACGAGTAATGTTTTAGTGTTTTTAGAGCAACTAGCAGAATATGCAGATACTGCGGGAATTGTTTTAAGGCGTAGTACTGATATGGAGGGTACTGTTTCCATAAAACAATCTGAAAATATGTGTAGGATTGTTCTCGGAACGTATATCAGTTAGTACAATTGCTTCCTCTCTAAAAATCTTATAAAAAATATGGATCTTATTAATCATATTTTCATTTGTTTTAGAAAAAGTATTAGCACAATTAAATTTAGCACTTGTAAGTAAAAGTGATACTTGTTATTCGGATGGTGCACTGCGAGCTCTCTTTCGTTTAAATAATCATAATCACGTCGTAAATGCACTACGTCGTAGTTCGTTAATGGAACTACTATTATTAGCGGAACCAAGTGCAGAACAATCATACCACGACCTTTTATTACGTGATAAAAACAATTACGTCTCGACTACATTTGCAAAAGCACGCACTTACCTCGAACAACCCATTGACGAGCCAGGTTTGTATTTCTTAATATTACTATCTATTGTCGTTTAAAATAAAGAACTACCTTTTTATTTTTATTTATTTTTACATATAAAATTGCATTTCTGCCTGTGACAAATTATTGAATAGTTATCAAGTGTATTAATAATATTGAAAATAATAGAAATTTTGTAAAGTGTGTATAAATAGCGTGTAACATAGTCACGGTGATTATATAATATGCATGAAACACATAATACTTAAGTAAAAGTTAACAGGTAAATAAATTTGTAAATGTGCTGTTATTTCCATAGAACCAGGAGCAAAAACGTTGAAAGAAAAATTCTTAGGATTTACCCGGGAATTAGAGGAGGTCGCAAAGTGTCAGCGCTCTTATTCGGTGCCTGATGCTCGATTTTCGAGTCATTGTCCCCCTTTACACTCTCTTTCATAACAAATACCGTGGAATATCGTTTTCCAAGAATCCAGCTAAATATATAAAATATACTCCCGAACAGATATCCGCACTGATCGATACGTTCTTTGACACGACAGCATAATGAATAACTAGAAAAATTTAATAAACACCCATTTAATAAAGCATATTTAGTTACATTATTTATGATATTTTTTTTTTATGGACTGAATCCCCGTTCCCCGGATAGATTGCACAGGTCAGTGGATCTGCGACGATTGAAATAGATCTCGGTCCAGCCCCACTTTATATATATTTATAATATATATATAAAAAACAAGTAACGTTCGATTTAGATTCAGCAGCTTATACATGTAAAATGATAGTAATAGGAATACAGTTTGAACTTTTACCATTTATGTACAATTACTTGTTATATAGAATAATTCCTTTTTCCGTCTTTCTCTCTTGGCTTTTATATGCACTCTCAAACATTCACTCACGCATACTATATTTCCCCACCTCTGATTATTAAACTTTTGTATTTTATCTGTTCAGCCATGTTGTGCGCATAAATTACAGCAACATGAAGACGCGGCAAAGAGGCAGAGAATTAGAATCGCACTCGTATTGCTCACCTCTAAAACTTAGATGACTATCTTATACCATGGTATGTATGTAGTAATATCAACCAATTTAGTTAAAGATGGAAGTCATTTTATGTGATTTGCAACTGTACATTTACTACGAAAGATACAGATTTGTATATATTGCTAACTGGCTCCAAGCGGAATTATTAGCTGGATCAAAGAAAAATGTTCATTATAAAAAAAGAAAAAAGAATAGTAACATATAAGATATAAAGAAATTATTAGTATATAATTGCGATATCTGAATACTTTTTGCGTTAATATTTTTTGTTATATTAATCTCCTTCCATACCGAAGCATTTAAAAATGGATAAACATTCTTTTTATCTAAAATATACAATGCACAATTGCATAAAATGGTTTACCTCTTCGATTAAATTGATTAGTATCCAATGTGCACACAAACGCACGCATATAGTAATGTTTTGTTTCCTTACGATTCATATGTAATAACTAATATTAATAACACACTCTAATATACTGTACATTATCAGTTCAGTTTTCATTTGGCTTCCTTTCTCTGTTCAGAACATTTAGCTAATGTCCGAAACACTTAAACTGCGTATATACTTCTCTTTTACCTTTTTCATACGCATTATACAAATTGATTTGTGCGCTTTTATGGCAGATGCTTGTAGAGAGAGATGGACCATACGGCATTTTTCTTTATCAGAGTTAGACGTCCTGCTGCAATCGAGTCCGATCGGAGGAGGGGTAGTACATTTACACGTGCTCCGCCGTCGTCGGACATTTAATATTATAGGAGGAAACATCTGCGTTTTGGTTTTACTTGCAGAACAGGGCACAATACTGCACGGATCGCTTCATCAAATACTGTTTTCAATCCTTTTTGAGTCAGGGCTGAACATTCTAAATATTTTACTGCTCCGATTTCTTTTGCCATTGTTAAACCCTAATAATGATTTAAAATAAAGTCAGTATTTACAAATTAATATGCTGCATAGTAATAGATATATTAATTTAATAGGGGGACTTGTAATAAATTACAAAACATTGGTAATAACTAATGTTTGCTGGTTACATCTGCATAACCATTACAGAAATAGATTTATGAAAATATCTGCATAACATCATCCCAGTTTACAAAGTCACTAATGTATCATTCTTAATGTACATTATTAATATTATTACTAATACTGAAGGAACCTTACTTGATTTATGATTTTTCATTGTTAAAATGTAATAACACATGTTAATTACAAATAGTGTGGTAGTCTATTTATTTGTCTATCTTTTTTACGCATTAGTATGAGTACAGAAAAATATTATAAATTATATGAGCAATTTAACCATTAATTTAAAACCAATTATATAAAAACTTATTGGATAAACGAGAACTGGCATAATCGAGGGATATCCAAATGTAGATTTCAAATCATGAATACTATGTACTAATTCTAATAGGCTGTTATAGAATATTTGATAATTGTTCTCACTCATGTTGTAGTTTTATGAATTCATCAATAATATTTTATCATGAAAGAGTAAACACCTGAAGGAAACATTCTGTATTTTCTCATTGGAAATGAGATAATCTTAATTTCTGTTTTTTTTTCACAATTATTCTGATTATATTTCTTTGGTTTTGCAGATTTCAATATTGTAAAAATTTCTATAGAATTCAATTGGAAATTATTAATACTGTAACAGAATTTTGGTTTCCAAGTCCCCGATTTAAAATTTCTGCTTTAATCATTGATAGCAAATTAATAAAGTAATACATGCCTGAGGATATGTAATTGGTGCCAATTTCTTGTCTTTTAATCGTTCGATTGTCTCCTTGTCCTCACGCAAATCTAATTTAGTCCCTACTAAAATGATAGGAGTGGCTGGACAATGATGACGCACCTCTGGGTACCACTTGGCACGAACATTTTCAAAACTGGCTGGGTTGACCAAAGAGAAACAGATCAAAAAGACATCTGTTTGAGGGTAAGACAATGGTCTTAGTCTGTCATAATCTTCTTGGCCTGCTGTGTCCCATAAACCAAGATTGATTGGTTTGCCATCCACCATAACATTCGCAGAATAATTATCGAACACAGTTGGGATATATTCCCCGGGAAAGGCATTGGTAGTGTAGCTTATGAGGAGGCATGTTTTACCTACTGCTCTGTAGAAATTAACCAATTACAAAAAATTAAACTGATTGTACGCATCTACAATAGCAAAATCTTCATCAGAGAAAGGTTACTTATAGATTGAATAAGAACTGAAAACATACATTCCATTAAACGGTGTTAATAATGAAATCAGAATTATAAGTAAACTTAAAACACCATAAAAAGAGAGGGAGGGGAGAAAAGAGATAGCAGAAAGTGAAAGAAAAACATCGAAGTAATATATTATGGAGAATTCAACGATAATTTTAAAGTGGGACATTCATTTTCTTTTTTTGTTTTATAAATTTGACAAAGAAATAGATAAAAAAAAAATGCAGTGAAATGAATAACGGGTGTGGTGCCTGCTTTGAAATAGTTCTTGATCAGGAAAAACCAATCGTCAGATCCCTAGATCGCAGTACGGATCGAAAAGAGGAAAAGACAGAAAATTGAGAAACATTATAATAAATTTGAAAATACTCACCCGTCCCCTACGACAACGCACTTAATCGCCTGCATCCTGAAGGTTGGGAACCGTTCACAAGTAGAAATATCCACGTAAATTCGCAGGAAGGGGGCTAGTTCGATTCGACAGAGCACGAAAGATTAAGAGAGACAGAGAAGGGATTTGAAGTGTCGTGAAACAGAGAAAGAGAACACACACAGAATGAATGCAAGAGAGATGGATGAATGGTGTCAAACGTAAGGTAGAAGAAGATCATAGAACGAGAGGAAAAGTAGATAGAAGAGATCGAGAGGAAGAAAAAAAGCAAATATAAAAAAATATTATATGCATGAAAATATAAAAGCCCGAATATAACTGATATTTCGTATAATTTTTCCTTGTCTTGTAATAGACACAGTAGGGGGTCTTTGCTCGAATGCAGCACTCCTGACCTCAATCTGTGGCCTTAATTATGATTATAGGTTTTTATTTACCATTAAAGACTGGAAATAGTGTTTTTACGAACACAACCAGTTTTAACAAAACTTATACAATACTTTAAATTTATGGATATACATAAATATTACTTCGAAAACAAATTTCTCTTGAAAAGACTCCGTTCAAGTGAAAGTCAAGAGGCACATAGAGTTACAATTGGAACACAACCAATTAGAGATGGCGTGCAAAATCACTAACGGTGATTTATCACAGTGATCGCCGAATCACGATCACGGTCGTGAATGAAGTTAAATCACGACCGTGATTGCGATTTTTTTATCTTGAATGAATTTGCTCACTGAGCTCGTAAGTCCTTGATCTTTAAACAGAAAAACGTATTCAATATGATTTTACGCTAATTACATTACTATTCGTGTTTGTAAAAATCAGTAGAAAAAACAAGAAATTCTAAAAAATTTATTCATTATTCTTGATTGTTTCTAATTATTTCTTCACTTTATACGATATAACTCGAATTTTTGTTTTGATGTCGTTAATATAAAATATACAGATTATGTGTCGCGTGTAAAGAACTGTTAGGTTTCTCCACCAATCAGAAACGATCACGAGAAATCACGAATTACTGTGAAAAATCACCGTGATTGGGATCGGACGTGATCAAATCACGAGTGATTCACAAGTAGCAGTTCACGCCATCTCTACACCAATGCAGTGTATTAGTTTGGAAAGTACTTTTGCGGATGCGCATTAATGAAGTTCACGCACACCAATTCTACCAATTTTTAAGGATGATGCACGTATACATAGCATGAAAATTAATTCAAATATGTGCACATACAGAGTGATTATTAACAAACAAATTCTCAATTTTAAGATCTTTAATCAGACAGCTAGTTTTTAATGAAAAACCCTATATCCTGTTCGTTACACTAAATAATGTTGACAGTATTTTTTGTTACACAAGCTATGTATTTAAAAAATATTACGTTTGTTCATTCCAGTTCATTTCGTACTATATTGCGTAAGTACATTCTTATGATCATAGTTACCTTAAGTTTGTTTATACATATACTTATTTATATTTGTAACTTGCATAATACTAGATAGCGGATTGTATGCATTTATAGTATACATATATGTATAGAACAGAATTACATTAGATACTCTATTAATGTTTAGAAATGGTCTTATTTTATGTTTAATATGCTTAAAATGTTAACGGAAGAAATAAATTTCGATTTAGTTCCTATACCTGTAAATTGATTAATGAACATAAAATTTCATAAACATCCACAGCCTAAAAATAACTAATACAAATTGTTTATTTATTTATCAGGATGGTATAATCTCAAAATAAAAATTTTTAAATATAGGACTGATTTTTACAAATTTATTAAATAAAGTTTGCTGTAGTACATAAAAATAAAAGTAATATTGGTAGATTGAACAATATCATTTATAAAACATATTTGAAAATATCAGTTTTATTTTAAAAATAATGTGCGTAACATATTCATTAATGCACATTTAGTTTGATTTGTAAATTATGTATAAAAATAATAAAAGGTATGTGAAGCATCAATAATTATGAAATGCGAATACTGCTTTTTCCAATTATAGTTACTACTCCGTTGTCTTGTAACTCCCGTAAAGCATCTTCGAACATGTCTCTAGTAATCATCTAATAAAGAAATATTAATGTTATTTAAACATTGTTTGTGTTAATATTATTAATGCAATATAATTATAATATAAAATTAGGTGTATATTTTTACAGACCAATTCAGATGACTGCCTAATTTCAGCAAGAAGCTTTTGTTGATTGAGTATGTGACCTTTGCCCTTGTTTTCAATAAGTTTTTGAAGCGCATCGCATAATTCCTTTTTCTTTTTTCTAGCGATTGAAGATATACCAGTAGTTAAAATAGTAATATCTATTTTACCACTCAGTGGATCCATAGCCGATTGCTTCAATGCTTCTCTATGTAATCTATTGTATGAAATTAAATGTTTGAACATATTCTAAATTATTGTTTATTTTAACAATTTTATCTCATTATGTACCTCCAAGCTTCTTCAACATCTAGCAATTCTACTATAGGACTAAACCGTAATTTAGCATGTGCTTCGGACAATCTTATCAGAGATTCTAATTGTCTAGGGTATGCTGTTATTTGTCCACGTCCTCTTCCAACTCTTCTCATATCAACGTAAGCTTGTATTAGTCTCTGTTGACTTTCCTCATTGAGAACAGGATGTATATGCTCCTTTGCAAATACTATATAGTCGCGAACGATGCTTCTATTTAATTGCTCATCTTCATCTTCTTCTTGTGTTTTATAATACAAGGACACCATATGAGTTGCAAGTTTGCTGTCATATGCATCGTTTTGTGGATCCAACATTAAAAATATCAAATCAAAGCGAGAAAGTAAAGTGTGGGGTAATTTTACATTTTCGATCACCTAGAAAAATATATACATGTAAAAAAGAATATATGAATAATAACTACAAAACACAGTAGTAAAACCATTTTGTCAGATTTAATACAGTTTTATTTTTGTTCCATTGAGATTCACATGGATTAGCTGCAGCAAGTATACTGGTCCTAGCATTCAATTGACAAATAATGCCAGCTTTAGCAATACTTAAAGTCTGTTGTTCCATTACTTCATGTAATATCGATCTTGCACTCTCACTCATTTTGTCAAATTCATCGATACAACATATTCCATTATCTGCAAGTCCCAATGCTCCTGTCTGTAATATTAGTTGTTTAGTTTCTGGATCTTTCGTTACATAAGCTGTTAAACCAACAGCACTGGAACCTACAATGTTTATTTATTATATGCATCGAATAATGTTCATAACATAAATTTTTATGTGTACAGTATACATATATTGCTTCACCTTTCCCGCTGGTGTATTGAGACCGTGGTATCAAATTATAAACATATTGCAGTAACTGCGATTTACTTGTACCAGGATCACCACAGAGTAATATGTTAATATCAGGTCGAAAATGTTTCCCATATATCGTCGAAGACTTTCTAGTTCCACCAAATAATTGTAATATAATACCCTTTTTTACATCATTATTTGCATATATACTAGGAGCAATATGTCTTGCTAATCGTTCATACACATCCTTCTTTTGTGACAACGTTTTCAGAAGTTCTATTCTCTCTGGTGCGAAATTATGTTCCTTGCCATCTTCTTGGTCGTGTAGTCTATAATGTGTCCGTAATAAACCATGAGAATCAAGAAGCTTTGAAAAATATTTAGCTACCTTTTCCTCACCTCTTTGAGTCATGTTTTCTAAAGTGAACTACATCAACAAATGTTTTGTAAACAGCTTGCAAATTATGTTCGAAACGAGCCTTATGCGTGCTCGCTCTATAAATTCCAGTAACAGAGACCCTGTCACCAGGCATAACAGCATCTACTAAATTATTATGGGCGAACAATGTGATAGTATGAGGAGTTTGTCCTTGTGGCATTTCATCCGGAGCTTCTTGTAATTTGATCATTTGTTTGTCAGAAAAATGACTCATATTGTGTATCAAAGTAAAAGAATATTTATGCGAACAAGATGTACATACTGTAGGATCTTTTGTTTTTCCTTTCTCAATTTCAACAAGAGTCGTAAATGCGCAAACGCTACATTTAAAGTAAGCTTCTCGCATTTGCGGAATCAATCCTGACACTCTAGTGACCATTCCTGGTATAGTAATTAACTGATCAACATCACAGGGATTCAAGTCCCTCATGGATATAGTTTTAGCCACATTGAAAGGACGCACTTGAATTTGATGTTCCAGTACAGCTGCTGGAAATTTCTCAAAAAACAATTCATTTGCTGCCATATCTAGTGTCGGTATCACCTCTTGTGGATACGAAACTAATTGTTGATAAAGGTGCCCATCAAAAGATCTCACATGAGCACAATTGACATTTAAATATGGATCCTCTAAGGTATGTATTTCTTCCAGTTTCTGAAGATACAAAGGGTCTGTTAAATTCATGTTTTCTGGTAATTCGTCATTCTCGGCATCTGGATCAATAAATTGTTGAAAAAACAACTTGAATTGCTCTTTGCATTGATTTATAACTACATTTGTGCCCCACACAACCAACTGAGGTCCAGCTGCATCACTCTCCGATGTTCTTGGAACATTCTGTATTTCTGGAATCTGTTGTCATGGTTAAATTATTAGATTTTATTAGCACGATTATTGGACTGCAGACTTTATGCATTTATAGAAAGTTTATTGTCAAAACTCCAAGATAATACAAAGTTTAATAGAAGTCAATAAAGTTTTTAGTTTAGTCAGATCCCAGAAGAATTCATAATATTGTAAACTAATTTCTGTAAATGAATCCATAAAAATCTGTATTTGCATAAACATCTGTTATCTAATAATTACAGATGTTGCATAAAATATGTTTATATATTCACTATAACATTACTGAAATTTAAGCAGTAATTTCTTTTTCAAACAAGAATGAGGTATGATTATTTAAATAATCTTTCATTTTTTTTCTTATTTAAAAAGTAGAGAATAACATTACAAAAGATAGCACTGATGAAAACAATCAAGCATTTTTGGAGTATATTATCCACTTACTGGGTCTTGTAATGAAAATTGACGCAAACGTTTGTCAGTATTTATGTCTGGTCTATGTCGCATTGGCGTGCCTCGAATTCCACTTCTTGGAGTGCGAATTGATCCTAATGAACTTGGAGTGCCATAATTTACTGGTGATGACAATTGCAAACCATTTTCTGATCCCATTTGTCCAGAATTGTCCAAGAGGCGATCACCAGATCCAGCGGCACTATCACGTTCAGAAGAAGCAAGAATTGTAGCAGCTCGGTTCTCAGGATCTGTATTTCTTCGTACACCACTGGTGCCCCATCGCAAGGGGGTTTCCACATTATTTTCAACTGCATTACGGGCAGCAGTACCTTATGTTCAAAACATACAATACTTATACATGTATGCTCTCTTATAATAAAAATAACAGAAAGATAATATAATTATTATAATAACCTTTGAATAAAATACTTACGGGGTGTACCAAAGGCAGGAGACCTAGTTCCCTGGCTTTGTCTTCTAGGCGTTCTAGCAGGACTTCTATTTGTTCCCGACGATCTCACAGGACTCGACATTATTTTCTATTAGTTTTGAAAATTTTTCTTCGAGTATAGACAAAGGTGTCAACAAATTACTTCCCCGCGTTTCTAAATGCTCGTTACAACGAGTTGCAAAGAGTGGCATCAGACAGTGTTGGAATTAAGATTGCGCGACATCTACTGTTCATTAGCATTAAGAATAAATCTTACCATCAGAATAGTTTGACCACTGTACCACAGATGAGGTATAAGAATACATAGACCATTCATCTTACGACCGATAAATAGTTGCCGCGGAATATTATGTAGTATTTACCAGTTCGTCGAGTGCAGATAAGAGAGATAGCCTCCTAAACCCCTTGGCCTCCAATCACCAATGACCGCTAATGGTTGGTGATGCTAAAAAACAGTCGATTAGAACCTAATAGAAACTTGAAACCTAATAGAAAATACAAAAAAAAATCGGAGCTGTTAGTCGAATTTGGATAGTAGAGAGGACCCCTTGAATCTCCTTCACCAGTGTCCACCACTGGTGAGCAATCGGAGATGAAGACGTAGGAAGACCCCGACGAGGTCCACAGACGCGAGTGAAGTGAGGATTTTCCGTGGCGCGCGGTTACCGCGAGGTCGTGAGTTTGCGCGAATAGGTACGCGAAAATCAAGCGCAGTGGAAAATCGAGCGCACCAAAAATTATTTCCTGATTAATTTATTATATCTAACAAAGTAAGTGTTATAACAATTACCTTTCTGGGGGATATTGTTAAACAATCTGTCAGCTGCTGTATAATGCAAATTGTTATTGTTTATAACAAATAGGAATCGAGATACACAGAAACTTATAAGATATGGATTGTTTAGTGAAATGTTACATGTAATTACTTTTACTTTATTGCAAACTATTAAACAATGACTATGTAATAATGTTCGTAGTGATTGTTAACTAAAAATTATTTAATTCAAATATGCCTTTCTAGAGATTTGTGCGAGAAACTCGTAAAAATTTGTGGAAAATAAGAATTTCTCGATCGACGTTTGATTGTTTGTATCCTTGACAATAACTGTTATAATTTTAAGCATAGAAAATTTGGCTTACTTTAAATTATTTCACAATAAATTAAATATTTTCGATAATGTAATATTTATAACAATAACATTTTCGGTGCGGGTTGTTAAACATTCTATCAGCTCTGTTTTAATGCAAACTGTTATTGATTATAACAAATAGAAATCGAGGTACACAGAAATTTGTACGAAATGAATCGTTTTATGAACTTCTATAAGGAATAAATTTTATTATATTGCAAATTATTAAACAATTACTATGTGATAATGTTCGTAGTGATTGATAACTAAAAATTAGTATGTTGTGTGTATGTAATATGATTTATTTTTCCGTTTAAAAAAAACGGCCAAAATCAACGATATCTCTGATCGTTAAAATTGCTTTTTAATTGGTGACACGCTGGAGCAGAAGACGAACAAAAAGAACTACACACAGGAAAAAGGGGTTTGCGCGCAGGACCGACCCTTCGGGCGAAACGTGAAATCGCTGCAATTGCGGTTGCACCCCTAACGTGAAAAATATAATGACCCTTTTACTTGAAAACAAAAAAAAGAGTGGAGAGACAGAGACAGAGAGACCTGAAAAGAGTCACTCCTATGGAGGAGAGCAGACTGCAGGTCGATATAATCCCTCCATTGATTGAAGTCGATGTTCTGTCAGAATTCTCTACCCCCGAGGACTAACGCTCCCGTAGTGGGGTGAGCCGTACGAATAAGGGAGAGAACACTGGCCGTCGACCCCGGGTTGTTCAGTTGCCTTACGAAACGCGCCACGAGTCGTTCCTCTGGCTCACTACTAATCGCGTCCAATTCGACGAATAATTTCTTTCGTAATTTTTCGTCTGTTTTTTTCTTCTTATTTCCGTTAAATGAATCGTTCGACAGTTCGCGCGGTTAATAACGTCGTCCCTGCGTGTGATGTGCTGAGAGAAAAGGTGCGAATTCGCGTTTACCTGTACAAAACCCTGGACACCCTCATCTCGTTGCTGATTGTGTTTGATACTGTTCAATCGATTTTTGCGCTCGCAAAATTGCAGTGTTCATCGTCTTACGTTCTCCGCTTTTTTTGCAGTGTTTTTCCTTTTTAACAATAATTTTTTAATAGTCCTGTTAATTGGATAATACGGAATTTTATTTTGTCAATGTAGTGCACTAATGCTAGTGTGTGTATTTTAGCCTTCTGTCAATTTGCTGTCGAGCTTAGGACATTTTATGATGATAATTTTTGGCTTCGAGAATTTTGTCAATATAGTGTACTAATGTGAATATGTGTATTTGAGGCTCGTGTTAATTTAGTGTCGAGCTTAGGAGGTTCTATGATAATTTCTAGTTTATAAACTTTTTTTACTATTCTTCTGTTAATGTAGTGTACTGATGTTAATATGTATATTTAAAGTTCTTGTCAATTTGTTGTCGAGCTTAGGTTTTAGAGTGACAATTTTTGGCTTCGAGATTTATTTCTTTGAAATTTTTTTAGGTAATACGTCGATAAGAGTTGAGGATTTCTTTTCTTACGATCTCGATTTCACTTTTGATTCAGGATTTTTTCGCGAGACATGTAGTTTTTCTGTTTTTATTTTTGTATTTAAGAAAGTGAAAAGAGTAAGGAAAAAGTGTAGGAATGATATTTTGTGTGTTATGTTCCAGCTCGAAAATCGAATTCGAAAGTATCGCAACGGTGGTGTGACAAGGGGTGAGAACCGGTCGGTGGATAAAATGTGAATTGTTTTCGAATCGCGAAAATGCGAGGATATCGACGGGGCGGGGAGTGAAATTTTACGCTGGACATCCGAAGGATATCGATTCCAGTTAAATTACTGCGGCGCGTTCGCCGACAGCACATTTATGTTTTCGCCTCGTACGATCCGGAAAAATTCTAAACAAGAATGCTCGAAGCGAATAAATAAAGGGGACTGTGTGAGTTTATTCGTTCCTGTTTCCTTGAAACTGTGTACGATGCTATTGTGATGGTATGTACTTACCAGAACTCGTGATAACCCCGAATTTTTCTATCGTTCAGCCGAGAAATAAAGTCTAAGAATTGAACACGGATGATCACCTGGATATGAATTTGAAATCTAAATGGCTCTTCCTTGGAACACTAATTACCATCCTCCTTGAATATGGTAAACTTGTATGAATTCACTTATTTCTTTCTTTTGTAATTAATTAGTTACCTCCTTCCTTAATGTTACCGTAGAAAATAGTGTTTCTCAATACGTTAATAAAACAAATGAAATTAAACCTATCGTCTAGGAGTTTGCAAAAGAGTAATTTTATTATAATAGTTAAATAACATTATTAATTTCTAAGTAGACCAATATTACAAAAACATTAATCAATGAAATGGGAAATTCAGGTTCCCCAAAGTCAACGGTGGACGAGGGAGAAGAGTTTGGCGCGTTAAAAATTCATTCACCTTCCTCTCATGTCGCTCTTTCGGGAGACTTTACGGTGTTTATTGTGAAGTCGGATCAGGTATTAAAGGGGACATCGTACACGAATGAATTGAAACGGGTAGACGGTGAAAATAGTGGACAATTAGAAAATTTGTCTAACAAAGCTCCTCTATTGCGGTAAGCCAGCTGTTTTGTATATGTATCAGGTGGTCCGAATTTTAACTGCAGATTTCAGTTTGCGTTTCGATAAATGTTAATTTTCCGATTTATTTTAATCGATGTAACATTCCATTGTATTAATCTATATCATCTCGCAGGTCATTCGATATAATTTTCAATAAATTTTTGTCTGTTTATCAATGAACCTTGTGTAGGTTAACGTTAAAGAAATTGAACCTTATTAAAACGAAGTAATATAATTCGTGAATTACTGACTTACCTTAATTACTTTTAGAATATTGTACCTCCTTGATGACATATCAGAATTAATCGGAGAAATTCAGTTAGAAAAGCTGCCTTCAAAAAACGAGACGATCTCAATTGTGATCCCTTGTGGATACTTCACCCGTGGTGGTATCTACGCTCTGCGATTAGAATACAAGTACAAAAATTTGACAGTGCCTGTTGCCTCCATTTATCAGGTGCGAAAGTTTATAAATCATTTTTCGAAATTTAGGAACTTTTGGAAAAAGTATTTGCTCGAACGAAATATCTGCAGTAGAAATTATTTTAAAGTAATCGTAGTAAAAAATGTTTTCACTAGTAAATCAGAAAAGCAGTCATCTTTATTCAGATATAAATATTTTTGTTATAAAATAAAATATTATATGTAAGATACTGTATAAAGAGACAATTTTCGACAACTCGTATTGTTACCCTTTTCGTTTAGAAAAGTGAAAAATGTTTTAATATTTACATTAATGTAAAGAATACATATTTGTATATTTATAATATATATAATGAAAATATAGAACAGTGATTGGAGAAAGTATTTTATTGCCTTCAAGTATTGCAGAATACATACTTCTAACAACCCCTATTATTATTCTCTTTCTTTAAAAAAACTAAAAACTGTTACGATACTTTGTTGTATAATATTTACATTCCAGCGAACGTTAAACAATTAAGGTAAATGTACAAAAACATACATTTCCATAAACTGTCTTAAATTGTCCCTAAACAAATAGTCCACTGGTTACGTAAATCCGTTCGACTGAATACTTTTTTGCCTGGGGCAATATGTATAATATGCCAGACATAATTCGAGCGTAATAATTAAACACGATTTTGTTCGCAGACAAGTAAAATCGTAGATGTAAAGTGGCCAACGCCGAAGATTTTTTTACAGTCACAGGTGATCGCCACTTATCCAAATAATCGTGTTACAACCACTATAAGATACGACGAGACGAGTTGTAATCCGTCAGAAAATGTTCCTGTAGCTGTCTACATATTACAATTAATATATTGCGGATCTAGCCTGACTGCCTGCTATTTACAGAATAATACTCATACACAAGTAAATCGATCAATCTATTCTTTATTTATATAGTTATCCGTTGGGTTGAGTCAGATAAGACTTCCGCCATCTTTGACGGAAATGTAATATAAGTAGAATACGAATGTTAATGCAAATATCCAGTTTCACAAGCAAATGACTACATAACATGCTTACTAAATTTAATAATTATGAAGAATATAGGTATATTTAAAAGATAAAAAATTTGATTTTAAATTGTGATCACGGAAACAGACTTAAGAAGGTGATATGGAAATTATTGTTGTGACCAAAACCAATAATTATAGTAGTTATTTGTAAGAAAATCGAATAATTATAGTTATTTTTGGCTAAATCGAATTATAGTTATTTGCCTCCAAACCCAATAATTATGGTAACATAGTTGTAACTAAACCTAATAATTATAGTCATTCGTGGTAAAACTAAAATAAATAATTATAGTGCCATATATGAATTTCATTTTGTCTTTTCAGATTCTGTACTACGAAGAAGTAAGAGGTTTCGTTCCACCAAAAACTATTTTTTTTCGATGTGAATTTTTCGGACTGCCCGGAAATTACGCGGTCCAGTTGAAAGCTTCGAATGCAAATCCTACGGCACCAAACACAAGCGTGTATTTCAAGGTAATTGATATTAAAAGACAATTCAAGGTAATCAAGGAATTAGATTGATGGAAAAGAAATGGCCGATTAATATTTATATGTGTAGTTTACATACAGCTACTCATAAAATTATTTAATCACCCCGTATACATATAATATATTTTACATATTCATTCATTGTTAAAGTAAAAAATAAAGATCAAAGTCCTGTACACTACAAATTTATTATACTTATGAATATTATTACGTATCATTTCAGTTCCTTCAAATTCTATTTTTATCACGATGCAATAATAACTGAAGACATTGTACATATTTTTGTAATTACAACAAAAACGATAAAAACGTTAATATGCTCCAGCGGCCATTTTCCTGACAACCTAATAAATCTTTATTATATTTTCTAACGTTCAATTATTTTATCTTGAAATTATAGGTCAATTGGTCGGAAGAATTTAAACTGACGGTCCACGCAAGATCGATATATCCTTGCGAGGGGCCGGGTGGCGTAGCCGTCCTCTTCGAGTATCCGTCTTGTCGACTGGAAGGTGATCGTGTTCGCGTTTACGGTCGGCTGAAGGCTGATGTCACTTCCGTTGCCTCACCTTCCAGTCTTCACTATATCACAGAATCGAGATCGATTCCCGGCAAACACTCGTTAACTTTCGACTGTGATCTCTTCACGGAGAAATATGTCGAATATTGTTTTATCTACGTCAGCCAGGCTATCACCGGTGCTATGATGGATGTCAAGATATCTTGTATACCTACGTTTCCTTTTCAAGGTGGACATCAACTTAAATTTTTATTGTGGTTCTAGATTCTTTCTGTGAACGTTTTCGTTTACTATGAATAAAAATTTTAAATTGTTTGTAAATATGTATTGTAAACAGGCGATCAAATTTTTAAACTGATATTTTTAACTTCAATAATTACTCCTCGGGTGTATCCGTGGAATTTGTACAACAGACTTTTTACATTAATTATCTTGTCTGAATAGAAGGGGATGCTGCTGGATGGGGACCGTGGAGTCCATGGAGTCCATGCAGCAGTTCATGTTTCGGAGGGATACGAAATCGTTATCGCTTCTGCGATACTCCGCCTCCAAAGTATGGCGCGAAATTTTGTCAGGTAAAGAATTTCCTGGTGTTTATTTCTCATTATAATAAATAGATTACCAACCAGTTGATTTTGCGTATCTATAACAATTTCGAAAACCGAAAATGCATTATAATAAAACTATTAAGAAAGATTAATAAACTCTTTGTTTTGTTTTTAATTTTGATAAGTCCTACTTGTATAATCAAACTGTTCAAAATTGTATCTAACAATTCTCTTTTTTTTTTCATTCGTTTCAATAAGACATTACTTTCCAATATACGTAATGGTACAATAATACTCGATTCTGAAATCATTGTTAAATAATGTTTACGTTTAAATTCCAGGGAAAGGCGGTGGAAACGGAATTCTGCGGGAGAATATTTTCGGTCGATTCCAATAAAAATGAATGGCATAATGGAATCGATAGCTCGAACTGTCACGGCGCGGTTTTGGCCGCGACGAAACCAGAAATCGCGGCTGAAATTGGATCGCAGTGTCGATGCGGTTGTCGCGTTAGATTAGAGGAACAGCTTTCTAGGAAAATACTCGGTGCGAATACACAGTCGTGTCCTGGACGATCTTTTTGGCTGCTACAGGTAATATTCACGGAAGTAATAGTTAATATACAACTCAAGTAAAATTTCAACATTCTGAAGTCAGATCCGTGGAAAGTGAAGGCGGGTCATTTCTGACCCATATCAAAATTTCGTGTAAATATATCATCAAAAGTCTTAAAGTCTGAGTCTTGAGTGACCCACGTTCGTCATCCGAGGGGTTGAACAAAAAATTCAGTTTCATTTTTTGTTCCCGTACTTTCGATTCCTGTCATTCTTTGATAGGGAATTTTACGAAATAATAAAACGAAGCATATCGATATCAATTGTTCACAAAATAAATCGAAACACCTAAAGAATAATTATAAATAATTGCTTAATGACAATATTGAACGTAATTATGTATGTAATTATAATTTAAAACAATTTTCCAATGACGATGTTGAACATAATTGTAGAAATATTAATATATGCCTATTAATTATTATTGTACACTATAATGTAATTCTATTTATTTTGCTTATTGCAATTTTGTGTTGATCTAGGCGCACGAGAATTTCGTAATTGGGTTACATTTGGATCAGTTACAATTTCCCTGCCCGGGACAATATTTTCGTGTACGGGATGGTAATTCGTTGAACGCGGATCTATTGACCGACGTCGCCTCGGATAAAATGCAGTTCACCGCGAGAACGTTAATCAGCTCGGGGGAGAATTTACTGCTGGAGTTTTTTAGCGACGAGCTCACGGCATCCGGAGACGCTTGCATCGGCGGTTTCCTTGCGCATGCGGCTGTTCTAGGTACAGATCAATTTTTCTTTTACTTATCTAATTCTATTTTGTTACGCAAATATAAATCGCTCGACGAAAAATTAGTAACGGAATCTGTTGTACCTTGGGTACATTTTTTTTTTTATTTTTTCTTTTAAATGTAAAATAATTAACACACTCTAAAGATTGTATATAGTTTACTGAGTAATAACACACATTACTTAATTTTTCTAGAGTGATTCCAATATATTTAATTAGAATTATAAATATTTTTAAAAAAAAGGTAATTATGTCCATGATACAACACCAGCCATTCAAACATCACTATAACAACAAATACAATGAAAAATGTTCTTATCCAAATTCATTTGTCCGATACTGTACATAGTTCCGTTCGAAGCTAGGGGAATTTCTCCTGTCTATTTCAGAAAAAATGTTATTATTGTAATATATTCTTGATTTCAGACAAAAAGTATTTAAAAAGGAATGGAAGTATAACCGTTGTGCCTTTAGAAGTAGACTCAGCGAATATCGAAAAGGAATGGTTCTTTTGGAAACCGGCACACTTGGTGACCGCTTTGCTTTTAGTACTCATGTTCGTGGTTTCGATTTTTCTGACGCTGCAGTTCGTTATAAAATACAGAAAGTACCGTATCGCCGAAGATATGGACTCGTTCAGCGATGTTTCCGGTAAAGTATACAAAATGTCCTCCTCGTAAAGTAATTTCAACCGTCAATTATTGATTCAAGATAAATTATTTATTGTGGTTTCTGCGATAACGACACTCATACTAATGAAGAACCTTCTTCAATTTTCTATTTCCGATAAGTCTGAGCTGAGAAATCACTTGCACCTTTTCATGCTAAGAAAAAACTTTTTAACCCTTTCGTTCCCACTGTAGCTATATGGCTACGTAGATGAATAAAATAGTTGCGAATAATTGAAAATAATTCGGGGTTAATTAGGCGATTAATTATGAATTTACTATTAATGAGCTATTAAACTCCTTGTTGCGATTAGAGTTAATGCCTGGGAGATCGAAATTTTTGTCTACAAGCACCATTATATCCGACGTGATATCGATGATCGAAGCAACCGTGAAAGATTCACCGAAAGAAGCTTTGTGCGACACGGAGGAACATTATAACAGCACCGAAACGTTAACCGGGTAAGAATGGTAATAAAATATTAATTTCAGAGTATTGTAACTTGACAGTGGACATTTCTGCAAATTCACATTTACCGTAGAGGTAATCTACAGAACCTACAATTAAAAAGAAATTCGTGTTTTCAATAAAGAAATTTCATTTGAAAATGAAACAGAAACATTACTTATTTGTGTTAATTTTATAATTGCGTTATATACTTGGTATTCTGTAAATCAGAAATGGGCAAGGCATTTCTCGAATACTAGACGATGATTAGATATAAAAATATTAATACAAACTTAATTAACAAGATAAACTTCGATTTTTTCACACTGCAATGTTATTATTTGAATAGCGTACATTTTAACAAATTTATTTTAGAATTGAAAATAATAACACTATGATTTTTCGAAGTGTTAAAAAAAAATCGGTTTAATTAATGTTTTTCAAGAATGCTGTGAATCTTACTAAAATTTCTTTCACACTGAAATGTTATGTAAGTTGTTGCTGTAAAGGGTAACTGTTTTGTTTTTGTAATTGAAGGTACCAAGATGGTTCGACAATGAGTTCCAGCACATTGAAGTTGAACAACACAATGGAAAGTTCTTCAGATAAGACAATAACATCGATCAAATCAAACTGTGATAAATTATTATCAGCGTCCAGTATCCTCGTTTTGAATAAGCCCGAAGTAAAATATGCCTACCCTATAAAGTGAGTTTCCACCGCGTTTTGTATAGAATTTTCTTTTTCGTAAAAATGTCTTCAAATGTCTTTTTGTATGATTTTATACACGGACGTATGGTTCTTGAAGCATTAAAACAAATATAAGTTGTAATATTGGTGATATTGGTAATATTAATAATATAATTATAAGAACAATTAGTTCAGAATGAAGTCAGAATAGATCAGTTACTTTGTGAAACATTTTAAAGTCACAAAAAATTGATGTTATTGAAATATACAAGGTGTTCTTGAACTATGAGTATATTTATATGTATGTAAAGAATTATTAATTTACAAGAACTTTCTTTTTAACATTGTTAGTCAAGTTACTTAATTGTTGGGTCAATTATTAACTTAGATAGCAACTACTTTAATGGATATAGAATATAATATCAGTAATATAATTTTATGTTAACACATTTAAAGGAAAATAAGTTTAATGCTTTATAATGATTTATTAAGGATTTATTGCATACTTATAGTCTAATAACAGTGTGAAACTTATGGCACAATTCTTACACAGATTGCGAACGATAGATCTCGAAAATTCAGAACCGAACGCATTGAAGCTGGAAGATGAAAAACCACAAAACAATAGAAGTAACTTGAATATAAGTCAGAGCAACGAAACTAGTTGTTCCGACGAAAAGGTACGTTGATTGATAAATAAGCTACTTTTTATATACATAAGAAAATTTGTATATGGTACAAACTGTGCATATCGATCATTAATTATCAATTATAAATAATCGTCAGATAATTAAAGAAGTCAAAATAATAACGAATAATTAGAATCGTTTGATAACTGTATAAAGAATAATTATATCAAATATTAATAAGTATTTATTAATTACTTCACTATATAATGTAACTATTCTATTCACTCTTACCTTTTATATTCTTAAAAGAACATGATCATTTATTGTTTTTCTCGAATTAGCCACAATCTTCTCCCGAAAGTGTGCTGTCCAGCCCATCGACACTAGGAAGCGGAAAGGAAACGAAAGAAAGAAGAAATCGCGAGAAACTTCTGCAAGGTCCTGGATCGGAGTTCAGTTTGGCGAATCCTGATTCGGAATTGGAATTAGATTACTACGATTATAATGTGGCGAACGCCAGCGCTGTTCCTGGATCCTATCTGGGGATGGATCCCGCCTTCCTAGTATGGATCCCGCCAATCGATGAATTTAAACTCGACGGGGATGATCTCTTTTTAGGGTAATTAACATCACATAATATTATTTAACAGAAATAGATCGTATTATCACGAGTATTAAAATAGAAGAATGCCGTACAGAATACTTCTTTTAACACATTAACCCTCGGTTGACGAACATGGGTCACTTAAGACTGAGACTTTAACCCATTAAGGGCTAAGCAGTGAAATAGTACGATTTTACATAGATTTTTTATTCTTTTTTTAAATTATCAAGGAAATTCCTGGAATTTTGTTTCATAGTCACAATGTTAAAGAACAGAAATTAATACGTAGTGTGAATTGAGTAAAAGAATGGTATGGTTAGTAGTGATATTTATATTATTAACAATACTATAACGTGAATTATCATCAATGTCAATTTATTTACAGAAGCAAAAGAAATTCTATTTTGACCCTTGAAACCGAAGGTGCTGCGCTAACTCCATCCGAATACAGAAGGATGAAGTTGTCTAGCTTTGAAGATTTTGGATTTGAATTTGAACAAGGGTGAGTAACAGAAATACTATTGTTCGAACGTTTCGTTAGCGTTGGTCCTAGGTACGCATCATGTGTATTGATAAATAGAAGCGAACAAACCGTAACAATTAGTGAGAGTAATTGTTAAACTGTGGATATTAATAAAAACTCTCATTTTTATAAATTATTTTCCAAAAATTAAAATCACAAACCATGCATCTAACCCTTTGTACTCCGGAAATTTTTACTTGATTAAATCCTTAATAACTAAATTTTCATTCGCTCATAAAATTCGTTTAAAATAGTTTCGTAGTATTAACATTGATTCGCCTTTGTTCAATATTTATTCAATTCAGGTTTCAATTATTCAATTTCAATTCATTATTATTAGGTGTGCCAATAGGTAATCCAGTATTACTTAACGAAATTAGTACTAGCACTACAAAATTTGAGGGTCCATAGTGCTCATTTGCAATGTCAATGGCTTTTCAACATCTTATACAATTTTTACTGATAATGAGTGAATGGTTGATAAAATATTTTCAAGGTAAAATATATCGCTTTGTAATGTAAAGGATAGATTACTTATTGGTACACATAATACAATATCGTATCATTGTTAGTGTTAATTTAATTGCATTTAAACAAAATCATCAAAGTAACGAAGATTAATATTCGGAGGGCAAACTGTTAGTTAATGTTTATAAATGTATTACTTGTAAGTGTAGAGTAATTATTTTCGAATACCTGCATGAATGATATTTGTTGTCCGCCATTATTGTAGTGATTTGTTTGGATGATTTTGTTCGTGGATAACCTGTTCCTACCCTTACCATAGCAGTAACAAGATCTTTGTTGATAGTGAGAAATATTTAAAGAAAGAGGAAAAAAGCTGCCATAATTACGAAAATCTAATTCGGGACGAATCCTCTGGAAATTCGAAATCGAGAACATACGAAAAGTTACTTCCTGTTCGAAAGATTCTCGAGGATTCGAGCATTAAAGTAAGCATGGAATCCGTGTCTGGCGTTCTTGAGCACAAACAATACTGTGTCATTCCAAACAGGAGGTGAGCTAATTACATTTATTTACGTAAATCTCGCGTATAATGACACAAAACGTGAGACACCCCGTATACATTGCCTTCAGTATTGTTATATTAGTTTATACAGATCTTTACCGAATAATATTTCCCTGCTTCATTGACCCTTGAATGGTGGATCGTTTAACAGGCGACCGCATGGCAGATGTTAGGTCCATTTGTGCCCATTACAGCATTGTCATATTTATGTGACGAGGCCATACGTTTCTCCTAGACGAATATACGGGGTGTTTTTTTCACACATGGAAAATATAAGAGCACAAAAGCAATGAAAAATTGTTCTTATAGATGCGTGCCCTGTTTGAACTTCTTCCCCAGTTGTAGCCATTTTTCTACTTAATGACCAATTCAGCTACTATGTAGTCTAACTGAATATAACTAACAAGGGATGTTCGCAAAGTGATAAATGCCGATTTTTTTGTAACTTGGTCAATTGTTTATGAGACCAGCCCAAAAATTTTGCCGCACTGAGTTGGTGCTATTTTAAAAACTTAAAGGTAAAACCACCCCTTTCTATTCGAACCGTTCTTTTCACTTATTCAATTCACTTATTATAAATTTGCAATGTTTAATTTAGTAATAATTAACTTTTGAAATAGTAATTTAATTTTTTTAAACATTTTTTCCTACTGATATATAGACAACTAACAACAACATAAAATTTATCATAATTCGTTCATTTGTTGTGCGTTACAAGCGATAATGCACCAGTATTGAAACTAGAAAAAGGCAGACAATGATTTTCCAGATATATTGAATGTTATTTTACATACTATAATGGCATAATGATGTGTACATAGTAGCATGCGTTCGAGTACCTATCAACCGATCACAAAAAGATTCGTATCGTATTTGTAATCCCTGTCTTGACATTTTATTAAATAATATCGGCAATGCTCCAATAATTTATTTACAAAGAGTTAGTTGTAGTTACGAAGAGTTTTTTCTCCATTATTACATCGAGAAATCGTGCACGATCTACAGGTATATCGTTTCGTCTTCATTAGCATGTAAATTTTCCTTTAACATGCTTTGATTTTCACCATCTTAAACATTTAGAACATTATGTACAAAGTAGTGAAAATTCTTAGTTGCTTATATTTCGTATTAATTTTCCAAACTGTTTTCCCCGGACGAAGAAGATTCTATATAAGGGGGCGTGATCTTCGGAAGTCGCATTGAACTTATACTAGTTGAAATCGAAGATGCAGAAGACGGCGAATGAGATGTGTTTGCAGCAGAAGTGATGGATTGAACTAATGGCGAGAATTGTGCTGCTGGAGAAGTTTTCGGGGTTGGATAAAATGTTTGTGCTTGAAATGATAACTGATATGGATCTTCTTTGCGGGCAGGATCGTTTATGTGGGAGAAACACTGGTGCTTAATTTTGTTTGATTCAATTTCCGAAATAATTTGAAACACTCTTTGTTTTACTAAAAGCCTGTCGAGTTCCGAAAATTTTTTTACCGTAGCTTTCATTGTATCAAAAAATAAATCTATTTCGTCCGGTTCTTTCCTTTCGCGTTCAGTTTGCGTCTTTTCTTCTTCCAAAAGATGTTTCATCGGAGTACTACTCGCAGTCTCGGTAGGTGGCAGTTTTATTTTTCTCAGCGTGAGCTTTGGAGTTTTCCACTGCGGTAGAGAGGCATTTGAAACAGTAGGATCATCTAACATCCCGTCATCTGGAAGAATGCTTCCTGCGTCCTCCTCTTCCGGTGAGAGTATACATTGCACGTTTTCCCTTACTATTGATGTCATCCTTGACTTATCTTTCATATGGGGAATTAGAAAATCTAGTTGTTCTTCATATCTCCAGGTCGAACGGGAATTTGCTTGCCCGGTTGTTTCTTTCGCACGTAAAAATTTTCGAAACTGGGATCGTAGAGATTCCCAACGCTGTTTGCATTTTCGTGGATCTGCAAACAGTTGTAAATATATATGTAGTGTGTATTATATTTCAAATAAGTCCTACATATATATATAGTACCAAAGTTTTTGTTATTAGGAATGATTTGATCATTGTTTTTTTTTCATAAAGCCAGCTTGACACTAGCGGTCAAAGGTACGGTCAGATCACGACCAGTCTGAATTTAGTCTAGGGTAATTGGCCTAATTACGGATGGTGTCCGTATTATGGCGGATTAACTATATTTTTATAAATTAAACACACAGTCTAAGCGAAAGTGCTAAGACGTTCCACATGCACGAAAGTAAAGATAAATAATATACTTTTTGGGAATAACATTTTTAAAAATCATATATACATATATATATATGGTTATATACTAAATGTTATACTTTGAATAAGACATTCCATAAACTTTTTTTTTCGTTCGTTCGATACTTCGCTAATTTTCAATTATTCCATACAAAATTTCTTTCAGGGGATTCTCGAAAAATGAAACATACGAGAGAGCTCGAAAAAAAACAATTTTCAATCATTTCTTATTATTTCTGAACAAAAACAAGCTCATCAGGCCACTAATCTGTTCCTAATTGGGCCACTTACTCTATAACTCTCTCACTGAATTACGTGTGAGCGATAAAGACCGCTCCCTGATTTGACGTCATCTGACTGTACCATGACCGCTAGTGCGAATGTGGTTTAAGTTTCTTTCAGGTTTCGTGCAACAGATGAATAAAAGTGATTTAGTCACCTTTTTGAATTTTCTTCCCTAATTCGATCCACAATTTCGTTTTGTGGGTTGAGTCACAATATTTTTTGTGATTGAAATCATATAGTTCACTGTAATTACGTACAAATTCTATTAAATATTCGTCATCCATGCTTTTTTCCCAATGTCAACCGTTATCAGTAGACGATCCAGTGAAATCCTGTGAAGACCGCCGCGATCTTGATCGCTAGCAAACCGTCTTCAGGATTAATAGATTTTTATTTGACTTGATCGAACCACGTGTACTGTGAATGCTCTCACTGGATTACGCCGTGAGCGATATTGACCGATGCCTGACTTCACGTGATGCGACCGTACCGTGACCGCTCTGGCGTGAATCAGTTTTAACAGTTTTTTTATTTGACTCGACCGAACCGTGTACTGTGAATGCTCTCACTGGATTGTGTGGCGAGCGATATTGATCGGTGCCTGACTTCACGTGATCTGACCGTACCGTGACCACTAGTGTGAATCAGTTTTAATAGTTTTTTATTTGACTCGACCGAACCGTGTACTGTGAATGCTCTCACTGGATTGTGTGGCGAGCGATATTGATCGGTGCCTGACTTCACGTGATCTGACCGTGCCGTGACCACTAGTGTGAATTACAGACGTATAGAAATAGACTGTGCGTCCAACGTGAAGAGTCGTTCTCAACATTAGAGAAGAAAGAGAATGCAATAGTGGTCGAATCTGTTTTCTCTTTCTAATCATTCAAATGATGGGGACAGCATTAGCTCTCCCACGAATATGTTGGGGACAGTCCTTCGCGTGGACGCGCAGTCTATCTTTATAGGTCTATGGCGCGAATCCAGCATTACACGTTCGAGTTCAGCATGAACGCATATAATCAGCAGCCCACTTATTACTAACTTTAAATAATAAATTATCATTAATTACTAGACTGCGGATTTTTATGCAAAATAAAAGTTTCTAAATTAATTTATAACGGCAGGAGCAATTGTAGAAATTTATTTTCCCTCGTAAGCATCTTATTGGGTTCAGAATAAAATAGAAAACTCGTTGGATCCGATGAAAGTTTGTTTTTTATTGTATTTCACAGAGCCCCATAATCTATAAATACATAAAATCCGCAGTCTATTAATTACCATGCAATAATAATAATCGAACTGTTATTAATATTAACTGTTATTAAAGAGAGGGCCCCAGGTGTAACGCTGACTTTTTAATGATGTTTAGCACAGTGATACAGCTTGAAATTATGAAGCCAATGCTATTTGTTTCAGCCGCATATGGCCATTAGTTTATGAAATATTTAAAGTTCAGAGCCGAGGAACCTTCGAACACTCATCTTCCCTACATTTCTTAAATCCAATTATAATTATTATTATTGCCTATTAACTCATAAGTGCATTCATATCTCTACAGGATTCGCCTAGACAAAGACGATGACCAAAGCGAAGAATCAATTTCTTCGAAAGGTTTCCCGGCAAGTCCCGTAAGCTTACGCGCTAACGTCGAATCTTATAAGAATAAGTTCGCTACACCGAAGAAGATCGTGCAGGAGGATCTTTCAAAGACAAAATACGCCTCCAAACAGAAAAAAATGTTGAAAAACGAAGCGGAGGACCCGACGAACACATCGTGCAAGTATAAGGAATTGGTGGACTGCGCGCAACCGTTCGCGAACAAGAAAGACACGGTAAATATTCCTATGACAGAGCTGTCCGGCAGCCCATTGTCGAACTTCGCGCACGTACGGAAATTAAATAACAAAGACGCCGACGTGTCTTTGAGCATCGAAACGTTTTGCATAAATCAGGGATCGTTTTGCGATCAAAATATCAGATTTGTCGACGATGACGACGACGACTACATTGATTAATTGTATTAGGTGTATAGTTGACGATATTGTTGACGATATAGCGAGGTACAGTGTTCTGGCCACAAGATCGCGTCGCTAGCTTGCCGAAATAAGGTCTTATAGACTATAAATTACAGTATCTACTGTGCCACTATAGTATCTACTATACTGCTACAGTGCACTACTATGGTACCTACTATAAGTAGTATCTACTATAATCCATCTGGACAATATAGAGCGAACTCGTAATATTTTTTTTAGGTGATAAGGATTTGTTTCACCCTTTGTTTAACTCTTTTTATTGAAAGGATTTAGTAGGATACAGGGAATCAAGTGTGCTTAGACTGATTTGAATGGGGGTTGGACTATTCGAGAACTTGTCAAGAAAAATTGTTTGTATCAATTTTCAACCCCGTATATCGACCAGGAGGGTAGTAGCAGGAATAAATTGGGTGAGAGGAGAAAACTGATAATCCAAGTTTTCGTTATTACTACCCTCCTGGTCGAGATAGAAGGTTGAAACTTGGTACGAACTGTTTTTTCCTGACAAGCTATGGAATGGTCCAATGCCCGTTAAAACCGGTCTAAGGGTACTTTTAACTTTTAACTCAAGTCTAACAATTAATGAAAGAGGAAAAAAACATTTTACAAAGATTCAATGAAGATAATGTGTGAACACTGACGAGAAGTGATTTGCGTGCGTAACGATTCCGTAATTTTTATGAAATTATTATAAAATAATCAGTTCCTGTTTCATCAATCATACATTTGTTCGATAGTGCATATGTCTCTTCATTTATTTGTTATGTGTGGTTTTCTGCTCTGAACGTTAAACTGAACGAAGCATGTGGCCTGGTTAGGTCCCTACTCATGAATGGTACCGCTTCTTGGGGGGGTAATTTTACGAATTCGCTATACCTTGTTCAGTGTATGAATGGTAGGTATAGAAGATGTGATGATTAGACTGTAGATTTTATGCATTTATAGAATGCTATGTTTAAAATTTAGTATAGTAAGAAGTATAATAAAGTTTCGCAAGATTTTCATTTTGTTTCGAACCTAACCCCTAAAATGGTAAATAAAAATTCTTTTTGCTTCCAGCTTTTGTCAATTAACCGATCCACGTTTATATTTGCATAGAAATCCGCAGTCTAGTGATGAATATGGAAGGTGACAAAACGCGATTTTTAAGTAGAATACTGTAGTAAACTCAGTGTCAGTAGGCCCATAAACGGAAGCTCCCTTTGTAGTCCAACTATAGTACTCGGATTTAGAACAGTTATTAGCGTTTTGGAAATTTTTAACAATAATATGAAAGGGAAACTAATTTAGGAAGGGTTGTACAGTTCTGGGCAAGGTCTGGGTCAGGTATACCGAAATTAGTGTAACAAATAGGTTTTTATAATCACTGAAACATATATTACGAGTTCGATACATCGTTGCAACTATGTGATATAGTTACTAGAAATATAGTCTATATCACGTGGCTAACCTTGACTTGATCCAAACCTGTCTTTATAGACCCGTTGAGTTTATTACCTAACTATATATCGTTATCGTCAACTATACCAATAAATAATCCACTATTTTAAACAATCTTTTTTCGAAATGGCTTGAAACTTGTGCTACCTTAACGATATTCTTTATTCATCTGTATTGTTCTATGATAGTTTGATCGAACGAAAGGTCGAAAGGCCATTCTGAATTTACAAAGTATAACAACAGTACTGAAATCATAGTGGATTAGTTATTGGTACTGATAATATTATCAACTTATCTCTTTATTTCGCATTGCACTTTAATGTTAAGTGATTTTACTTTGTTTATAATACTGCTGATTACTTTGATGGCGTTAAAGGTAAATTTTGGTTGTCTTTTGAAGATACTTCGTATGCTTCGATAATATTTCTGAAATGCATTTTGCTATAATGGAATTATAAAAAAACGATCAAGTTCCTTGTCATATTGTTAAACAAACAGACTTGGAAATTTGTCACTAACGTTTTAAGAAAACACTAACACAGATACATCAAAGTATTCAATAGCTATTATTATCAAGTTTTTATTATTTTCTGTACAAAACAAATTTCATTTTACTTCTGAATTTTTTTTTTAAATTTCAAAGTTTTATGTCCGAGATATTTATTGGAATATGTGTAAACGGATAGTTGGTTGTAAATCAAAATAGGAAAGTATATACGGAGGGGATGAAGGTTACATTTTAAATAGAAAATATTTTCAATTAAGCACGGAATTGATTGCAATAAAAGAAAACTAGTTTTAAATATTTATAGTACCGTTTTAAATATTTTTAATATCGTTGACAATTTGTCGCGATTAAAATCCAAGTGTATATATAATATATGAAAATAACGTAATATCTATCGATATAGTAAAAATAGTACAAACTACATGGCACAGTACAATTACCGTTGAAACTCATTATTTATTCGCGTAATTTGTACAATGTAACAGATTTCTAATGATATATAATAATCTGAGTTGAGAACCTACCTAATATTCAAAATGCAATTACGTGCATTTAATCAACCGTGCAATTTTTGGGGTTCCCATCGTCAATGGATCTTTACTATTAAAAATATGCTCAAATATACATATACAAAAACAAAACAATTTTTATCACTCCAAAAAGGAGCAAAATTCTGACGTGTACGCGCGGGGGTTTCCAATTCATATTTTATTACCTAATTAATTTCTATTTTCGAATCTTGTTAATAAACAAACATTTTGATACTGTTAATTTATTACTAATTTACAGATAAGAAATAAAGCGATTTTTGTAACATAAAAAATACAAACAAGATAGAACGTTTGAAAAATTTATACACTGGCGTGAGAAAAGAAATATTTTATAAAATGATGAAGTCTTGTTGCATATGAAAAGAAGCATTCAAGAAAGGGAAAGGACAATTGCCTTTCCAGATATACTTTTTTTATGGCAGTACGTTTCTTCCAAGTTTTCGATTCAATCTGCATTTTTTGGACATTTTACGCAAAAAACGATTCTCGTTTCTAAAAGATTTCACTTTTTGTATTTTATATCTTTTATGTTAGGTGCATCAAAGAATAATCAACTATTTTTTACCAAATGCTATAAATGTTTTCAAAAAAAATCACGTAATAACATTTGTTATTATTCTCTAATATCCTGCACTATTTTTATCAAACAAAAGGTTGGAAGAAGTACTGAATTTAAACTGTATTTGCGTTTCACTAAAAAGATAGAGGATTGAAAGAAGTCATTTTTTCTTTAATATATTCTTTAATAAACAGGAAACACATAATATTGATTTCAGCACTTTGTATAGAAATACATGTTTAATAATTACATAGACTTGTGTACTGTAACAAGTACGTACAGAATGTACGTGGTTATATACTTTTAAAAATTTAATGTATGTATATATATATATATATATATATATATATATTTCGTGAACTTCTTATTATTATTTATGTAATTAATTAGCATCTCAATAATGCATTGCAATTTATTTCATATTGACTAACTTATTAATTATAGTTCAGGTTATGTAACCATATTCAATGTAAAAAAAAAATAATACTTTTTTAATATATTTATTACTTAATTAATCATCGAATTTATCCTAGACTCGTAGATTTTAAATTTAAGTATTAATTTTTGGTAGATTTATATATTACTTTCTAATCTTATTACTTTCTTTAAATAAATATAACTTTATTGTATGACACAACACACAATCGACATTAATCCAGCAACCGATGTATGTAGTAGGTATATATAAAACGATGTATATATAATTGATATTATAATTGAAGACAATTGCTGCAAAAATTTTATCTCACAATCAGAACGCATTTCACAAAAACTTTTTATCATATCCACTGTATTTTATCATACTTTTAATGACAATGTCGTAATTTTATAATGTAAGCTATTGCGTGCAATCGAGAGAATACTTTTTATAAATGTCATTATTAGAAAGTAAAATAAATTATGAGCTGCGATAATACAAAATCATCTATGCCTTAATTGTTCTTAAACTTTCTACATTCCTTTCAGCACGGCTAGTTTTAGAGTTGACTGTGGAACATTGTTAAAATTAAAGTTATTACCATTAGCGTACAACGTACTCCCCCACCCCCCTTCTTCCCGGTTTTCAACCAATGGGACCCTCGAAGATTTGATAATCCCAGACTCAAAGAGTCGATTTTCACTCGTAGCTACCTCCTGCTACATTGTTTTATAAGAATTTCGTTTATACAAAATGTTATATAAATAAAAAACATTGAACGATAGGGAAAATGTTAGAGTAAAACATCATCGAACGTAGTGTCGTTAAACGGTACTTTACCGTACTTTAATTGTCTCATTGTGAGAAAGTCTTTTGAAATACAATTACATGGTTTTATTACATAAAAATCCTAGTTTTTTTGTTAACAATTTCTGCGTCGATACCATTTATATATCGTTTTATCACATTGCGAAGTAGATTTATAATTAAACGAAAGTTCATTGTAAAGGCGTATGTATATATACACTATACACTAATTGTACGTAAGAAAACAATATTATATACAACGCAATTAATTACAAAAACTATTCTAGAATATCAAAATGTAACCGACAGTGCGACTTCATTCGTGTATGTATGGACACTTTCAACGAGATCGCAAAAAACGATTTTTCTCCATTTCTAAAGCATATACATACTTATGTGGTAACTTTCCTAACGTCAGTTATCGAACTGAAAAATCCGTTTTACCGAAATTTCATTTCTTAATCGATTACACGGATTCGTATGAAAATTCGTGTGATTTTATAACTATACATGTATCGTTGCGTAGAATTTTCGTTCAAATGGAAGAGAGAAGTAACATAGGAAAAAAGAGATGGAAAATTGTATAATAATCGATTAGCGTAATATTTCTCGTTATAAATGTCTTGAGATATGCAAAGATCATCTGAAGGTTTATCGATGTTTCTCGACATTGAATTTGTTCGTCGATGTAAATACGATTTCAAGAAATTTATAATAGTCCCTATAAAATGTGTCTAATCGTAATTCTGTTACGTGGAAAAGTACAGGCGAATAAAATACAATTGTGCAGAATCATTTGTTGACTTCGAGCGTCAACGAAGTCTCCGGTTGGGTCCAGATGTAGCCGGTACGCGTCATGCTGCAATGTGCATCGTAGTATCTACCCGGAGCACGACAGTAGGACCATCGCGGGCAACGACATCGAAATTTACTGTGAAATTCTTCCTTGCAAACTTCGTTCCACCAGCAAGTCCGCTATGAACAGAGGTCTCGCGGTTTGATCGGTCATTTTTCTGATCACCACTGGACTGTGGATATTTACGCGCAATCACAATCATTAACACTAGCAACACGAAAAGGGAAACATTTAGCGTAGAGATCTTTCTGCACATTAAGGGAATCTTTACTCTATTAGAAACACGTATTAGATGATGCAACATAAGAAATGAAAATTAATTTTAAATTATATTATATTGGTAAAGATTGTTATATCAATAAAAAGCGAATAAAATAATTTCAGCTTTGTTAATTGTATGTACGTACATGAAAATTGTAAACTAATGTTAGTCATTTTTATATTGAAACGTCATCGTTCGAATATCTGAACAATTCGATTATTCTATTTTTATTATTATTATCTATTGTATTATTATGTATTGTTATTATTAATATCCAGAGTTTGATGTTTCTGTGTCTCTTGTCTATTTCGTCTAATGGTAAACGCGGCCCTGATTGTATCACAATGAGACATGTAATTTTTTACAGATCATTATTAGTTCAGGCTATTTTCACAATCACTGACACGAACGCAAAAAATCTGCAGTGTATAATGATTACCACGATGATATTATTGTAACACGTCCAAAAACTACCCCGTACATATGTTTACATTTCGCTTACCTCCGCCAAGTAACCTCTTACACTTTGATCGCTATAATTTCTTTTTTTGATAAGGTGCTTTGCAGTCGTCGTGTACACTTCGGCGCATAATACTAGTAGCAGTAACAGGTGTAATGCCAATCCCTCCTGCAACACAAGCACTCAATTCACTTTTTCATTTATTAATCTTACTTTCAATGAGTTTGTGACAGGGTGGAATAGAGGACCAGAGGATATTAACATCCATGAAATAATACATGGTTACTAATTGTCAACTATACCCGTCATCCACGAGCTATTAAACGCAAAGTTTAAAGTAATGACAAAATAGAATTTCAGATAAATATCATATTTCCACGTGAAATTAATTTCACCTTTATGCTTTGCAACTTATATATCTTTAATACAACTTGTTAAAACAGTCGAGTAACTAAAGAACGTAATCCTGATTCCTACCACCCTATATTGCCATCCTGTATAATCACCATTCGGCTGACACTGCCGTAACGAAAGGGTTAACACGAAAACTTTGACCGTAACACGGTTCGAGAGTTGCATATAAACAATTGTAGCTTTAAGGACTTACATTGTCGCGCATTTTTACCGATTCAATTATACAAATATGTTGTTGCACAGCCACCTCGTTGTATCACAGAGAAAAAAAATATGCGCCACAATGCTGGCTACATAGTACTTTGCTTTCCGTTGCTATACGCTTCGTACGAACAGTTGAAAGAGTATGGTACGTAACGCGGCGCAAGCGTATACTGTGTCCCTATTCTGACTTTGAAAATCGATCGTCATGAAACTTTAAAATTTTGTTACAGCAATTTGTTGGAATTTCGACTGTTTTTAAATTACCCGTACAAACACAAAAGAAATTCTTTGATTTCTTACAGTGTGCAAAAAGAATCGGTTAACGGGAAACAAGATATGAATATAGTGAATGCAAGAATACGCTTAACAGCCGAGACTTAATCTTCAAAAACGTAGAAAATAAAGTTACAATAAGTATTTGTTTATTAAAACTACTATTTAGTTACATTGTAAATAGATAAATTATTATAATATATAAGTAGTATTTTATAGCTTGCATAAGCATCAACTTAATTAAATTAATCAAGACCTCTTGAAACATAAAATTGATGTCTTTTTACTTGCTTTTCAGTGATTTATTATACATATATATGAAAATATAGCAAATGTAAGTGAACAATAAGTGTGTACCTACTTTAATTTATGTAATTCTCGTTACATTATCTACACTTTGTTAGATTTTTTATTATTATGTGTATATAATATCATTCATCCTGTTTTATTATACACACCATTACAGCAATTTGACATCTGCTGAAACTACTTAATTGAAATTTGTATAAAAAATTCCGATTCGTGAATAAACAAATTATTTACTATTGTTTAAAGAAATATTAGTTTGATTCAAACTTTTATTGTACAGAAATATCATAATAGTAATAATACAATTATTTAACAAAATTAGGAAATTAGTAAATGTTTGATTATTTATATTTAAAATGTGAAATGTAAAGTTGCTTATAAGCTTCAGCTGGCTTTGGCTGTAAGCTGTAAACTAGACGTTATAAACACTTTCCACTGTTAATTAAGCAAACTTAGACGCAGCTTTGTTACAGTTTGTGAGTTAAATATATTAATTAAAAGATCTTTCCGAAGTAAATAGACACTTCTTCGGAAATTATGACAGAAGTTAAAAAGTTAGACAATACTGATTTTGAAAGATAACCTCTATTTTTGTGGTTACTTATTTTATGTATATATTTTCATATTTTCACTGTTACAAACTTATAGAGAATTGTTGGAAATTTATTTTGTGTTGCGTTTAAATATTATTTTTCATACTATTAAAGTCTGTGTCGTGTGTTTGTTATAAGAGCAATGGCAGATTGGTTAAGAATTAAATTTCATTCCTGAAAACAATTCTGTTTAAATAAACAGATTTCTAATAATTTGTTAAATAAGTACAAACTTAGTGACATATAATAATGGAATTGTCAAAAGATGTCATTCAAGGCCTAACAAGCATTTCAAATGTAAACATCATTACTGAAGACAATTTACAAAATATTTTAGGCAATGTCATTTCTCATGTACAAGAGAATTCCACAGAAATAAAGTGTAAGTACCCTTTCTTTGGATATAGTGGAGAATATTTTCGAATAATATAAAAATATTTACACCGATAAAATTATAGGCATTGTCAAAGCAGCAGACACGAAAGCAATTTTAACAAAGAAGATCTTTGCTGACATATTATGTTTGTTCGTAGAAGCAGCTCGGCATGATTTAGATGAGGAAAGTTTGAAAAACTTCCTATGTCAAGCATGTAATAACGAACAAAGAAGAAAGAAACTATGCGAAACATATATTAATAATAAAAAGATAATACAGTCTCGATTGGAATTAATAAGCAATAATCCACCACATATTGTTGATGTAGACTGGCATTTGGACTATCGCGTCAAGGTAATCGAACGGTGAAGAGAACACCGAACGTTTGATCCACTGACGCTTTATTGATATAAAAATGATTTCCAGTTGGACACGTGCAATTCACTGGGTGTTCCTCTTTATCATATACGACTTAGGACTAAAGAACATGAAAGGATAAATCATATAACATTCTCATGTACAATACAGCAGCTGCAAGAACTAGTATTTAAGCTTAAAGATGCTATCAGATACTCAGAGAAACTGACTAATGTATAGCTCTATAATTTTTAGTTATTGGTTTACTTAATACAGTGTACACATGTATGATGCCTTAAGATTTTGTTACAAATATTTTTGTAGATGTAAGTACCACGTGTGTGTAAATAATTGTCAAGAACTTACGACATTATACATGTATGTTAACACTTACGCAAGAATCATTATGGTAATCGTTTAATAATAAATTCAATTTATGCATATAAGTGTAATGGTAAAATCTGATACAAATAACAGACTGTGTAAAGTATAATCAACTATATTTCCATAATTAAAACATTCCCTACTTCATGTAGTATTATTACTGTACTGATACACGCACGCGTGTGTGTGTGTGTGTGTGTGTGAGAGCGTATGTGCGCGCGCACACAACATACGCAGAACACTTGCATAAATTCGAAAACAAATGACGATCAACGTTTTAATAAATAAAACAAATCTCGAAAACTTTATTCAAACCGCTTCAGCTCAAACGACACTGAAAATTTCTTCGCGCAAAAATTATACATACTTCATTATTCGTTCGCATCATCGTTCCACTCATTCACTCAGGTACACCTTGTATACAAAAGAGCCGCGCGCGCACACAACCAATAACTTATTAAAAATACATCGCCTTTTGCTCTACAGTCAGACATCTCTCTAAAAATTGCTTTCTCGTAATAGACAAAAAAAATACTATCATTACGTTCTTATCTGCTAAAATATGCGTGTTAAATTATATTAATAATCGATAATTTTTTTATATCTAATACATGATATAGATTTCTTTGAATCATTATACATTATTTACAAGTAAATGTATCTAAAAAAAAAGATCGTCAAATATTAAAATTTCTCTATACATTAACTGTTTCTTTCTTTCCGGCAATTAGCAAAATTAATGGTGAACTTTTTATCCATGCGTGCTATTTGAATAATTCGGTGCAATACAATACATCGACAATGATGACTAATCAAGCTGGAAAGAGAGAAATCTCTCAGGGTGTAATAACTTTTCCTTCTTCTTTTTTTTTTAACTTTTTAACAACTATCTCTTTTGATCGATTCTTTTAACGTTATTTCATATATAAGTTTACTGTGTTAAGGCCTCGGAAATTTTACTATAACTGTTTCCTTTGTAAAAAAAAGAGGACACGAAAACAAAGCCAATCAAAAAAAAAAAATCTCGTCATATACTAAATCTATTTGGAAGATAAAAATTCATTAATCCTCGAGGCTTTGGTTGAATGTCTGGTTAACTGAGACGTACTAATAAAACGAACAATAAAATTTGTTCAAAAGCATCATAAATACTGACTTCACGAAATTATTTTGTGAAACGACTTCATATAAATAATGTTACATCGAACAGATATACGCAACGGTTTTGACTATGTAATCTTTACAGAGTCTTTTTTTCGTCACAGATGTTTGCACGAGTATCTATTTACTTCTTCCGTTTATTTTTTTTTCGTGCTAACCATGAACGTATCTTTAACCACTACGATTTTATATCGCAAGACGATACACAGTAATCGCCATGTCATTGTAATATGTTTAATATTTTGCGATTCAAAAATCGTAATAATCAAAATGAAAACGTGCACGTTTACTTTTGCCTAGGTTGCCATGAAAAACTTTGTCAAAAGTGTGAAGTATGAAATGTAGCTCAGTAATGTCTTTGTCCATGACAGAATATATATGTATATAGTAATAACAGAAGCATTTGACTTTTACAAAAGTGTACATGTGAAATTACTTTGAACTCTGGAATTATACCTCCGTCTTACTAGTTTGAGCCTCAGATCTTTTCTCTTGTTCGCCGGTTTTTTCGCATTTCTCGTGATTGGACTCGTGTTGCTGCCTTTCAGCATCTACGGACACTTGTACCGATTGTGTTCCATTCTGTTCCTTCTGTTGTTCTGTACGTTTCTCTGCTGGCGCTTCGCCATTATTTTCGCTAGCAAGATTTCCATTCATTTGGGAAACTGATTTCTCTTTTTTCTTATTTACAGTATTATTGCTCTCGTCAGATCGCTTCTTTTCCAAATTCTGCCCCTTCGAATGATAAGAATTCTCATCAATGCATCCACCTGAACCTTCCTGTGAATGTTCCTTTGTCTGATCATATCCAGGCCCTGTTTGGGAACTTTCTGCCTTACTCTTTGACGTACTTGTCAGTGTATTTTTACCCTGTCCAATACTCGAGACCGGAGGAATTACAGTTGATTTAGAATTTCGAACTATTTCGGGTGATGTTTTAACATTCTCTGCATTGCCAAAACTTCCAGTCTTAGATAAATTGAATGCACTAAGATCTTCTTGCGGTGCATTCTCTAGAAGAAGTAGATTATTAGTTTCAAGAGATGTTGTTGCAACGATTTGCGCCTCGGACTTGGATAAACCATAAGATGTAGGTGAAATTGCTGTTAAGGAGGTAGTTTTAGGTGATTTAGGCGAAGAATAGGTGCTCGGTGGTATTCTCTGAACTGTTGGAGGTTGAGAGACTGGAGAAAAGCCAGTAGTTTGTGGTATATAACTGGACCGCTGGTACAACTTATTAATCGAGGGAGGCAAACTACTGTGGAAGGCACTGGGTGATGGAATACCAATTGGTGATCGAATCAAAGGATTTGGAAATCTGGTTGCGTCTGGAAACGGCGGTGGGAAATGAGGATAAATTAATCTAGGATTCATATTTGGTGTTGGGGAAGGTATAAAAGGACTCGTTGAAAGCATATTTACTGGTGAATTTTTGGGAGATATTGGCGAGCCAGTATTCCGGCAAATATCCCTTGAAAATGGAGGATTTGGATAGTTTCTTGCACTTGGAGAATACGGAGGTGGTGAAACTATGGGTGAATTAATTGTAGAAACTATTGGAGATAGAGTTTTAGGATCTATCTTCATCATACTTAAATTCCCGTTCTTCGAACTAGTTGAAGTGTTTGTTGTAGTTGTCGGTGTTATTGTTGACTGTTCTTTTTCTTTGCTGTCATTACCGATTCCGTACATTGGTTTCACTCCCGAGGCAGGATTGCCCAGATACCTTGGCATGTTCCTCATCTTAAATATTTTAGCCGGTTTCGACTGAATTGTTTTACTTCTGTCAGAGGAAGTAGTTTGATGTAATTGACTTTGTGTCTCCTTACTTTGATTTTTAACTGCTATATAATTGTTTTTGGAAAGTGTAGGATTCCAGCATCTTGGAGGATCTCGAAGAGTTTTGTAGCCAACTGCTTGCGTTTGCTTCTTAGAGGCAGAAGGAACCTTTTGTACAGAATGTGATGTTGTCATTGGAGAAGTAGACACTAACGAAGTGGCTCTAAGTCCATCCTTTACGTTAGAATAAATATTTTTATTTTCTGTTGTCATTATGTTGCTACTAGGAGCATAAACGGGTATATTTGAAATGTTCGTGAGCTGCTGTTGCTTATTTGTAGGTTCGTTTGTGATCGACGACGAACTACTTTTTCTCCCAATTTTTAATAAATCTGGAATGTCGGATTTACTTCTTGTTTCTGTTTTATTCTTCTCTTTAGAATTCTCGCCAATCTTGGCGCAAATATCATTAATTTTAGAGCCAGAAGCTCCAATTTTAGCACAAATGTCATTCAAATTTGAACCTTTTGTGATCAATTCATTCTTGCGAATTGTTGGTTTCATTAGAGAAATCGGAATGGCATCTGGGCAAGGAGGTGCTGAATATACACTAGTTATTTCTATATTTCCTTTTAACGGCGAGTCCTTTGAAGCACTCATTACGGATGTTGGATAGTTATTTTTCAAAGAAGACGAGATGCTCATAGAAGGCATAGTAAATGTTGTAGGACTTTCCTGTATTGCGGATGTGGTTACTGTGTTTTCTGGAATTGTAGTAGCAGACAATTTCTGAGCCGTTGATGTTGCCAGACTCTTAAGAGAATTTTTCAACATTGTACTATTCACCAAATCCTGAACAGTATATGAAAACGTATGTGTACTTTGACCCATTGTTGATGCGCATGTGGAGCTAATTCCATTTCCGAGGGATCCAGTTAAAGATGCAGTAAGATTAAGGGTAGCAAGATTTTCATTTGTAAATGACTCTGTTTGCGTGTACGGTGATTTCTGAGGAATCGTAATTGTTTGCCCACTGATTCTTGGAGCTGATTCTATACAAGCTTGATCTAACGAACATGTCTTCTCTGAAATATTTGGTTCCTGGAGAAAAGATCGATGCTGATCAACTGATTGCACACTTTTCATATTGGATTTCACTTCTCTCGACTCAGAATTAGTTGTGGTCGTTGTATGCGTTGAAACAACAGGTTCCACAGTTGCCTCTGTTACAGATATTGGTTTTGGTGACATCGTTTTTGTAGAACAAGGAACTGATACTTTACTTACTACTACTCCAGAACTGTTCGCTATAACTTGTGTTTTTAAAGTATCAAAAGAATATTTTGAATCTACAGATTTCAAACTTTCAGTAGTTTTTGTTTCCACTTTTTTGGATACAGGCGGCATAATCTTCCTATCCTTTATGGTCTTTTTTGAAGAATTATTATTACTATTAATTTGTCCCATTTTTGGTTGAAACTGTAACTTCACACTTAAAGCATTGATTTTTGATCCCGTATTTACAAGCTTCGTTTCGTTTTTTGTGTGTTGTTTAAGAGTCTCGGCTTTCTTTTCTATGATAATTGTGTTGTTATTATTTTTTGATGACTCTTTCGTATCCCTATCATCAGTAACATTGCATTTCGTTTCACCACCATCCACACATTGCATTGTTTCCTGAGATTGCACATTATTTTGCGAAACTGTCTTATTTTCAATATTATCATTACCTGATTCATTTTTCGATTCTCCCTCATTTTTAATTTTTACTGTAGTTTCTGCCTTCTCTACCAAAATTTTTTCAGCTTTTGTCTGATTAGAATTTCTTGTATTATCAAGTTCATTTAGATTAGACAATACATCAGTATCGTCAGTGATTGGTTTATTTGAAGGCAACTCATTTTTTTTAGTAATCTCGGATTTATTATTTCCGTTAGCAATTTCCTGCGTAGGTGATGTATTTACAGATTCAACATTAGCAACAGGTTCTTCAGCTTTTGTATTTTTCTTAAATTCTTGATCTGATATATCTGTAATACTCATTATACCAGTTTCAGAAATTTTTAGTTGAACTTCTTTCCATTCTCTTTTTACGGTTTTTTCCTCTTCTAACTCAATGGGATTGATTCCAGCATGAAGCAAGGATGTTTTATAATTGACGTTGTCTTCAGAAAGTTTTATTCGTTTCGGCGAAGATTCAAATATCCTGTAACTTAAATGCAATGGCACTTTCTGAAACAAACAGAGCAACATGTTTGTAGAGTAAGGATTTTCATATTATTCAAGCAATTCATATACGAATTTTTAATATTTACCCGCCTCCAATGATAAATGTACATCACATCCATTAGAGTGTAACTACCATGTAATGGTTCCTCTTTATACATAACATCTACCCTGTGTGCATCAGTCAGCCCATACTTAGCTCTTATAAGTTTTTGCAGATGAAAAATTGTGACTGCAGCAGGACAGCGAAGATATCGCCTCAAAAATGGTTTCACAGTTATTTCCTTGACATCCTTGGATGGACTAAAGTATTCTAACGATAAACTGAGAGACTCGTCTGGTGAATATATATGTGATTCTGTTGGTTCCCCTCTTGCTTCTGGAGATGCTGTTTGAGTGCATGCCTCAGGATGTTTAGAATAAAACTCTCTCCTACATCGCATCTCATCTGAGATAAAGGTAATCAAATGAATAATCTATAGTACAGATTGTCTTGCTTGATTGTGTAACTTACTTTGGTAGCATCCAGGTACCAATTTATACACTATGTCCTGCAAAGTGTGGTCCGGACGAATGTTAAGCAACGGCTTACTTTTATGTACTTGCACCTCACATATTGGACAATACTTATTGTTCTCCAGATATTTCACGATACAGCTCCTGCAAACTGTAGTGCAACATTAACTCCATTGTTTACATCAAACTGTTTAAATGGCCATCCAATCCTTTTATATCAATGAAATTTAATGATTCACCATAGACAAAAGGATTAAGGAAATAACAAATGTATACACGTACATGAGTGCAAACACTCTATAATCGTAGTGGCATCAATGAAATATCCACCGCATAACTTGCATGTTAGCTGGTCATTGAGCTTGGACAACCTTAAGCGATGCCCTCCACTCTGACCTGACATTCTATAAAATAAATAATTAACTGTTTGTAGTTATTGACTTTCAAACATAACAACAATCACAGCATAAAGTGCAACGACGGAAAAGATTCATGATATTGCGCGTTTTAAAGCACCAACACGACACAAATAAAGCGGTATCGTTATATTACTTCTGTTACTCCGAACACGGAAAATATTACATTAAAATTTGTTCAGTGGCATGATCACGACGAAAATATCAGACTTACGTGGCGAATGACGCGAAAACTGTTCGTTTTATCTAGTAATCGCCATTTGATTAAAGAAGTCAGGAAAGTTGGGTCAGAACTGAGGCAAGATTTCACAGATCCTCATGACGAGAAAATCCATTAAGTAATGAAACCTGACTCAAATCTGTAAAAAACAATGTCTTCTTGGAGCACAGAATATCGTCTGGTTCGACGATGTTTTCAAAATTTGAGTCAATTTAGTTCATTGTAAAATAGGCCACGGTGCCAGGAAAAACTGTGAGAACGACAGCAAAACAAAATGGTGGATAAACAATCATCCCAATGACATTTCCAAAAACATGGGTTTCTTTCGAGGCTCTTTCTTCAACTGCATCTCACGAAAGTGTATTGATAAGTAAAATAAACGTTCAAGATGAGAAAAGTCAAAGCTTTTATTTGCTTTCAGGGTATTCCAGAAAATATAATTGTTACGGACAATTCATCCGACAGTTTATAGCACAGACAAAGTGTAAGGATAGACCTAACATCCAATGTATTTTCGTGGCCCATTTTCTGGGGCGCTAGTGCCCTATTACTATGTTAGTGTCACCGACGAGGTATAGGATAGACCTATCATCTTATGGGACTTCGTGTCTCATGTTCTGAAATACCGATAGTGTAAAAAGTCAGGGATTTTCTGCTGCCCTCTACGTTATGAGAACGGTGAATTTGTGAACTACGTTAAATCCATTCGAGCTCAACTAGTCTAACTTCTACAGTGTTTTCGAGTCTAAAGTACAATGTTGTCAGATCATGAGTGTTCGGTACGTCGGACAATCATCGAAGGAACCATAGTCGTGAACGGATTCTCTTCCGTCCGTTCACTGTAAAGTAGACGTATTAGGAAGGAGCCTTCGGTTCCAGTCCCGATGGACCTATTGGTTTTTTTTCGCGTACAAAAAGTTATTGCGCTTAATATTGTTTTTATGAATATGTATATATATTATTATGTACATTTGAGTAAATTATTTTATTATTCCATTGTTATTACAACAGTTTAACAGTGACAACGAACGCATGTATATTTTCAAATATCGGACTAACAGTATATTTTTATTCTATTTTATTACATATAAGTGAGTAATAAGTATCAAAAACGTAATCGAAACACAGATTTTTATTACATCACAAACATCGCATAAAAGATATTTCGTTATATTGACATTTGTAATAATTATGAATGTTGCGGGGAAATCTATTGACATTATGGAACATGTAACGAAATATCACAACGGAATATATAACACTTCATTTGTGCTAATAATACTCAGAATTCATGCTTTATCGGTAACGTCGGGTATTGACACTAAAATGGTAACAGGGCTACGTAGCCCTATGAACGTGGGACAGAAAAAAGCATTGCATGATAGGTCTATTCTATACCTAGTCGGTGTTAGTGTCGACATCCGACATTACCGATAAAGCACAAATTCTGGGTACAGTCACACACAAGATATGTATAGAATAGAGTGAATAGATCTATCATCTTATGACCGGAAAATAATTGGTGCCAAATATTAATGTTTCTTAACAATATTTATCTTAAAAAATTGCTCCCAAATTGCTCCCTCAGAATCTAAAATTGCTCTCATCGCAACGTTTATATTTAATGAGATATTCGCAAATGAAAAAGCAAAAATTTGTTGTTTGCATTTATTTCGTAACAGCATGTTCCATGTTACAGCGGACTTAGAAGGCTCAGGTATCTAATGCCTCTGGAAACGGAAATCGGCACTAATTCTAGAACTTTTGTATAAAGTCTATGAAGATGTTCATAGCAACTTGTTTCTTCTTAAACCATGCCGGATATCGGACATTTGCTTTTGCTAGGCCTTTCGTGGATAAATTGTGCAGTAATTAAATTTCGTGTGCTTCAAAATCATTTCCAGTATTTGTGAAATATATTAAACCGGAACGCAATAATATTCACGAATTCTTCCGTTGGTCTTGCCAACTTTGTAATCGATGGAGCATCTTCATCTTCATTTGAATATTCACGATCTACTGTAGATATACTCCTTCGCAGCTTCAATAGAATCCATAGGAGTTTTCACCATCGTATCGCGACAGTCAAAACAATCACATTTTTTCATTATAATATGATGTACGGTATAGCCCGCAAAATATGTAATTGATGTTTTGAATTTACGTATCCTATATGTAGGATACTTACACGGTGATTGACGCATGCGCAAGTAATCTTCCTAAGAAAATGTGTTGATCTGGCAAAACCGAGACGAGAAAATCGGAGCTAGGTCTGTGATCGTGTTATTCATATTTAGTTAACCTTTACGCGTAAAATGGCACTTCGTACATTATCGTTTTTGCGTACAAATAGTGATGTTTTAAAGTGTTGCGGGTAAGTTGTTTTGAACCCTGTTTTTTGAATCTGCAGTCGTTTTGATTTCCCTTTTTTGGAAAACTAAGATTCAAGTAGTGCATACAATTTTGTAATTTTACATAATCGGCGATATCATGTAACTATAAAAGGACTACAAATATTACAAAAATGACAAATTCGGTTTGGTTTGTAGATTACCGAAAAGATGTTTTGTGGACTCACGCAAAACAAGCGAAGACGTTGTTCCTACGACTATACCAGTACGTAAAGAACTTCAAGACTTATTTCTAAGTAAAGAAGAAAAACTGTACAGAGAGGCTATGAAAGGTTTGATTGAGGTACCAGTGAACGAAGATGTTGGCTTGGTTTCTGGTACACCTGAAGAACACATAAAAACTCGTCGAGTTCGCATTTACTGCCCTGCAAAAAGTGCTATGCAGTGTGGAACAAATAATATACACTTTTGGCAAATAGATTTTGATACACGTGAACGTTGGGAAAATCCACTCATGGGATGGACATCAAGGTAAGTATAATAGTGAATATTTTCTTTTTGATTTTTAACATTTTACAAATACTGTGTTTTTGTCTGTAGTGGAGATCCTATGTCTAATCTCAAGGTAGAATTTGCAACAGAACAGGAAGCCATTGCACACTGTGAGAAAATGGGATGGGACTATTATGTTCAACAACCAAATAAAAATAATCCTGAACCTCGCAGTTATGGTACAAACTTTTCATGGAATAAACGTACCAGAGTTTCAACTAAGTGAAGAAATAGGTTGTTGAAGAAAAAGCAGTATAGTTCTGTAGATAGCAATATCATGCATCATATGATAAGACAACTATATGTATACATAATTGTTCTGGTATGTAAAGTTCCATAAACTAAATAAACTTTTCTAAAAACATAATATATGTTAGAAAGCAAAGTATAGACATTTGACAAAACTCCTTTGAAAGGAACATAATAGTAACATGCTGGAATCAATTTTATCGATAAACTCCAGAATTTATTTTTTAGGAATATTTATATAATATCATTCTTACATGGGTTAACATTCTTATTATTCATCTTTTGTTTATTATTATTATTATTAGCATTTTTATTATAACATCAGATTTGATTAGATTGTGTATTTTAAAATTCAGTGTCTGCTCGTATTAGCTTATAGACTATATCGAGCATTGTTGCTATTCAGAAAATACATTTGACTAAATGTGGATTAAAGATTGGAGAAAAAGCACATTTTAGATGTAAAAACATTCATCAAAGGATACTTGAAGACCAAGTGTATGTTTCCTGAAATACTTTGAATTAACTCATACAACAAGTTTTGTGATACAATAGCAATCTACAGAAAAATTTGATTAAACAGAATTAATATATATGGAAGAACAATGCTCGACTCTCTGTTCATAAATATATGTGTTGAAACAATCATTCTTGCAGACTAACAAGGATTGTTAAACTATTTACAAGTTCAAGTTAAAGGAACGTTTCACTGCTCTTTAATTATTTCCATATTTGACGAATTATTACAATGCTAATATAATATTTTCTGCTCTGTGTCTGTTTGTCTGTCTGTTCTCTCTCTTCCTCCCGTTCATTTTCTCCTATTTCTTTCTTGCTAGTTTTCACATTTTCATCATTGTCAGATGTTGAAGTATAAAATTTATACTTTCTCATCTACAATGAATTTCTAATGGGAATTCGATTTCAATTTTGTAGTAAATTATTATTAATTATCAATAAAAGAATGTTGACAATTAAGAATAACTGTTACCGATTATTATCACGTACCTAATCTTAACAATTTTTTTTTCATGCAAATTCAAAGGAAAACGCGGAAGAAGAGAAAAAAGCTATTTCCCTTTGAGTTGTCGATTGTCATTGACCCTGTAACTAATGGGCATCTATCCTTCAACGTTTTATTTCTTAATAAACCTGTCCTTTAACGCTTTTTTCTTTTCACCCGAGCGGTAGAACATTCGACTTTTTGTATTACATGTTTCATATGTTGCGTGGTCAATATTGTCACTTTGGTATCCTGTATTCAAAGTATATAAAACGAGAAACTAACTGGAACGCACGATGAATTGAATAATCAATCGTACGTGCCAGCGTCAAAAGAAAGCTATACACTGCAAAGGTTCATTCATTATTTAAGTGTAATTCTGACGGTGAGTTTTAATACGTATAGGTTTGAGCAGGTGTTACTTTATCAATGTTCTATTCACACGCACGCACGCAAGCACACAGACACGCAGAAAAATGCGCTATCTGAAAAATTATAATCTAAACAATTTCGGATTCCCGAAGGGTGTCCGAGCGTGATTGTACAATTTTTGGAATTTCGCTATCCTTAAATTTTCGGATAGCAAAATCGCGTGTGTCCAGTCTCTTGTGTTTTGGTATAATTATAAGTACATAATATCTAAATAGACGTATCCGCGTGTATACACGCCAATTACGAATAAATTACCAATAATATATATATATATATGCCTTTAATTGACATGATACATAGCTTTACGATGCGTGCCTTTGCGAAGATCATCTTTCGTAATTGGATCGACTTCGAAATATGTATTCAATTTTTTACTTTTGTTTATCTTTCGATTCATTTTCAATCAGCTTCTTTCTCATGCTCCTCAATGCTATGTCCTTGAAGTTAACGCGTGAAAAAACAGATTTACCAAGCATTAAGCTTTAAATGCTAAACTCTAAAAGTAACGTACGTTGTACGTTCTAACGAGAAATTTACGTAAATTCAACTCGTACCATTGTCTTGTACGAATATTTATAACGTGAAAATCTAGTATACATGTTTATATTCTTGTATACGTATATTAATTCGCAATCGTTTGTTCTAACAATAGGCACTATAGGTCGACGAGAGGTCGTGGCGTGTTAATGGCAACGCGTATTTGTGAAAAGGAAAATTGAGAGAGGTAAGGTGAAAATCTATTGTAATCTAACTGAATAAGTTTCGTGTTCTTATTTCAGGGATTTAAATACCGTAATACAGTGTTGACCGTGACGTGCTCTGATTCTTCCCCAATTCTATCTTGTATTACTATATACAACCAATGCTATTATTTATAATGCTATGTTATGGGTTGCACCACATAACAAGCATTTTTTAGAGTATAGAAAAGGATCGTCGAGCCAGAGCAATCGTTTTACTCATGGACAGCACTGTTAGAAATGAACAATGCCCTCAATAAATCATGTTGTTAATAGTGTTTATGATCTTACATCAATTTCATTAATTCACATAAATGATATTATGTTTTATTTGTATGTACATATTGGATGAGGACTTTTATCACTCGTATAAGTTACATTATCCTTGATGTAACAAGTTCTATAAGATTACCAACTCTAGCAACAAAGTGATTCATTGAGAGGTATTGGACACGGACCAATATGGTTACCGTAAAAATTCAACTAATTACTACAAAATTCGTTGTTCCTTTTTCTACGTAACTCTTTCTCTTTCTTTCTCTTCCTCTCTCCTTCTCTCTCCCTCTTTCTTTCTCTCCTCTGTCTCCTCCAGTTCCTTTCCTCTCTCCCTTTCCTTCTTTAAACAATTTTTAATTTTTACTTGTATATCACATAAGTCATACTGTAGTTATGATCTGTGTTTATTCGTATGTATGTTTCTGTGTGTGATGTCAGAGTAAAACCATGTGATTGTATTGCTTTTTCTTATATGTTTTATCTTTTACCACAGGCAAGGTGTAGCATGGTCCTAATGCCCAATTAGTGTTTTCGAATAAATGGACAAAGCATAACAATTCAAAATAAATGTAATAAGAATTAGATATTAATTCTGTCAAAAATAATGAAGCAGTCATATTATATTGTTATAATTGAAAACCATGGATTTTAGGACATGTGATAAACTTCAATAAGATGTTTGGTCTATTCTATATCTCATCTATGCTTTCTTGTAATATATGTAGTACTTGTCACCAATCATTTCTTCATACTAAGAAATATTCAAAATGATATAATTACTTTTTTTATAATACAGTTTTATATATAGTTTTTTGTATATCAGCATTTGGAAAAAGGTTCTAAGCTTTAGCTTATCGATTATCAAATCTATGAATTGTTCATTTTCTTTGAAGACAAGTTGGACTAGCTAAGCCTCTTATATTATATTTATTAGTAACTAAATTAAATGAAAAGAACAATTGGTGAAGAAAAAATTACATGTTCACTTTGCATTTAATGTGTTTTGTTTCATTTGCGTCATCCTTCATTGCAAATAGACACTCCAAATCAATAGTGCAAATGTATGTATTAGAAGATTGATAAAGCAAATGGTCAATCATTTTGTAGTAACTTCTTTCATGCTAAACCAGATATTTGAAAAACGATGAAGGTACCAATTTCTTTTGTGAATATGCCGTAATGGAAAGTCAAACCATATGAGGTGTCTGACATTGGGTACAACAGTATTGGTTCATACTAAACCACAGATGACAAAGACGTCTTCGTTTTAGACTGATAGAACAGATTGAAGCCATAAAAATATAGAAAATCTGATAGATATCTGATTTGATTTAATAAATGAATGTAAGTACTTCTAAAAAAACAAAGAAATATGTCTACTAATATAATTACCAATGATAACTTGGTCGTTTCAACGTCTACAAAAGGGAAAGTATAATTTTTTTTTGCAATGTTTCGCGTTTATGTGGAAGAAATTACTGTCACGAACTATGTCTAATTACACCGTAATGGAAACGCTTATTTCATATTTAAAAAATCGTAATATTAATAATTGGAACGAGTCGAACTTCACATGTGTTTGCGTTCTACATTTATATTAATGCGAATCGCATAAAGTTATACACGATATTTGCCTAACAAGCGAAAGTACGACAAAAAAGAACTATGGTTTTACCATGACACAGTTTTTCTTTTGTCAAATGTCGTACTCGATCTATTCTCTTTTCGTCTTCTGTTTTCTTATTTTTGTTCGTCTCTTCTCTCGAGATAAATATGAAGTAAACATTTATACTACTATTTCACGATCCGAGACACTAGTAGCAGTCTCTTTAAGTAGCTACTATTTCCTTTTTACAACCAACTGATCAACCAGTGAAACAAGTAAAATTCGTGTCAGTGATTTAAGGAGATCTTTTGATCTAGAATGCAAATATCGATGATTCCTCTTCTCTCCTATTTTCAAAAATTCGAAGAATTGAAGAAGTTATTCGAATAAAACCGCGTCCAACGGAAAATTGAAGTGTTCCTTATAAGTAGATGTGTGGACCGTATGCATTTATAAATAAAAACTTTAATAAACATTTCAAGGAATTTCCTATTTCAGTTATTTTAAACTTTAAACCATTAAAACTTATAATAAAAAAATTAAATTTTATTTCATTCGATTCTTTATAAATCATTTCTATTATGAAATGGAATTTTTTCCCAATAAAAGTAATTGAATGTGTAAACTTGTAAACGGATGCAGAAGTCATAAAGATGTACAAGTAAGTGAGGTTTACTACTGAACAGATATACCTAAGTATAAATGCCATAAAACAAATACTTTTAGGTGCAGATAGATGACACAGATAGAACTAATTCTATTTACAATGGTAGCAACTTGTTTGTAGAATATTTGTAGTAAGGTTCTTCGAGATCTATGAATCTTTTATACAAAACTAAACTAAAAGCTATAAACCTTTAAAATCGATTTCTTTAAACTCGCTCTTTTCTGTAATATTTTACTACTTATTTTAAACGTGTTATTTTTTAAATTCTCAATGTTTATTTCTCCCTTTCCAATTAATATACCGACAAAAAAATCAAAAACACCAAAAGAGACTCCCGTTTCGCTATTTTTCTTATAAAAAGAAACTACACTTTTCATCTTAAAATACGGAAATACAAGGGTGCAAAATTCGAAATAGTTGGTACCAACACTACTCGAGTAAAAAAATGCTTTTCAAAGCCTCTACATCTTCCCTAGACCAGAAGATCTCGTTAATCTATAAGAGGTCTCGAAGTTTAGATTGTATATCTCGTTAAATTGGTCTAGCTGTTACCTTTAACCGTGGTGTATAGTAATGCAATTTTCAATTTTCGGATTCTACTTTCAAGTACAAGAAGAATATTTAAGTTCGTTGCGATCGATCGATCGCTAATGGTAACAGCGGATTAATGCCATTAGAAGTCGAAAATGCTTGAATATGGTACACAGACGATACGTTTCGTTGTGCGAGTTGTGCAGCTTTATTCGGTATGACGTGTGGATCGTGATGATTGTAACGTGTATGGTCGTTTTGATAATTGTCTCTTGAACGATTGTCTCTGTGTAACTTCAGCCACGAAGCCAGTCTTCCCCTCGCAATCGAGCGTCACATTTTTTGGTGCGACTCGTCGAACGACATATTCTTACAACCCTGAACAATATGGCGTAGGGCGAGTCGTCGTACGATCGACTGTGAAACACATTCAGTTTGTGCTCCGAAGCAGAATCAGAATCTTACTTCGGTAAAAACAATCGTAAAGTCTGTGGACCATATAAGTGAGAAATAGAAAAAGAAACGAAAAATACACATTTTGGAGTAATGTGATATTTAAATTGTGAAAAAGTTTTGTGTTCTGAGACTGTAATATTATACTGTGTGGTCAATGTTCCTGAAATATTAGATCTGTCGGAAAATTTGATCGATTTTCCATCTATATTTTACTGACAGTATGGAGGATTTTTGTACAAAAAGCATCGACATACTTCAGAAAGATGGAATGCGCTCATATAAAATTACTGGATTGCAGACTTTATGCATTTATAGCGCATTTGATAGTATAAAACTCAATAGTTTAATTAACTGTGAGAAGGTTTGCAAATTTCATTATGTTCACGATTAATGTTAAAATAAACATATCGATAGCCTGTGGACTTTTTCTAAGTTAAAAATGTAATCAAACTGTTACTGCCTTTTTAAACCATCGATATCATTAATAGGAAAAACAAATATCCATGTATAATCAAATATACTCAATTAGTGCATAAAAATCCTCAGTTGACAAATTATAAGTAAAATGAGACCCACGACAAACGGTAGACTTTTCCGACAGATCAAGTATCATGTCAAATACTAATTGTAAGATTCTCGAATGTTAACGATACATAGCAAGGTCCAAGAGTTATCTATTTACTATAAATATACTTAAAAGAGCTATTCTCAATTTAAATTAATTTATAATCTTATCATTCATGTAAATACCCCTGTCGACATACATTCAGAAGTAAGAAACAAGTTAATTAATCAGGGACTGTGTAACATATTTTCTTTTATCACTTACGTATGTAAGTGTTCCGAATAAAATTTCTTCTATTTTATTCGAAAATAGTATATGTTTCTACATATACTGTTCATTTTTCAAAAACATAAAGGAACTCGTGAAATCGGCATTAATGAATTATGTACGAATAACATATACGATATTCGTAGAAAATGTTTTGTTTCTTAACATTTGTCAGTAAGGCTACGTTCAAATTTAGGGAGACTATTAGATCGTCCAACAAGTTCGCGTAAGCCATCTGAAAAATTAGTGTCGTCTGTGTCGTCGAAACATGTTTCGTCCAAATACCATCTTATCCTTGAAAATGTATCTAGCGGAATTTAATCTGAAAAATTTTACTCCAGTAAATCGGGATCGGGTCAGTGACTCTTGGACCCTGCTAGTTGAACGTTCGAAGTAACGAGTAATTATATGTATGGTTACCGTCGAAGTTGCACGAAAGAAAAGGGGGAGAGGAGATGGTAACCGGGAAAGCCTCGAGGTTCACCGTGACGCGGCGTTAACAAAACTAGTGGCGCTCAGGCCAGCCTCTCGTTCAAAAATGATTATTTTCGGAAGGATGTCGAGCGTAACGATTTAAGATCAACTGGTAGTATCGTCGGGTTGGGCGTCACGATACTCTTCGCTCTCCCTGTGTACTAGGACGTGAACGACCGTCGCGGCGGATTGTCGTCGTAGGAGCGCTGGCCTCGTGGGCGGCGGCGCTATATTCTCCGGGCTGGGCTCCGTGACGAGTATGCTCACATCGGTGGATTCGATTGGCAGCGGAGCTGGTTCGGGAGCTGGTTGATGTTTTTTTCGAAGGCTACCGCAACGTCGGCTGAATGCTTCTTTGATGTCACGGTGCAACGTGTTCAGGGAGAGCGTGGTGGCGCTCGGCGGTAGTGATCTGCGCTTCGTGGGAAGACTGGGCATTTCCTCGTCGGGATAACTTTCGACGGCGTCTTGCCGACCGAGAGTCGGTCCCGCGATCGATCTGCGAAACACGTTGACTTCGTAAATACGCGTTATCTGCGCCCATCACGATTACACGGTCGCAGAGTTGCCAGAGGTAGCTACTTTGAAGCGTGAACTTGAGCGAGACTAGAGCACTAGAGAGGAAGGTCACATCCGCCATTTTTGGTCCAGTGGATGGATAAGTCCACAGAGGGTTCAGGTCAAGGCACTATAGAGATGAGTATATTCATCCGCCATTTTGGGTTTTTTGGAGAGAGAAAGCAATGGGAGAGACCATTTGGACCCTCTGTAGACCAGGGTTGGGCACAATTTTATTCGAATAATACATAGTGAACAGCTGGATTATATAAGGGCATTGTTCTGTGCTTTAACCAGCTAATGAGATTAAATAATTATTTACCAAGTGTCGACTCAGTCAAGAAGAAGTATTATTTTATTATAAAAACTGTAATTTTCACGTTTAAATAATTAAAAATGATGAAGTACGTTTTTATCTTTTATTCGTTATTCGAAACTCTTTGTCTAGATAATGAATTTGCCCATTTCTGCTGTAGACTTATCCATCCAGTGGACTCAAAATGACGGATGAGCATACTCATTTCTCTAATGTCTTAAATTTATGGTTTGAGGGCTGCATCCTCAGCAACCGTGGCATGAATGGCTGTTTCCGACAGATTCTTGATGATCATTAACACGTTAACTGTTGAGTCAAAGTGTGCATGTCTGCCTTGTACGAGGGAGTGAAATTTCTAATACTGAAAACACACTTGGACCTAGAGCCAGAGTATATTAAGTTATACTTTTCCAACTTTAGAGGAGAGAAAATCGAAGGTGTAGTAAACCTTGTAACTTTGGATTCCTTCGGTAAGAATTCAATTAAAAACAATCGCTACCTTCGAACTATTGAATAGACTTAGGTCTCGATATGTAGAAATGATGAATATTGCATTGAGTCGCCTATGTGATGGACTTTACACTGTTTGGTTCGGACCAAGATATGGGCTTATGCGGAGAACATGTAAAATGTAATTTTTTTTAAAAAGTGGACTTAATACACTCTGGTTCTAGGGTCCAGATATTGGAACTTACGGTGTCCACTACTAGTGGCCGACCGGCAGTTAATGTGTTAAGAGGGCGATACTTGTAAAATTGTCAACCCTCAGGGGCATTGTCTGGGTCTATTTTGGCCCAGGTTTCCAAGAGATTTATTGAACTGCTCAGGTTACGGTAACTAACTTAAAGTTAAAACTGTTCACGTTCAATTAAGCGAGGTAACCAGCGTACTTCAAAGAAATCGAGAAAGTGGTCGGAATAGAGACTAGCACTTTTACTTCAGGACTTATTGCTATCTCGGTTTAACGTGTATCTACCGAAAATTGACTAGTATATTGGGTCAAACGAAGTTTCTTACGGGCTGAGAAACTACTGTACCTGGTGTGCAGATCAGAGGAAGTAGGACTAGCAACGGGGACGCCAGCAAACGATTGTTGTTCGGTGGTCGGTGAGGGGCGGGATACGGTTAGAGCGGGAGGAGGCAGGTCCTCATGAGTACCGGTGGCGCCGGAGAGCAACAGCAAAGGCAAATTCGGAAATAGCCATGCCGAGGCGGCACCAAGCTCGCTGAAATCGCTGGCGTCGCTGGCCCTCGAGGACTTGCGGCTACTGGCTCGGCTACCTCTATGTACATGAAGAAAAGCCGACACTTTGCCGCTCCAGCCACCCCCGCCCCTACCTTCGTTCCCAGCACCGGGACTCGACGTTTGCGTTTGCGAGTCCACTTCGTGGGCTATTCGTTCCCGTTCCTTTTTCGCTCTGTGGAAAACAATGGTTCATTTTACTTTTAACAGTCGGTAATATTCACTATCACGGACCGGTTGTGTTCTCATCGGATGATCTACAATGAGAGTCAAATCTTACAATGGAAGCCACGGAAAGTGTCCCCCTCCGATTTTGATGAAACTTCGTATGTCTGTTAAGCAGTAAAAAATAAGAGATACCTATTTCTTATTTATCGGCTGAGACGCGATTTTAAGGGTGAAACCATCCCTCGAAGTTTCGACCCGAAAGTACTGTCTCGAAGACCAGAGGGGATACACGAAAACTTCTAATGGACGAGCTTTGCGGTTTTTTATGTAGAATAATATGGTGCTAACAAATTGTCCAAAATATAATTTGTTTATAACAAAAAAATTTCGGATCGAAACTATACATGTAGGGTGAGTCAATAAAAACTACTATCTATAGTAAAACGTTTTAATAAATTATGTAGCATTTTAAGGGACGCATCGGACGAATACAATTTGATTTTTTTGTATCTTATATTATTTTAGATAGTTTTTATTGACTCACCCTATATGTATCGTTTCGATCAAGCAAGGCTCGGAATTCCGGTTACTCACGCTATGAATTCTCTAATGGTGCACTGGATCAGTCTGGCTGCTTTGTCCTGACGCTTCCACATTCTTGTCGACGAAACAATCTCAAGCTCTTTCCGCGTAGGGAATTGCTTCTTGAACTTAATGTCCATCTGTTCCTGCAACTTTCGGAAGTCCTCGGACTCCTCGACGTGTCCGAGCACGTGCTTGACAAGTGAGTGCAGAATGTCCAGACAATGTATCTTATTGCCCCTCGCGATAGGAAGATTGAAGCTAACCAACGCGACCATGTTGGGCTTCGATATTCCTAATGGCGGGTCTAGGCTCGCTATAAAGTCGCTTAGCTGCGAAAAATTGATAAATTGCGTTGCATGCGGATCGTACCTACAAACCAAACACAAGATTTCATTCCCATTAGAATTTGGGGTCACATAATCGAATCCCTCGGTGGGCAGCACATAGAGAGAACAAAGTTGTAAGACAGGAAGTGGACGGAAATGGGGGATACTCACTTGGACCATCGGATGTAGAACATCTCCAAGTCGTCCTCGACGATACCGATCTCCTCTTCCTGATGTGCCTGATTGAAATTCTCGAGGATAATGGCGATGTACATGTTGATGACGATCATGTAACTGATTATAATGAAGGAGGTAAAATATGTTATTGCCAATAGTGGATATCCGCAGTTTCCGTTCAGTTGCCGGCTGGTGGGCGTCGGGTCGCAATCAGGCGGTTGCACCATCAGAGACTCCAGAACGTCGTTCCAACCGGCGGATGTCATTAATCGAAACAGTAATTGCATGCTTCTACCAAAAGTCTCAAAATTCACCTAGGCGGGAAAGAAAAGAGGGCGGAGAGTGCGAGTAGGTTGCTATCGTTGGTAGCTGTGTGGTTGAATATTCATCAGGGAAAAGGCGTTCCGTTCAGAGAACCGTTAAGGGGTGCTTCTGTTTTTCTTAAATTTTACTTTATAATCAACTTGATTTCCCTAAATGGAATGTTGTAGTTTTAAAGCCGATAGTTTTTCTAACGTCACGATCTTGAGATAATTTGATGATGAAGAAATGCATGGGAATATTTGCAATGATAATTGTCGTTTCGGACGTTATCTGTGGAGAATATATATTTTTATTTCTTAGAGGTGTCCGTAAAATTGAGGCAAAGTTATTACATACAACATTCCATTTAAACAGAGAAGGAAATATTCAGTTTTAAATGTTACTAGTAAAATAATTTGGAAACTAAAAACAGTAAAATAAAAATATTAATTTGATTCGATGTATTAGGCATTTGAAAACGCACCATAACCATAACACTTCAACGCGTTAAAATTATTTCCTATGTATACAACATTCCATTTTAGCAGATGAGACAATTGTCGATTCTAAAAGTATTAAAAGTGAAATTAATTTAAGGAAAAGAGACCCCCCAAAAAAAAACAGTAAAACACAAAATATTAGTTTGATTCGCTGGAGTTACGAGTGGCAGAATGTTAAACGCTTGACCGAGGGTTCCATTGTCTCGGTGCTATTCAAGCGACGAAGACCCCTCGACGGTTTATTGGTACCGTTCACAGTACTCACCATATCGTCGAGAGCACCCTGTTTCTTGACGTGCCCGAAAACCGACATGCCGATTATGGCATAAATGAACGTAATCAGGGCTAGAAGGGCGCCGATGTTGAACAGCGCCGGAAGACTGACCACCAGAGCGAACAGCAGCTTTCGAATGCCTTTCGCGGCCTTTATTAGCCTTAAAATTCTACCGATTCTGAACACTCTCACTACCCGCAGGAGCGTCGGGGACACCGGGAAGTCTACCATAATATCCTCCATCAATATCCCTAGAATCGAAGCCAGCACTAGGAGGAAGTCGAACAAGTTCCACGGGACCGTGAAATAATGGTAACGGAGTCCTATTATCTTGACGATCGCCTCTAAGCCGAAAACGGTCGTGAAAAACGCATTCGAGACCTCGAGGACGAAGAAGATCGGATGCGGCTGATCGTAATGCTCGATCCCCATAGTCAGCATGTTCAGGAATATCAAAATGAAAATTGCTATTTCGAATCTGGAAATATCGCAGTTGTTGTACGATTAGAATTCCCCAGTTCGAAATATGAATGGGCAGTTCGTGGTTTAGCTACATTTGTTTATTTTTTTTTCTGTTTTTCTTTTTCGTTTTTTCTTTATTCAATTGCAGACAGTGCAGTTAAATAGAAGATTGTTTTATATCTAGCGATATAACGTGAGTGTATGTGTGCCTCTAGGTGATTGATAGATTATTTTAAGGGGATTTACCTGCGCGAGTTCGATAGGTCGTAAAACATTGCGAGGATTTGATTCATCGGACGCTTTATCACCTTTTGCGGCTTTTTACGGCCGAGTTTTTTCATGGCAGTGTAGTAGTGCTTTTGACTTTCGGTCAAAAACATTTCTAACACTCCACCTTCGTACTGGATACATAGATGAAAAAGAAAAAAGAAGAGATAGTTGTTTTTCTTTTGTTGTTGTTGTTGTTGTTGGGTGCTTTGATAAATGTGTTTGTTACGCTACACGTCGTCGACGCGTTCTGTACCGTGCGGGTCGCCGGTAAGCCACGTTGAAGTTTTCGATTCGGACCGCGGTTATTCTAGAGTTCTGCAAGGGGTGTGTACAGAACTACGAGAGTCTACATTGTTTTGTTAGTTCTGTACAGTGGCGGTAATAAGAAAGTTTGAAAGAAGTAGACATGATGTAATGATAATCTACTTATATATAGCAATGGCGATATATTTGAGTGCACGATAGATATTAATTAAGTGAATCCATTTAATTGTGATACAGTGCGTTAAAAGTATAGTGTATTGCCTCGAAAATCTTGAATTCTAAATCCCATTGAGAACATAGGTTTGCTACGCGAAATTTCAATGCTGTGTTACAATTGAAAAAATTGTTTGATTTTTATTACGTTCTTAGGAAACTTTTACCAAAGGATTAATAAGATAATATATAACATTGCTTGCGTAGTTTTACGTTGAATTTATAATATTTTCTATAACGGCAATGCAAAGCTTTACTATAAATATACTTCGAACATTTATGCAAATTTAAACATATATAATAACTTACTACTATATACTAATATTTTACATAGGTAAAATTGCAGATTTGTAAAATATTCTAATAACTCTCTTTTTCCTTTAATCTATCTGGCGTTAAAAAGTAAGGAGAAATATGTTTATAGCAGACAAAAATTCGAGTTTTTCGATCGACTGAGGATTGAGGCCCTATTAAACGTGTATCCGTTGCAGAACTATAGTAATAACCACCATCCTTGAAAGTCCAAACCCAATTTCCAGGGGGGATGAAGCGTAATCAACGATCCTCAACCTGGAGCTCGAGTGGGCTCCGAGCACACACTGTCGCTAGACTGCGGTTGTTTACGCAAATTCACATTTATCGACAATATTCTATGAAAATAGTCAACAAAATTTTATTTCTATGCCAAGGGGTTTTAATATATTAATAATAACACATGAATGGTATTAAATTTCAATAAAACCACTATTTTACTACGTTTTTCGGACTAGCAAATGCCGTAAATGGATAAACAACCGCAGTCTAACTATTATATAACAGAATAAAATAAAAGAAACATAAGTTATATTCTCAACAGTTGTCTCTTTGAATTCTCCTTGTGACGAAGATTACGAAGAGAATGAATTTTAAACTGTTCTTCCGGGAAATATTATATAATTCTTAAATAAATCAATATTTTTCCATGAAAATTTAACAAAATATTCTTTAAATGGGCCTTTGTTAAGTACAAATACTGTCGTGAAAAATGTCCAAAAATCCCTTGTTTTTCCTCACAACGGCAGATGATTTTAAAGGAGAGCGAATCATTTCTCAAAATATGTAAAAATCAATATTATAAAGCTAAATGATCTGTTTCCCACGTACTCGTTTCTCCCGATTAATTCGCATGTTCGTGGTCCTACGATACATATTACAAACGAAACAGAAATCTTTATGCATTTACAGAACACAAGAAAAACAAGGCTTTCAGTCAAATATCCTAACGTTTCAATTTCACGTTCAACCCGATAATATCCCTAACAGAATAAATCAAATTTCTATTCAATTTTTCTTTATCGCAATTAGTCAATAAGATGTAATTGCAACAAAACTATCAAAAAAGTGTGTAAAAGAAAATTGACCAGCGTGGTTTATCGACAACCCATGCGACTGTGTCCATGGAATACAAGATCGTCGCCGGACGTGTGACCACGGCACAGGACGCGCCCGACAAACACTACGTGTCGTTTCTCATAGAACGTCTGTGTGCCGTCAATTACCACGCTTACCTTTTTCTTCAACATGTTAAAGTTGTCTATAATTACTCCGATAAAGAGGTTCAGTGTAAAAAACGAGCCGCAGACAATGAATATCACAAAGTAGAAATACGCATAAATGTTCGCTTCTCTCTGGGGCTGAAGGTCAACGCCCCGTGCGTCAACAGCGTCCTCCATCACCTCCATCCAGCCCTCGAACGTGGCTACTTGAAACAGAGCCAGGTAAGCTATCCCAACGTGATCGAAAGTGATCTTACTATTCTCCCAAGAATAATTTTTCCTGAGGCAATCGTCTTTCGTGTTTACGATCTAAAGAGGGGGGAGAGAGATCAAATGGTCAGACGGTCAGTGAACGAAAGGAAAGAAAGAAAGAAAGAAAGAAAAAAAAAATAACAAACAAAAAAATGTACATATCTGTCTTCTCTCCGTCCGTTCTGATCGCGGGGGCCGACCACCTCGCGATTCCACCGTTCCGTTGGTCACGTGGGACCGCAGGCAGGGAATAAAATTGCGGGCGGCCGACCGACGCGGCGTTGCTGAAAACTCACCGACACGTCTAACAGTTCGCCGTACTCGTTGATGCACTTGAAAAACTTGCCGCCGAAAAATTGCACACCCATTATAGAAAATATCAGCCAGAACACGAGACAGACGAGGAGCACGTTGAATATACTGGGTATCGCATACATCAACGCGTTCACTACGATCTAGCAGAAAAACAAGCGATACTTCTAGCTTCCAAGCCGTGTAAAGTAGTAAGTACGGGGGTATAGGGGGTGGTGCGATCGGCACATCGCAGCGTTATTATATCTACAACCAGCTCGGACTCACCCTCATGCCTTGCCATCGCGAGATCGCCCGTAATGGTCTCAGGGCTCGTAGCGTTCGCAGGGATCGTAACACTTTTAAATTCTCGTTCTCCTCTATCAATAGGCTAAAGGTCGACACCTGTACGAGAAACAGAAGACAGCGATTCGGTTAGAAGGACATACGTTTGCTTATCGGTTCACGGGTTCAAGGGAGGACACGGGCGTCATGCGGCGCGTATACGTGATCAAGACAACTGGCACAAGATCGTGGGGGTGGGATTGGTTTCTTCTAGTGAGAAATGAGTGTATCGAAATGTTGAAAGACGATACGGAATTTTGCGTGCCGGGTGTGTAAACGGATACAGTAAATCCTCGATGAGTGTTCGAAGGCTCATTTGGCGCTAACAAAAAGAGGTCCCAAACCCCCCAGGTTCACCTTACTTTGATAAGTATTACGTGCTCCTAAACATTGGCGTAAACTTTTACACACCTTACATCGCAAAACCGGTCTATTTATCCTACGTAAGCATATAAAAGAATATGTAAACGAAAATTAATTTCTACATCACAGAACTTTTCATTTCTATTTTATTTAAACATCGTTAAAATAGTTAAAGAAAGTAAATTGAAAAATACATAGACACATTTGGCAAGCCTTATTCAATTGCATGTGTATCTAATAGAATTTCAAAGACGATTTTAAAAAAAAAAATGTTGCGGACGTTGAAATTGTATTCTACATTTTTGATTAGTTTTTTGACGTGCAATCATTAACTATCACGAATTTTGACGCACCCTATATTAAAGAGTTTAAAAATACATTACAGTCAGAAGCGATTGCTTTTTTTTTTAATCATTCGAATGGTGCAATCGGAAACATTTGCGAATCAGATTCGATAGAAAATCTCAGGTAATTAAAATGCAATTTCGCCTAAAAGAAAACACAATTTCACAGGTTATAATGACACAGAATTCCATTCATTGTACTCCGTGCGTTTTTACCTCGAATTTCGCGATATTAAAGAGCTTCGCATGAAATATCGATTTTCTGTGCAATATTGAGCTAACGCTATTATGAAATATTTGATAAGCAACGAATTTCGATACTTTTAAATCTCAAAGACTGCAAAAAATTAACGATCCTATTTTGTATATGCATTCTACGTATAAATTATCGTGTGTGATAATTGTTTGAACATAATAATGGACAATAGGGGTTTTAATAAATTGATTAACTTCAAAGATTTCGTAATAATGAAATCATATTTCGTCTTCGAATAATTAATAATTATGTTTAAATATTTTTATCTCTCATCGTTAGACGTTTTTTGAAATTTCCTGTTTATTATTTCAAATACTCCATGTTTGGCTTGAAGCTTTCCAAAATTTTGAAAAGAATTAGATATATTAGTTTCGTTTGACATTAAAAATTAATTAAGTACAAAATGTTTAATACTTGGAAACAAAGTCAAATAGGCTGCACGTTAATATCTACATTTTAAATTATTTTTGTGTACCCTATCCAGTACTGAAATGGGTCCCACACGTTATGCAACACCCTGTATAGTAACTTCAATATAATAATAAATTCAGTAGAATATAATAACTTCAATATCAAAATTAATTCAATATAATATAATAACCTCAATGTAATAAGTCAATATTCATTGCGAAGCTCCAATAATCGTACTGTACAATAAATCTTACACCGTTCTTTTTTTTTTTTTACCAAAAAGCAAGTTGCCAAATGCATAATCATTTCCCGTGAAGTAGACCAAGGAAGAATGTGCGTTCATTGACCAATAATAAAAATCGAACTGTGAACCAAGGTGAAGAGGAATATGGGCACGAGAAGAATGGCTCGGATGCAGTAAAAGCACAACATATTGATTTTGCACGTACCTGAGTCCGTAAGGCGATACACATATAAAAAACTCAGAAAGTAACATATCAAAAATGAATAAGACGAGGTGAGACAAATAGCGAGACCGCAAGACGGAAGCTGCGATCGGCGAGAACGAAAAAATCCCATGCAGCGACGATGAACGTTGACGGTGTGTCTCGTGCTTCCGTTCGCGTGTACTCTACCATCCATAACTATCCGGCCACAAGTGTATTCTATCGGCACTATAACGTCCCCATATTTCACCAACACAAAACCAAAAGATACCTTCGAGGGTGCATCTCGAAATTGCTAAAATTCCCTAACCATCGCGCAGTGGTCCAAAATAAAAAATTCAGCAGCTGAAATGGTGAAGTTTTATTTTTCAAAAAACTACGTCAACTTATTATTAACCATAAAAACATTTGTTCAATGCATTATTGCTTTCTTCAGCACCATTTTTATTATACCAATGTTAGTGAAAAATAGAAAAAAATTCTCTAAAAATTCATACTTTCATGAAGATGTTGAGAACACTGAATGATAACGTAATTGAAGAAAAACCCTAAAACTGATCAAAAAAATTTTATTGATCTAACACTAAATAAACGTACGAGCTGCTGAATGTTGATTCTGAACCACTATGCATCGTACAAGGGCGTCCTACTGGGTTCATTTTGACCTGAATTTTCATGAAGTTTACGACACAGCATTTCGGCTGGCAAACCAAAGTTTCTCATCGGGAGTTAATATTCGAGATTTTCGAGAACCGTATTCGACCTCGTATTCGTCCGTAATCCGTAATCCGTATTCGACCTTTTAATAGATCTTGGAAACAATACCTTCTAATACACTGTGTCAAAATCGAGCGGACTCACCTAATTACACAATATCTTGTTCTCAAATACATGATCATTGCTATGTCCAGATATGGGCAAATTCGTTATCTGGACAAAGACATCTTGTAAGCGTCCGGAATACCTATGGACGGTAGCGTACGGATAACACATCCACATATATACGCGCATACGTGGATATACATACACATACTAAATCGATATCGATGCCGTTTCACGGCCGATATAATGGGATTTTCTACTTACGAAGACGATTATAAAATCCAAGATCGTCCAAAAACTGGTGAAATATTTGCAGAAACCCAGAGCTAACCATTTGAGTAGCATCTCGATACTGAAAAGGGCACAGAAGCCAAGATTGGTCCAATAGAGAATTTTCTTCAAAAAAGGATTGTCATCTAAGTAAATGTCCTCGAAACAGAGCGTTATGGAAGATGCGAAAATTAAAACTAATATCATCCATTCGAAGGCGGGCGTGTCGACGACTGAGAGGATCACTGTGCGTAGCCGGATCCATTTTTTACCGATCGCTGTCGCGACGCATCGATCGATGCAGCTACATCTGCACAAATAACGGGCGTTGTTATTGCAGAAACTCCTCCGTTCGCCTATACAGGGTCTTTCATGTAACTTTGTAAATAGATAACATTACACTTTAAATTAATTTTTTACAAACATCGTACGGTAGAAATTACGTTTAAGGGATGCAGCTCCGATGACCATGACCTTGACATATGTTGTTAAGAACATTTTTCTGAGTAACTCCCGGGAAGTTTTAGGCGTCGTTCGTTTTCTTATTGAAAATTCATTAGCAAAAAATGTTTAGTGTCGTACTTCAGTAGTATTGATAAGTAAAATTACCGATGACCTTGACATATGTAAGTTACAGGACTCAACCACCTAAGAAATGAAATAAGTGTCATTCGCCCGAAAAGTTCACTATCGTCCAGAAAAATGGCGTCAAAAAGCAGTCAAAGTCCGTCATAAAGTACCTTGGAAAATGAATATACAGTGTGTCCCACGAACTCTGTCTACAAGAAATATTTTCATTATTTCAAAGAATATACGAAAACGTTCCATTTATTTTGTATCTTTTCAAAAAAATTGCCGAGAACGACTATGACTTTGACTCATCTAAGATGACCTAATTCCAGTTCCCCAGCAACCCAAAAACCCAATGTTAATGTTTTTTTGGTTCTTTTCCAGATACTTTATTTCCATCTATCCAAAGAGAACCTAAAAATCATAAACAGAAAGTTATTTATATCTCCTTTCAGATACTGCTCATGACGGACTTCAACGCCATTTTTCTGGCCGATACAAAATTTTCCAGATGAGTAACCCTTATTTCACTTCTAACAAGGTCAAGCCCTATACTTTCCAACAATTATTCTTTAAAACTAGTTCACTATACATGTAACATCTCGTGTTAGTATCAAAATACCGATTCCAAAATGCGTGTAAGAGCAATCCCGACACGAGTCGAAAGTGACCCGGCAACGGTTAGAGGATGTAAAACGATTAAAAAAGCGCCAAATGTACAACGATCCCTTACTTTTGATAACATTGCCGTGGAAAACAGTCTTGCGGTTCTTTCCGTCGATTGTGCCTGCCGAATCCCGGAAAGGATCCCATACCGTCAATGTACTTCCCTTTGCTGTCCCTCCTCCCGCCAACAGTCAACTCGTCGACATAGCTGACCAAAGCATGCCAGGGCCGTTTCGGCACGCGTTCCTCGCGCCTGAATAGATTCTCCTCCTGATGAAGCATCGCGGTCCTTTCCTCCGCTGGCGGTTTGCTCGTGATCGAGTACTTCGTTGTCTCCTGATCCTGACTCTCTTCCTTATTGCCCTCCTTTGATTCCGGCTGTTTCTCTTTCTCGAAATTCTTCTCGTCGCAACGGGAGGACTCGTCCTCCTGCCCGTTATCTTTCCCCTCCCATTCATCGTACTTTTGTTCCTGCGACTCCGACCTAGCGTACATCGGATCGTACGTGAAAACGGGCTGGTTCAGGCTCTCCTGGTACGATCGATTGTACACATTATCCTTAGGCAGGCTGAGCACAGTCTCTTGAATGGCGTACTTGGTCTCGCTGTCTGACCTATCCATCACACGACGCACGATCGAATCCAACCGAGGATCCTTGCTCTTCATCTTCCCACCCGGACCTTGGGTCAGCCTCGAGCACTTGTTCTTGCGGATGATCGAACGAATCCTGTCGAACGACCTCGCCAGCTTCGAATCCTCGCCGACCTCCTCTTTCTTCTGCTTCAACTCCTCCGAGTTGAAGCTGTTCAGCAGCAACGCAAGAAAGAGATTCAACACCATGAAGTTGCCCATTACAAGAGCTGGTAGAAATATCGCGAAACAGGTGCCAGACCCGTCCTGCTGTTCCGCGCGCATACAGTCCCACAACGGTTCGATCCATTCGCCGCACAATATCCGAAAGATCATCATGAACGAGTGAAAGAAATCGTTGAAGTTCCAACGTGGCACCGGGTCTGGATAGAACTTGTCGAGCGTGTAGTCCTTGCTGAACAATTGCATGCCGATCACGGCGAATATGTATATCACGATCACGAGGACAAGGGTCAGGTTCCCGAGGGCACCGATCGTCGAGATGATTATGCTGAGCAGCACCTTCATCGTCGTCCAGGACTGTGCCAGCTTTAAGACACGTAGCAGCCTAAGTCCCCGTATCACGGAGAGGCCGTCTACCAGCTCGAAGGTCAGATCTATCAGAGACGCTGACACTATTATCAAATCGAAATTGTTCCACCCGTTGGCGAAGAAGTCTTTGCTCAGCGCCAACAGCTTCAGCAAGCATTCGAAGGTGAAGATACTGGTAAACACTTTATTACCGATGTTCAACGCCTGGCGGATCGACTCGCTCATCCCGTGATGTTCCATCGCCAGGAAACCGGTGTTCAGGACGATGCATAGAGTGATCGTCAGCTCGAATAGCGGATCTCTCACTACCTGGATACGGGGGCCACTCGTCAATCGAGAGTCGAGCGTTTCATGGGTTTCGTTTTTAGGTTCCTCTGTTACGCGAGCTACGTTTATCGTTATTACTAGTTTGTTCGTTATTCGTTTTCGTGTGACATAAATTTCTCGTTTTTTTTTAAGCTTTTTTCACTTGGAGACGAAACGAATATCGAACTTACGCGTTTGTCTCGAACACGCTCCCCTCTCGATCGTAGTTTTATCTGTGCTTGATCCACCTACCTTGTACAGGCAATTCTGAAACCGTAGCCAGCCCTCGTAATCGACGCAGCATTGTATGCATTTCTCGCAGTTTCTATCCGGAAGATCATCTGCGGAGGGAACGATAATCCTCGGTTAGCATTGATTGATTTAGATGATGCTTTAACGAGTTTGACTGTTATATAACGACGACTTAGATATAACGATATATCTAATAAATAATAATAAGAATAAACGTAATAAATAATAATACCGATAACAAATCGCCACGTCACCTAATATAACAATGTGCGACAGGTATTCCGGCGGCAAGGTGTACATTTGCTTCTTCGTTTTGACGCCGTTACACTTGAACACCTTGATTTCTCGCGTGGTCCCGACACCAAGGGAAGCGGGTACGTTGCCGCTCGCTCGTAGGTAACCGGAACGCGTAGGCAGTGATTTCTCCCGTTCGCTCTCGGCGTCAGCCTCGGTATCAGCGTCGCCTCTGGCCCTGCCACGAGGATGATCCTGATCTACGTTGATATCGGCATTGCTGTTGCTTGTCCCCTTTTCCTGCCAGTCAGCCCTAGTCTCCCGTTGATCCCGCCTGTCGTGTTCCTCCACGGACGTGACGTCGTCGGCGTCATGGTCGTCGACCACCCCCGAGTCGTCCAACGACGATTGCTGGTTACTGTTGTTGCTTGCCTGCCTCGAATGAAGCATCCCCCGGTTCGGCGCCAGTCTGTGGACCGTGTTGTTCTCCGTTGTCCGTGGACTGATGTTCTGCAGCAGCAGATGTGACGGCCGGACGGTCGAGTGCCGTGGACTCGGACTCGGGCTCGGTGTCACCGATCTGATCGATAATGAAGACGACGTCTCGTGAATCTTGTTATTTTAGAGAACATTTTTATTGCGGTTGAAGATGAATCGGAATTGTACATGTACAGCAAATTCACGGTAAATGCTCGGAGAGATCTCATTTTTTGCTACGCTTCAATACAAAATTTTATATTCTTCAATCCGATCCATAATAAGCGTGAATATGTACCTGCTTGGCACGGCAGCACTCTTCTCTTGACCGGATGCCCCAGTTCCAGCGTTGCTTCTTCCGCGTCTTCTCCGTCGCGTCTTCTTACGCGTGTAACTACTCAGTAGAACGCCTTTTCTTGCGTCCAGCTTCTTTTGTTTCTCTTTGGCAAGAGTCTTGACGTTGATCTTTGTCGGGTCGAAACTAAACGTCGAGTCCTCGCGATGGTCGGTTAAATCTTTCCTTCGTTCCTGCCGGATACAGAGCGACATGAAAAACAGCAGTATAAGCTGATCGATCGAATTACAATATTTATAGAAAAATAATGCAAATTTTTATTGTTTTCAATCGAGATTTCATCAGATCAAGTGAACAACACAATTATAATACTCAACCACTTGATGTACACCGATATCAGTGTGTCATTTAATTCTAGATCATTTTTCCATTAGAACATGCCTTGCACCCGAAAACCTCAACAGTAAAACTTAATTATTTATTGACACTATATTTTCAATAATTTTAGAATTGTAAATAAGGATTTCTTGATATTATTTTCGAAAATTACACGATTTAAATCGCGTACCTCGTTTGTGATTTCGGCTTCCTCCTCGTAACTGAGCGCGACTACGGCGAGCATCAGATTAATTAAGTAAAACGAGCCGAAGAACACGACCACCGTGAAGAACGAGACGCTGATAGGTCCGCACGCCGACAATACCTGTGAAATCATGACGTTTACCATTATTTCAAAGTTGATTGGACCATAGTCCAAGTATGATGCATGTGTGTGCACTTGTGTCTGATCAGTTGACTGCGGATGTTTGTGCAAATACAAATTTTTATGAGCTAATTTACAAGAACTGGAGTTTCTTATAAAATTTATTTGCTGCACTTACTGTTCTAGCAAGTTCGAAGTAAAATAGAAACCTCTTTAAACTTTATCAAACTGTTAAGTATATTAAATTCTAATGAACCATATGTGCCATAAACGCATAGAGCCCGCAGTCTACTGGTGAGTGATGAATGTCTCTTCAGGTGAACGTCCCTGTAACTGTTCGCTCGTTAAAACTGTTTTGATTTTTTATCGACTGTATGTAAGAAGTGGGGCAAGAACGTGTACTGTTTCCGAGAAATCAGCATCGAGTTGTAATAAAGCAACTGTCTCGACCTATTCGTTGCGATCATTGATTATAGTCGACTGCCATTGTCAAAGGCCACACGCACACACGTATACCAAATGCGTCGACTTCAGTCGATCAGCGTAAGATGCTCGCTCTAGTTGACCATATATTCAAGCCAGACACGCATTTCTGCTCGACTGCTTATGGTCTGGGTTAGGTGAATTTCTCTACGAATCGATAATAAACTTCGTATCGCGTTCCACTGCGAAAGTCCCAGACACAATACGTTCGTGAGTTCCACGCGGTTCGTTTCGATTCACAGTCACTAACAATAATTGCTAGTTTTCGTAGCCGTACCGAAAACTAAGGGTTAACCCTCAAAGACCTCATTATATTTTCCTAGCGATTCGGAGACAAAGGGGTTAACGTAATCCAGAGCGTTCTTTTGTCTATCTTAAAAAACACTGTTTAACAAATTTTAACATTTTCTCGACTTGATCACCTTCAATAGGCATTTCTGATAGGTACTCAGCTTATAATGATCTATCAGAAACGCCTATTGAACATGTTGAACAGTGTAATCTAAGTAATTTAGTTACAAATGTTTTGATAAAATACCAAGCCCTAACTTACGATCCTATACCGTTCAGAAATGCCAAGTATCTTTCAGACAAATTGGGTCACCGTAACCCAGTATGGTCTTTGAGGGGACAATGTGTGTTTGCAAGTGACACGCAGTTATCGCGGGAATCCCTGTTCACGACGTTTCATCGACAATATCGACTTTCCCAGAATACGAAACGATTACTGCTACTTTTAGCTACTTTCTGTATACCTGACTGCTCCAAAGAACAGGCGTGTAACTCATGGCTAAGGGTTAAACAAAACGGCGGAGCCTCGGTAACGATCGTCACGACCAATACCTTATTGTAAACGTCTTCCCAGTAATCCAGAGTAATCAGTTGAAACGTGGTGAGCATCGACCATAGGAAATTATCGAAGTTCGTGTAGCCGTGGTTTGGATTCGGGCCAACGCAAAGGCAGATGTAGCTCTCGTTGCAGTGTCTGCAAGTCAAAGTTCACACACCCCCGCCGTTCCCCGGCGGGTCAGAAACGAGATGTCAATTTAAAGCGGTCTCGCGTTCGCGATGATAACAAACAAAGTTTTCACCGTACCTGGCGCCGGTTGCGTTCCCGCAAATTATCGGCTCCTCGTCTTCGTCGAACGCCCAGTTGGATGAGTTCCAAGTCCACCTGTGGGACGGGCGCAAGGTATCCGTATAAGGTTAACGCCACTCGAGACTGAACGAGGCTTTATCATGTACAGGTCGATATATATGCATATACATATATATATATATGTATATGTACATGTTTATGTATATGTATATATAAATGTCTTGCAACAGGGTGCTTGGAACGGTGTGTGCCAAAGTTCAGGAGCACGTAGTGCTCGTCGGAACGAAAGTGGCTTAATAGACGCGACCGCTTTCGTCCTCCCGGGGTAATTTTTGTATGCGGCGAATAATTGATCCGTTTACGTGATACTTGTTGTACGCGATTCAAGTCTAAACTGCCTCTTGTCTTGCGATGTCGAGGCAGACTTGTGCGACTGATAAATGTGAACATATGTCTGTTTCTTCTAGTCGAAGTGAAATATTATTTTAGTGATTATTATGTTTAACTGCTAGTGTAAGTACACACCCCTAGCAAACGTCGCATAAATTTTCCTCTGAACGAGTATGAATAACAAAAAAAAAAAGTTGAAAAAGTTATACAGTTAGGGATGATCATATATTATGGCCAGCTAGTCTTTGTTCTAAAATATTAAAAGTAAAAAAATATTAAGTCGTCAATGTCAGTTCATTAGATTGATTAGGAAATCTTAATTTGTTCAATCTGACGCAAAATCTAAACCTTAACTTTTTTTGGTCACTTTTTTTATCATAGTAAATTCTAGAATACATTAATATGAATAAATAATCTCGTGTAATTCGCTGTGAAATTCGATCCAGTTTAATTCACCAAGTATTAATGTGATAAAATGCGATCTAATTTAATTCACCGTGCGTCGATGTGACTGGATCGAGGTCGTCTTAACCATTTTTATGGGTTATTAGCCGTGTAAGGGTACTGCCGTGGCTTACTCAAGGGGTGTTAGATATTTTACAAGTATCAGGTATTGATTTGCTGTCCTTTAGCTTGTCACTTACGGTTTGATCTTAAACAATTGTTTATCGGTGGTGTATTTCCTGTATCCAAGGACAATGTGATCCGCAGTCAATTTGGTGTTGCATGTGTGAAGCATGTGTTATCCAGTCGTATACTTTAATGGTTTCCGTTAGAGAATGATTCGACGTGTATAGTGTTCGATTTGAAGGAAGTTTAAAATTCCTATTTTATGCATATTGTTATCTAATACGTGCTTATTTCATGAATCGATTCAATGCTCTGAAATAATAAAAAAAAACTCATAAACATACTTTACACCTTACAAGTATTTGTTCTTACATCGAAAATTCTTCATGAATTTTTTATATTGTGAACAGAAACTGGCTCTTTTGAAAAATTTGGCATATTTTGTACGTACTACGTAAATTTGAGAGTCATGCAATAAATATTTCTAGTATTGTATTTATAGTCTCATTTTCGATTTATAGAGCATTATCTTGTAATAATTTGATAGGTTTGAAATGAGAAATTTTCAGATAAATAAACTCTACATATATGGATGACCTGTGCGAAATCTATTTAACTTTAGCTCGCGAGAAGATTTGAAATCCATTGATCACAGAAGATGTATTGGAAATGTTGAAATACTGCATTACGGAATTGAACAAGGTTTCACGGAAATTCGAATAACACAAGGAGGTATTGAAAGAGTAACAAGATCAATGATAAGACGTCGAAAAGCGTGCGTTGAAACGCAAGATGGATCGGTCCAGAAAATTGTATCGACACGTATAATATTAGGTGTACCCAATAAGTAATACATTATGCTTGCAATAAAGTTTTGATAAAATTTACACTCTCCTTACTTATTTATGGAAGAAAGTCGACACGTTAATGTTTAGTAGATTTTACTTGTGTGGCTTTATATTGTCCCTATTCACTTGTCTGACCATATAAATCCCTATTCTACTCATACGGTCAATATACAACCCCCTATTATTAGATGAGTACAAAAGTTTTAATGAGTTTTGCTCTACAAGACTAAACTCATAAGAATTTATTATAATGTATTAACATAAGTGTTTATTGTTTCCACAATCTACGTGGTGGTCTACATCTACAGGAAATCCATCAAAACGTCTGCAATGACACAATATTTTTTGCACCATAGATCGATAGAGTATCAAATTCTGAGTAAAAATATGTTGACCTTCATATCTCCTAAATCTTATAGTTAATGAGATATTTACAAAATCATTTTTAATAAGTACTTACTATCTCGAAGCTGTAGGTGCTCGACTGATTATTTTGTAAATACCTCGTTAACTATAAGGTTTACACATGAAGGTATAAAGGTCGACACATTTTTACTCCGAATTTGATACTCTGTCGATCTATTGTACAAAAAATAGGTCATTCCGTTTAACAAAATCAAGGTGACCTTGAAATCTCTGGAATGCCTCCACCCACAAAAAAAGCACGTACCTTATGAGATGTGGCTCTTGATGCCATTTAAGTTCCACGCCTCAAAATTTTCATAAAGTGTACCGTTAAGTCATTATTCGAGGTGATCAAGTTAGCCGAAACACCCTGTATACGGTAAGCAAATACGTGCCTACCGCGTTGAATTATATTATGCGAAAGTCAACTTTCAGCAGAATCACGTAACTTACGGGATGACCTGGTATTGTAGGAACCTAGCAAAAAGTGGGACTGGGCTCACCGCGGAACTCGAGATCCTCGTTCTTTGGATCCTCCGAGGATTACCGGCTTAATCTTAACCGTTTTAACCACCTGCGAGCCACGGTGTCCTCCTGCTTTTCCTAGTTTCCCAACTTCGTGGGAACGGAAGGTTCCCGTGTTCGTGTACAGGGTGTCCCGCAAAGTGCACTGTTACTGAGCAAAATGTGATTCTTCATGAGAAAATAAATCGAAAATATAAAATATAATTTCATTTAAAAAAAACTTCGTTTACGAAAAAATCAATTTCGAAAATGTACCAAGTTGGCGTGCACTTAACTAAAATCAAAGATTTCTAAAATTAGAAGTTTTGCTTAAAACAATTTTATTCTTCATTTTCCATTAATTTTTTTCGTGTAGAATCACTCTATGCTCGATAGTGATACACTTCGTCGGACACCTAAAATGCTAAACAATTAAGTAAAACGTTTTTCGATATAACCAATAGGTAACAAATTATTTTAGATAGTAGTTCTTATTAACTCATATTGTATCTCAACAATACGATTGGTCGTTAACTAACTTTCCGAGACGACTGTACTTTAATCAGTAAATTTTCAAAAAAAATCAACGTCTAACATTAATTACGTTACGGTCAGTTCAATGTCGTTTGAAATGTGATACGCATATCATTTTCGTGTTTGTCATTTCGACTGAATTTCGGCCCACAATTTTCCTCCGGGAGACATCGTGATAAAATGTGTCCACAATTTACCAAAATTTCTGTAAATTATAAATTCAAGTAAACATTGAATAATACGTACTCGTTCCAATCGATCAGCGTGTCATTCGACTCGATATTCCTCACGCACTTATTCCGTAGCTCGCCCATGTAAACCTGCAGGGCGAACAGCGCGAAAACCATCAGGCAGAAGATCGTGAGCGTCATCACCTCGGCTAGCTGCTTAAAACTATGTAATAATGCGTTGATGATGGTCTTTAAACCTGAAAGTATATCAGACCAGTTTAATTGTCGCGTGTCACGAACGAGTTTATTCTGCCTTTCGCGCGATGGATTTCTATTAACACGTCGACTGTATGTAGTCCGAGGGGAGGGATTCACGTATAACTAGCGGTACCGAAATTAATTGGAGCTTCAACCATACAATTTTCCGTGTGGTTTTCAATTTGTGCAGGACTGAAGGATGATACAAATGGGCAGAAGGTGATTTCTTGCACAAAAGTAAATCAGAAGTTGGGAATAAAATTCTTTCATTCGAGACTTGGTTTTCGTGAGAATCAAATTTGAAAATTCTGTGAACACTAACCTCAAAGTCAAATGGGCACTACCATTTTTTCACGTATCACTCTTAAAGTATAAGAGATAGAAAGAAATGTTTCAAACGAAAGATTAATGGTGCAATAAGCGCTCTAAACTTGCCTTAACAAAATTTTGATACAAGTTGAATGAAAATTTATTCGAATGAAAATTTAGTCGAATAATGCCCAACTCTGCCGTTTACTGAAATAGAATCGAATAAGACACATGCAATAGAGTGTTTCGTACGGTCTTACCAGGCATGATCGAAACGGTCTTCAGAGCTCTCAGCACTCGAAAGGTCCTCAGCCCGGCCAAATTTCCTACTTCCATCCCTATAGTGGCGTATCCGCTGGTGATCACCACGAAATCCAGCCAGTTCCACGGATTCCGCAGATAGGTGTACTTATTGAGCGCGAATCCCTTTGCTATCGATTTGATCACCATTTCGGCTGTGTATATAGCTAGGAATATATATCTGGAAAGAACAGGTGAAACATGTCGCTTTGTTATTTAACAAATACAGGGTGTACCAACTTCTAGTGTTAAAAATATACATAATTACTTTTTCAATTGCGTATTTATTATTTGGATCGTTAATCTACTATTAATTGCGGTTAGAATATTGTACACCATTTTCGATTAATACAAACACTAACTTCGTGTATTATTATGTTTATTTATTACCATACAAGGTTTTAGAAACGTGGTTATAAACAGTAACGCAGTGGCAGACATTTATGCAGAACAATGCAGAATGACGATCACGATCATGGGGTGCGTGAGGTGTCGAACGCGCAGGAAGTCCGATCGTACCCGATTCTGTCACGTGACGCCGAAGATGCCCGAGGCTCTTCGGTTGCGAATACGCATCGTCCGCGCCGCGCCGTCAACGTGACGCTGATAGAGGTACTATTAACTATTTTATATCTAAATATATTTTAACAAATAAGAAAATAACAAATTATGCATCTACAAAAATGACCTTTTTAAGGGCTGTACGAAGACTTTTATGAGTGATTTGTACATCTTTTAAACTTTCTCATGACTGCCACTTCATTAAGAAACTATGATGTTCCTTCCATTTCATTAAAAAACTATCCAAGTGATAGAAGAAAATAATCTATTACTCTGGTGTTACGCTTTGTTTCTGAATGTTTGTCAGTAATCATATTGACTAATCGCTACAGTAAATACTGGATGAATGTTCTAAGACTCCTCGGCACTGAACATTAAATGTTTTATTAATTAATGGCCGTATACGGCTGAAACAAATATTGGCTTCAGAATTCCAAACTCTATCACTGTGCTAAACCTCATTGAAATGTCAGCGTTACAACTGGGTACCTCTCTTTGTCAGTAGCGAGGAACCTTCGAACACGTATCGAGGATTTACTGTATTGGTGAATACTTACTCTGCTTCCTCGATGGTTTCCGTCATGGCGAGGAAGGCACAGTTTAGTATTATCGTAGCCATGACCACGTAATCGAAGTACTGATTCGTACTTAGGAAGATGCAGTACCGTCTTATCGGATTCCACGGGGAGAATATGAACCAGCTGTTCGTCGCTGTGAACCTATGGATGTAATTCTTACGAAACCTCTTGGACACCACGCAAAACGTCTGAAACAGAAAGGAAATCGAGAGTCGGTACAGGTAGGACACGTTCTTCTCTCCAGGTGGAGCATTTATAACGCGTTCAGGGCCGCGTGGCCCACAGCTGGGTCATCCTCTCGTAATTAATAGTTAATCGAGGCCTTGACACGCGGCGCAGCAGGTCACGTGGACCAAAAATGAAATTTCTCGCACGAATGGAAAAATGCATCGTATTTGTCCCTGGAATATTCACGCAACTCTAATTGTAAATGTGTTGATAACACTATAGTTTACAAAATCCAAAAAATTATATGGGATCGAGACTCCACTATGAAATTCTTATGTAAGGTGGTCCCCTAAACTCAAAAATCAACATGAGACGAAATTCTAAGGATACGTTTTTGAAACATCAGCTGTTGAATATTTTGGTAATTTTTTAAAAAGACGACCCTACGTTTTTGGCCATTAAATTAAAGGTAATTAAATTATATACAATTCTTTCATACATTGTTTTCCAATCGGGCCAATAGTTTATGCGAAATCGAGCGAAACGTAAGAAAAATGTCTTCAACTTGATTAACCCTTGCTAAAGTTTTTATGTCAATGTGGTTTACATTTTCAAGTTTGCTATAAGTGTACAGATAAACAACACCATCAGTAGTATTGATTTTTAAAAATCGACAATACCTTTCAACCAACGAAGATGACTTTTAATCATTTTAATGGAGTGTTATAATAGTTTCTTCGTATCACACGAGAGCGTCTTGAAAGATGAATTCAACGATGAGATACAATGGTCTTCAGGGTCGAGCAAGATGAAAAGAATTTTGACTATGTGAACATTTTGTCATACTTCCTATTGATAAGGCCACGTAGCGTGTTTAATGCCACATTGCTACGATATGTTCAAATTATGTGTTTCGTTCCTGACCTACTTTGAGCTTAAAGGTTGATTGTGTGTTATACCGTTGAATTCGTGTTGACAGTCACTTTCGTAAGCTATAGAAAATACATAACTTTCTATTTAAATAATTAAAGGTCATCTTCGCCGATCGAAAGGTGACGCCTATTGTAAAGGGTGAAAGTTTCTTTTTAGAACCCACTTTACAAGACTACTTACACAAATTAAAGAAACACATGAATTAGTTCGCTTTAAAAAGTAATTGTAGCATTAAAATCAAAATTATATTAGTTTATCGAACAACATAAAAGGAAACGTTATATCATTGGAATAAGAAAACAATTATATTTCAAACATTGAATACAATTAAATATAAAAAATTGAAAATAATTAAATATCAAAAATTAAAAACAATATAAATAGAAGTAAAATGAGAGGTAGATGACAAAAGAGATCATTTTTGTATCAGATACAAATTTATGTAATGTTCCTATTTAAACAATCGACTATTAAAATTTATCTATGAATTTCGAATTGAATCGAGATAATTGAAATTATTTTTTCTACGAAAAATTAAGAATTCTTATTAATCGTTACTAATTAACAATAATACTGAAATGTAATGGTAAATAATAATAATAAAATCATCAGTGGTTGTCATGGTAATTTTTTATCTTTCTTTAAAGAGAAGATTAGTCGTTGGGCACCTTCGCGAATCGATGATGTGCTACTACGCCTTTTCGGATCTAAATGCGGTACCAGATGACGTGGGGTACGTCTTTTAAGGTCTAAAACTGGGAAGCCAGTGACGCAGTACTCGTTCATGATTCGACCGATTATAGTTCGCGGTGCATAAATACATTTAACGCTCCCATACGGATCCCCCGGAGTGGTTAATAGCGCGACATTTTAAAACAAACTTTTCTTATTTCTGCGCCCGTTCCAGGCGACACTTTTAGATCGCGGTTATCGGAATACCAGCTGCCAGATTTCACCGCGGCCTAATACCGCATGGCCGCGAAACTATTGACAGTGTCGGGTATAGTTTCGGTGGAATCGAGATCCATCTAACCGAACTCACAGAAAAATCTTTATTCTTCGTTTAAAAAAAAAAAAAAAAACGAAGGCCTATCTGGTGGAAAGCCAATACAGTTTGCCTGTGTATAGTTCATACTTTAGCTGAGCAAAGTTTGAACCAAATGTGACAAGGGAACGTTTTGCATTGTTATATCGGAGAATGAAAAATATTAATGCATTTGGTAGTCCATCTAATTCTTATGAAACAGTGAAAAACTATAGTTGCCCATTTTTTTATTTAGCCGAAATACAGAGCATGAAAATTGGTAGAATGAGTAATACTTCTATCAAATGGCGAATTAGATTAGAACAGAAGTTACTGTCTTTTATTTGATTTTTCTTTTATTTGTTTAAAAATGAAATTAAAATGTTTCCTAACATCCCTCAAAAAGATTCAAATATTTTACTTAGTAATTTCCTTGAGACAAAAGTGATAAATTTACCTATTTTTCTAGAGATACAAAGCGATATATCCCCTTAAATCTATCATGTATTAGCCACTGCTGTATGCATCAGAACCTGTAGAAAGAAGTAGAAAAGACGACAAACGGAGCCGGAAATCAGAAAACGAGGACACTACCGATCCGAGATGGGAATGATCGAGTATTTCCAGACAAGTTATGATCGAGGGCAGCAAAAATTTCAGTCACATTCAAAAGACGTCCAGGATTCACTACAAACATTTAGCGACGATGCCGGAAGGAAATGCGCGGAAGTGGCTCGAGGACTTTGAAGAGAAACTGGCGAAATTTGCGGATGGACGGAGACACAGAGAATCATCTACGCGAAGAAACTGCAGCCCAGGGTCCGCGAAACTCCTCTATCTCGTGTGTACGATAAATGTGAAACATCGTCGGAGCGAGTAAAACGGTCGTTGGTGAAGAAGCAAGATTCCAAGGCTGTCAACGGCAAAACCGTGCGTGGTGAATTGGCTCGGACGAAAAAGCAGAACGGCGGTATATATCACGAATACAGTTACTAACCTTGGCAAAAAGTATTCGATCAAACAGAATTTAGTAAATGTAAAATTTTTTACAAATTATAGAATGTAAAGTAGAAAATAGTTACCACTTTTTTGATTTGTTTTAGTTTTATTTAAAACTTTGGTATGCGTTTAAAATATATTCCGATAGAGAATTAAAAGTTGCGTAAAACGTAGTATATTAAGGTTTTAAGTTAATGTTAAGATATAATGAAAATTTAATATATGATAATTTGAAATTGATTTACAAATAATTCCCCGAAAAATTGTAGCAGAATATATTTGTGATCAACTGTAAAAGGTATGTCGATAGTTAACCCCAAAATTAGCTGCCGAATCAACAATTTTATTTAGAAAGGATGGCACTTTCGAAAAAAGCAATAAAAGAAATTTTTCGACTGCCTAGTCCCCTTAAACCTGGTTAGTCGTTCGAATCCAGAGAATGGACCACAGCACACACATACACACACAGATAATATACAGTAAATATATACACTATAATAAAACTATTGATGCTTTATTCCGAGGACTGTTCGTGAATGTCTAACGGCTGCTCACGTGGACTGTTAACACGAACTGGAAAACAAGGTTCTGTCAAGGTCCTTCTCGGCTAGGATTGACCACCCGCGTATCGATCCACACCCTTCTAGATCACTGTTTTTCCCTGTGGAGAGTTACACAGGAAAAATATCCTATTGCCTCGTTCGTAAGCCCAGCTGTTGGCTGGCAATTGTCACCAAAAGATCCACCCTCCAATTTTCATGAAACTTCGATAAAATCGACTCAAATGTTCCCAAATGTAAAAGTTTTTTCGGCACAATTGTATATTAACTGAGATAAGGCTAAAATAATGGGGTAATTATTTATAATTTTATGATAACAACACATAAAACGTATTTTGTATCGTCTTGTGTGGGTGAATCACACATACAATAATTGGTTTGGAACAGCTTTAGACAAAATTATTGCAGTGCCACGAGACGTTGTGAGTCACGATTTTAGCTGCAAGATGAATGGATCTTTCTACATGCTACGGCACTTCGTGTGCTTAGTATATAAAGATATATATATTTATTACTTTAGTGTTATCTCGGTTAATCTTCAATTGGGCCATAAAACCTTCTACATATGTTCATTTCGGAGTAGGTATTTGGAACGATTTTGTTGAATATTTTGAAACCAAGTTTCATGAAAATCAGAGGGTGGAACTTTTTGGAACTACAGTCAAAACTGATTTTCAAATAGCAGCAATGAACAGCAAAAAAGTTCAGATTAAAATGTAAAAAAATTTGACGTCAGTTTAGCGTCATCGGTCATAATACTGTTATTATAATATTGAATTAATAGGACGTAACATCCTACCAACGGATTCATTGGGTCGATAGACGTATAATTTCTGCAATGTTTCAAAGGGTCTAAATATAAATAAAGTGAAAATTTGGTATCTTTACTCTGTGTCGTAATGTTTATACATAGTAGATAAAAATAAGGTAAATACATGAAACTCATTGTTTCTTGGTTATTGAACTGAATTTTCAGTTCAAGAATGTTATAAAGTTGTTAAATATCGTTAATTTGGTTACAAATTCATGGAGTTATATATGTACAGAAACAGGATAAATTAACGGTCTCTAACGAGCGTCATAAAGCCTCTACTCTACCTTCAACTCACAATTAGTAAATCCTTCAATAAAAAAACGGGGTTTCCAATTAAATTTTTACTTCAGAAATTAGTTCATTAAAATTTGATTTATAATAAATATCGGACAGTAGAAAGCATTTTGGAAAATTCATAGTGATACTGACTGAATTACGTCTACTAATTGGTGATCTATTTTTCTGACAAATTCAGTCCTTATTTCTATAGAAATTAAATATAACAAGTTAATGATATTCGCTATTGATATCCGATAACTCAGACCGTTTTATGCAACAAGACGGTCTTTTAAGACATTTTCAATTTAAATTACGTTATTATATCATCGAGAAAATAACGATTCACAAATTGGTACAGCTGATATTTAAAACTAGATCGTTTGTAAAAAAAAAAGCAATATTTATTAGTAA